AGTCGATGGGTTGTGTGTGGCTTGGCTTGGCCGAGCTCGGTGGGCTCGGTGGTGGTGCGAACATTCGTGTCCTCTGTAGGGATCGCAGTGGACCATCCATGGGGGAGTGGTGGAGGGGGTTGATCTACGGGGCAAACGGGTCCACCAACAGATAGCGGGGGAGGGGGAGGGGAGGGGCCCAGGGGGGGCACACAGACAGAACCTCACCTCACGCACCACCACCACCACCACCACCACCACCACCTCCGTACCTCCGTATCTGCAACATGCAACATGGCCTGGGATCCCCTGCAGATCTAGTCAGTTATGTGGTTAACCATGTAGATACATACATCAATCCGATGTATCACATCTAGAGTACCGGTATCGTACTCTATGTAGTAGGTAAGGTTACTTATCCGATGGTATGTATCGTACCGTACACGCCTTCTCACTCAGGGAGTGGCCCGTTTTGCTTTCTGGGGCTAGGTATACCGGTGCTTGGGTAGGTTGCAGCCTTGCAGGCTGGACATGAACTTTGATGTGAAGTTCAAGCGAGGTCAGGAGTTGAGGGAGACAGACCACGAGTAACAACCTACGCGGTATAGGTACCTGGCCCTGCAGACTGCAGCTGAAGAATTCCTTGCAGTAACCAAGTCGTTACTTAGGTACGTACCCTCATCGCTGGCTGGCTGGCAGGCTGAGAACCGGTCCGAAGTATACGTACAATACATACGCACGCCCATATATACCATATTGAGCCTTGTACTAATGTCGTTAGCCTTATGTAGGGCTTGAATAGGCAAACAGTCCTCGTATAAGCCAGCTATAAGCGCGTTGAGCTCGTGAGGCCTCAGTAAGGGCTGTTAAACTAAGGCTGATGTTCTCATTTCCCTAAAATTGTCGTAACTCCTACATAATGCCTAGGCAGCGAAAGCCACCATCGCATAAATCGGCCTTCTCACTTTGTAAGCCTCATAGCTTTCGTCAGGCCTATATCGTCATTGTTGAAATGCACAGCACTGCCGTATAATAATGACTGTGAACCTGGCAGGTTTTGTGAAGCATTATGGGATATATCGGTTCGAGACAGAAAATCCTTAGAGCGCCACACGCTCAATCTCTTCACATGCATTATACAAGCCTTCAATGAGCCTTATTCAAACCCATGGGTTCTATCACTCTTATGTGTTAGTAGTGCATATGCTAAAATCAGCCTGCTTGACACCGGCGGCGGCGGGTCGAGAGGAGAGAGCGGAGGTGGGAAGTTGAACGTCTAGGTATCCTATAGATGGTGATGAGAGAGAGAGAGGCAGCTCAGACAGAATCAAACCCGCCAGATAATGTCCTAAGGTATGGTTAGGCGCAGAGTTTTCTGAAGACAGACATGATGAAGCTTATTTGAAGTTTAAAACCCCCGGGCCCACGGCTCCTCCTCTTTCTAACAGCTCCTCCTCTCGGCATCCACGGCTCCTCTATCACTTCCTCCTCTTGCCGCAACTGCTACTGCTACCCCCCACCGCAACTGTTATTCCCGCTGATATCTCATCTCTCATATAGCTCTTACTCCCGCCATAGCTCTCCTTTACCGGATAGATTCTCTTGCTGATAGCTACTATCTCTTACAGTTACCGTCGCCGAAAACTCCCCCATCACTTTATCCCCTCGCTGAAAGCTCCTCCTTCCACAGACAGCTCCTGCGTCACTTCCCCCCCTCCCTCCCCTCGATGCCAGCAAGATATCCACAACGAGGAACCGTAGGGGGGCACAGTATGGTGAGCGGTAGACGGTATGGGAATGGTGGCGGGGGACTGGGGAGCGGGGAAGGAGAGTAGTTTAGGTATATAAGGTTACGGAAGAAGAGCATCAACAAGTGATAAGCATTGCAAGAGATGAAGCTTGTCGCAGAAGAAGTCATTAGGGAATCCTTATGAGCGTATAAGCCTTACTAACCCTCATTTTTCAAAATTCCTTACAGAGCCCATACTAGTATTTTTTCCCCAAAACCCGAGTGTCAAAATCGCCCTCATATGTGGCTGCCATAATGCTTTTGACTTTAGTACACGGCTCAATATGGTACCTAGCGGGTGTTTGTTCCAGCGCGGAAAGAAAGTGGAGTTGGAGACTTGAAGTTAGTTAACGTCGACACCGTAGATTACCCGCCGCGCAATCCTCCGGGAACCGCCGCGCCGAGTCTCCACAGCCAAGACCCTCCCTCCAGATGATATATCCGTGTACATACCTACTTGGGTACGTACGAGGTACGTACTTCTTATGTACCTGGGCAGGTGCTTCAGTTACCAGTATGTACCTGCTTCTCGGCCCAAGCCAGGATGATGTCCCGACGGGATGCCTTCCAAGTTCCGGAATCCACCAGTGGGGGGGGGGGGGGGGGGGGACCACCATGGCGGCTGCAGTTTACTGAGCATCCTATGTACCTAGATATGTACCGCGAATCAGAAGAATCAGTGGCTTGCATGTGCGAACTTCGGGGGCTGAAGTTTTAATTTTGAACTTCGAACTCTGAACTCTGAACTGCATGGGCTGACTGACCGGCTGTCTGGCTGGCTGACCGGCTGGCTGGCTGACCGGCGGCGCGGCGACGTTCCATGTGCGCGGCGGCACTGCGGCGGGGCGGCGGCGCAAGTGCAACGCAACGCAACTCGCGAGTCGCAAGGCTCTAGCTGCGACTCTGCGAGGGAGCAACTGTTCGAGCTAAATATACCCCGGTGTGTGCTGGCGGATTGTTTCACGTTTCGGACTTTCTTTCGTTGGAACTTGGGTTGGGTTGGTGAACTGGGTGCCCACGTTTGGAGGTTTTTTGTTTTTGTTTTTTGTTTTGGGGAGGAGGAGGAGTCATCTTCAACGTTTTGCATCCACGAGGCTCCAGTGGCAAGCGCTGGGAGAGAGGGCGGCGTTTAAAGCCTGCGATCCCGGACTTGAAAGTAGACCTCCCCGACCAGTGGTTCGACAGCCTCAGTGTTTTGGTGCGCGGGCATGAGGCAAGTAAGGAATTATGATCCGATTCATGGGCCAGACAGCTCGTACATACTCTATTATAGAGCTAGAGGTTTTCACTGATCATAGAGCCGGAGTTTAGTAAACGTGAGAACAGAAAGCAGTAGACAGTGGGAAACAGAGAACAGCGCGATTACTAGTACCGTAATGCGGTCCCGTGTCCGCTCCGCTCCATACGGGTACAGCCTACGGGAGCGGCAGAAAGCAGTCCATCTCGCGACTCACCAACTGTTTGTGCCCTGGCCCCTGGACAACTCGCGGCAACCCGAGGCTGAGAGCACGGATCGGAGCGATAAGTAACTAATCGCATCGATCACGTGATCCCTTCCACGGATCGGGGACAGTTCGACTTTTCCATCTCTCTGGCGACTAGCGAACTTTCCACCTAGCAGCTGTGGCTGGCACAGCGAAACAAAGTGGATCCAGAATCCGACCCACGATATCGATCCGACTCTCGTGGGATACGGCGGTAACTGCTCAGTGGGATACCGGCGGCAACTAAACAGTATCTTCCGAAGGCCGCTTACGCAGTGTCATTCCTGCATGCCAGGTTGCCTGATGTGATGTTGTATGTACTCTAGATACTAGCACCGGTGTGTACCTGTGTAGAGTACCTACCGTATATGCAGGATCGGGATCTGAGTCTTCGATTTCCTCTCAGGTACTCAACCACCTAAGTACCTGGCGCTACATAGGGTACTTGAAGACTTATCATACATGAATACCTACTCCTTACGAAAACCCGCACATGGCCCCTACGTACCTAAGTAGAGTAAAATCTCGATGGCCGGATGCACCGCCGCTCAGGTGGAGCTTAAGGCGGCGGAAGGTACCTACATACGTAGCGGTCCACATACGACGAGGCCCTTCCGCTGTTGTTGCTGCGCTTCGCTCGGGCGTCGGGCGTCGGGGCTGGCGGGTAGGAAGTACTAGCAGGTACGGTAGTACCGTAGTTGGTTACAATGGGCTGTTGGGACGCTAGGTACCGTGCCCGGCGCATCCAACAACAACCTCCGCGCAAGAAGTGTAAACTCTGCGTTCGAGGTCGACATCCGGGTATATCTCCACGTCCCCCATCCCCCATCTGCCATCCCCCTCCCCGCCGACCCCCATGCTATGTACATCGCGTATGTAGAGTACAATACATTGTAACCGACACTTCCTCGTCGGCCATGGCCCACGGCGTGCCCGAGGCCCTGAGCTGATATGTATGACCGCTTGCACGCCTGCATGCTTGCATAAACGCAGTGTGTAGGTAGCTTGTAGGTGAGAAGTATGTGTGTATGTCAGTATGTACCTGACCTGACGTGAGCTCTGCGAACCCACCCCCCCCCCCCCCCACCCCTCCCTTCGCTCTTCCACTTCTTTCTTGCGAAACCCCACCCCACACACACCACACACACCACACACACCACCCCTCCTCGGTAATCGTGAGCGAATCGGGCCACTCCGTTTTTGTTATTTTTGTTTTCGATGTTGACTCTTCCCTTCCCTTTTGTTTTTCTTTTGCGATGTGCTTTTCTTTTTCTGTGGCGCGAGGCTGCGCTGTGAGCCTGTGAGCCCTGGCGTCCACACCGAGAGGGAGGATTATGGGCATTGGATGCTGATAATTGATTATGCGGGACGCGTGGTGGTGGTGGTGGTGGTGGTGGTGGGCTTTGGTGATAGTGGTGGCAAAAGCGGACGGGGCGCACGGTGGTGGTGAGGGTTGTGGAGGTGGCTGATGACTCCAACGGACTCCCGTTATCCGGATTGAGGAGCAAGTACATAAAGGTTCAGGAACGAATTTTGCCGTCTGAAGGGACGAATTACGGGCTCGGTAAAGCGGATCTTGAGCGGGATGTCCGAGTGATATCAGATGGTAGTATTCCGACAGCTCGGACACTGGGTGATCACTTCCGTCCCGAACCTGGCCGTTCAGTCGGGTACTGAGATGGCTGATGACTTCCAGCCGAAGTCACTGGAATTTTCAGAGGAGTCCGGGACTGTAAGATGTCTGTGATCCCGAACCGTCTTGATACTGGGTATCGATTGCACTTACACCACCACATTACATTGGGAAACATCGCAAGAGTAAGTAAGTACAAGCCATCGTTGCCGCATCCCAGTGGCACCAAACAAACAAACAAAGACACACATACACGTAGCGGGACAGACTAGACAGAGAAACAACGCCAAACACCTTGCGTCCGACCTGAAACTTGAACCCCGTTGACCTGAAGAAAGAAGAGAAAAGAAAGAATATGAAAGAGAGAAAAGAAAAGAGCCAGTCAGGCCAGCACTTTTGAGCTCCCAGCCCGACCTTGACAGCCAAAAAAACAACAGGACAAAATCGCATCATCGTATACAGCCATACGGAGAAGAGAGCATTGCGCTAGCATCACCCCCAGATCCTACTCCTTCGCTCCAACATCAACCTTCTTGGCCGGCGGCTCTCCCGAATCCGCCGCCGAGCTGCTGCTTTCCAACGGACGCTTCATCGCCTGGTTAGCCTTGACCTTGGCGAGATACTGCTGAATCATTTCCGGAGACATATTCTTAATAGCATCCGTGATCTGCGGCGATTTTAGAGGCATCTTTCCAGCTCCAACAGGACGCTTTCCAGCACCGAGACCGACCGGGGCCTTACCGGCGGTGGTTGGGTGAGGTGGGGTTGGGTGAGGTGGGGCCGGGGCTGTTCCAGCAGGTGACGGGGACTTGACGGTTGAAACAGGGGCTTTGCCGGCAGTGGTTGGGCGCGGAGTCATAGGAGCGACCACAGTCAAGGGCGTATTGTTGGTCGGCGATTGTGCTTTGGCAGCGGCAGCTGCAGCCTTCTGCTGTTTGAGTTCCAACAACTTCCTTGTCCACTCGGCGCGCTCTTCGGGGCTCATATGCTTGATGTGCTGGGCAAGATTCGCAAACGTGACTCCTGGAGTCAATTTCACGGGAGCTTTGACGGGAGCCTTTCCAGCGATTTGTCCCGGCGTGGGAGAAGCGGAAACGGGGGTCGACATTGACTGCGGTAGGGGTGGTGAACCCAGACTCATAGAAGGATCTGGGGGCGACGCAGCACGGGGGGCCACAGAAGTGGGAGAAGCCTTAGGTACGGAGGCATCGGGTCGGTTGAGGGAGCTGACCAGACTCGAAACCGTCGCCAACGCCGCAGGACTGGACTTGCCGGATGCCAGCTGAGCCAAAAAGTTCTTCAGTTGCTCCAAGGTCTTGGCGCTGTTGGGGTCCGTAGAGGCTTGGGCCTGTCTCTGCGCGATGATTCTAGTCAATACCGAAATGACCTGCTTGACGTCTGACTTCTGTTCCGATTGCTGGTTTCCGGCCGTAGGCATAGGAATCGGCGCCTCGAAAGCACGAGAGCTGGACTGAGTAGATGAACCAGACAGCTGAGTGTGCTGCTTCGCTGGCATATAGCTGGGAGGCAATGGCACCTGTTGCGGCGGCAGCGGGGGAAGCGGCATTTGCATCATCGGTTGTTGCATACCGTTGGTGACCTGGTAGTTGGGCTGCTGATGAAAATTCGGCGGCGGTGCCCCCATATGACCCATCATCTGGCCGTTCTGCAGATGCGCACCCCGTCCGTCCGGAGACTGCATCCCATCGTATCCCGGCATCGTTTGCTTCGCAGCATTCCCCTTCTTCTCCTTTTCAATGCTCACTCCCTCCACAACTCCCCAAAGCCAGCCCTTGCCGGCGCGGTCAACCTTGTAAAACGCCTTATGTTGTCCAAGGTTATGCCGCACACTGCTCTGCCAGCCCTGAGTTTGGACCTTGAACTTGTAGTATGGGTATTTGGTCTCGATGGCTTTGTAAATTTGAGGTAATGAAAGGACCTTATCCGCCGAGTTGAGGATTGCTTCGTGAATCATAACAACATACGAAACGTTGGGCTTGATGAGGAGCTCCGGGGCCAGATCAGCCTCGTTGATCTCTGGCGATGGAGAACGCAGCTTCTTCGGTCTCGGCGCAGCCTTCTCCTTTCTGGGCTTGCTCTCCATAACAGGCTGGTGATACGCCATCAACATGTTCGGGTCGTGCACCATCGAGGGCACCAGTTGATTATGGTTGTGGTTGGCATAAAGAGCTGGGTCGATGGCAGATGTCGCAGGGTACATTTGGTGTTGATTCATCGGCTGCAACTGCTGCTGTACGAGCGGCTGTTGGTAGAGCATCTCCTGATGCGGGTGAATATCGTAGTCATGACTATACGGCATCGTCGGCTCTTGGTAATGCTGCTGTTGAATCGGTTGTTGGGATTGTTGTTGAGGTGCTGGAGGAGCTGGAGGAGGGAGGGGGGGCGAGGGAGGAAGAGGTTGTTGCTGCTGTGGTAGTGATGGCGGTTGGTTGGAAGTTTCCAATAGAGGTATCGACGTCAGAGTAGGGAGCAATAACGCCGATGCAGGTCTGCGCGGCTCAGCTCGTTCGACCTGGGTTGGAACAGGGCTCTGTCTAACAGGCGTCGATTTCCCCGAAGAGATTGTAGGAAGTATCAGTTTGGACTCCCTCCTAGCGGCCGGTTGCTGCGGTGGCTGCGGGAGATGAAGCTTCTGTTGCTTCTTTCTCTCCCGCTCTCGTTCCTTCTCTTGTTCCTTAGCGGCCCGACTTTCTCTCTCCTTCTGTTTCTGTTCCTTCAACCTTTGAGTCTCAGCAGCTTTCTCAGCCAACTTCTTCTTCCGTTTCTCCTCCCGAATCCTCTCTCTCTCCTTTTCACGGGCTATCTCCCGTTGCCGCTCTTTCTCCCGTTTCTGCTCAAGCTCTTCGTGTTCCGTGCGCAGAGCCTCGGCTTCGGCTTCGGCCTTCTCCCGCTCCTTCTCTTTCAGTTGACGTTGCAACTCCTTTATTCGCTCCCTATCCCTCTGAAGCTCTTGCTCTCTCTTCCTGATATCCACGATGCTCTTCATGGGCCTTGGTCGGATTGGCTTCGTGGGTTCGGGGCTAGGTGAATCCTCCAACTCATCTTCATCGGAGGATTCGTCCTGGTCACCCTCCTCGTCTGCATCTCCTCCAGAGCCACCATCGTCTTCAGCCTCCTCGTCTTCATCACTCTCCTGGCCACTATCATTCTCGATACTGCCCTCTCCTCCGCTATCCGGGCCAGCGTCAACGTCCTCCATCTCAAGATCTTCGTCGTTTTCGCTGTAGTCTTCGTTACCACTCTCGTCCTGAAAGTTGTAGTTCATCTTCCCCTTTCCTCCCGTGAACTTGGGAGGAGGAGCGACCACAGGCTCTTCCTCTTCCTCTTCCTCTTCTTCTTCGACAGACTCTTGCCTCAATGGGATCTCTGGGACGATAACGTTGAAAGATATTCCACCAATCTGCACTTTCATGCCCTTCTCTTCAACGACAATGGTTGTGCCGGCCTGAACATACTCTTCGTCCACGAAGGCACCGTTTTTACCCATAATTTCAAGCTCAAAGCGATGTTTTTGAGTGTTGTAGAATAGACGGGCGTGACGTCGAGATATGTTCTTCCTGAGGGGCAGCGCAGCACTATCGCCCATCGAAGCGTTTGAAAGGGGAAGGTGAATTACGGGCTCCTCTACCTCAACCATGTCGGCGAATCCAAAGGGATCTCGGAACCGCGGAGGTTGAGCGAACTCGGGGCCCCGTCGAGACAGCGCAGATTCGGAGGCAATGCTCTGGGTCTTTCCAGACACGCCAACCTCGTCCTTCTTCTTCTTTCTCTTCTTTTTCTCCCTCTTCATGCTCGTTAATCCCGAAGACGTAGTCCTGCCGAATCCGCGGGGCCCCGTTTCAATGATTGTGCTCCCGTCAGGTCCAATGTGCGAGTAATATCCCGCCGCAGAACCTTCTGCCCGGCCGAATACCACCGAGGGGTTTCGGATATAGTAAACATTTCCGTCCTCGAAATCCAGCCTCAGAAACGCGTCCACTACTGGAGTCGAATCGTCGTCACCGCCAAACTTAGTCGCCTGGATAAGCTGATCGAATCTATCCGATTCCACCGCTTCCCTGTTCCGAAGCTCCTCTAGACCGGCAATACCACCAACCGCCGAGGAACGCCGCCGACCGGGTGTTCCGAAATCGTCGAGTTCGTGTAAAGCCCCTGGCTCGACAACCGGCGAGGGCGGTACGGAACCATGATGGAATTGAGCTTGCACCGATGAGGCCGCTGCGAGAATGATATTCCGCAGGTCCCTGTTCGTCGGTTGCGTTGGCGTTGCAAATTCAGGCATATTAGCAGTATTGAATGGCGGTGTCACGCTGCGGATAGACACAGTTTCAGGCTGGTTGGGAAATTCAGGCACATTGGCACTATCGAGTGGGGCGGGAGTTGCGTGTCGAATAGGCGCAGCACTGAAGTCCTTCGAAGCTTTGGTAATTGGAATTAAAGCTTGAGCTTGTTCTAGTTCCGCGATGGTCCCGATTTCAGATGATGTCGCTTTGGCGAGCGGTGAGGGTGTGCTCAGGGTAGGCGTTGGTGGTGCGTCTGATATCTCGGTGTCTATGAGCGGGAAGGTTGCGCTTGGGGTAGGCGCTGGCGGTGCGTCGGATATATTGGTGTTTGCGAGCGGGGGACCTGCATTTGGAGTGTCGGTTTCGTTCGCGGGGTCGGGCACGTTGGCGTTGACCGGCGGAGGGGACGCGTTGGAAATTGACGCAGTAGTCTCGGGCTCAGGCTCGTTCATAGACTCGCAGGTCGAAGTTTGAGTTGGAGCTTGATCAATTTCCGTAGGAGTCGCAGCTTCGAGAATATCAGCAGTGATGCGTGGGGAAGTCGCCCTCCGAGTAGGGAGAGGCGTGGCATCGGGCTCGCTCGCAATTTCCAGCACACTTGTGTCCGCAGGCGGAGAAGGCACTCTTTGAGTGGGTTCGGCGACGGTCTCGGCGACGTCCGTGGCTGTCTCGTCCTCAACATCGTTTCTCGCGATCTGAGGGTGAGACTCTTCTAATTGCTCCACCATGTGCCCCGCTACCTGCTCCACTACCACCTCCGGGGCAACTAAACCTATCCTGGGCGACTTCATGGCAGGCGCTGGCGGGCTTGCGCTTCCCGACACTTCCGGGGCCGTCTCCGCTCCACGCACTGTAGCCGTGATCGTTGTGACCGACACCACCGGAGCCATCTGTGTTTTTACTTCCACAGGTGTAGCCACATCGGGAGTGTCCGTCACCCCCGACATCTCCACGTCGTCGCCCTGCGTAGAAATACCACCAAGGCCTGCATCGGTGTCAACAGGCGGCATGGAATCAACATCGACAGGCGGCGTGGAATCAACATCGACAGGCGGCGACGCTGCTGCGGGCGCTGGTGGTGCCGAGGCAACATCGACACCGAGATCCACATCCGCATCGAGTCGCACGGGCGATGCAGGATCGACATCGGTGGGCGGCGGTACGTCGGCGGTTGCAGGTGGCGCCGACGAGGGGGCAGCATCGATATCGGCATCGACAACGACCGGCGAGGGCGGCGCGACTTCCGGAACCGTTACCACTTCAGGGACTGTAGTAATAACCATAGCGTCGGTCGCCTTCAGAGCCGTCTCCGACACCAGTTCCGCAGCTGTAGCTGTCGGTACGGCTGTGGCTGTAGTATCATCCGTCACCCCCGACATTTCCACGTCCTCCTGCGCGGGGCCGACACCGACACCGACACCGACTTCGACGGCCGGGGGAACATCAACGTCGATAGGTACCGCGACCGGCGACGTCGCACGCGTTACAACGGGCTGTTTTTCGGTAGTAGCCTCGGTCTCCGTTTCGTCCACAGTGGGCGGTCCAAGCTCGTGTTCCGGCTTCGTCGGCGCGTCGGCGCCGGGTGAGCGATTCTCCATGATTGCGACAAACACTTCCGACGTCCAGCCCTTTGCCTTTAACGGAAAGGGGATGGACAGGCGGCAGTGCAGACACGGTGATGGATCCTAATCGCCCCGAGCGGATCAGCGGGATGGTTCGTTTCGTGTTTTGCGGGTGAGAGAGTGAAGTAAATAGAGGGTTCTCTTCACAGTTTGAACTGGGGATGGAAGAAGCGAAGCGCGATGAAGAGCGGAGAACTCGGCCCTGTGATTGGCTGTGAATGCCTGGTGGCACTAACTAGCAGCGAATGCAAAGCAGGGACTGGGCTACGTCGGACTTCCAACTGAGGGATGGGCCTGAAATATACAAGCGAATGGTGGTATTCTCGAAGTGTTAGGTTTAGGTGGGACGCGGATATGGATGGTAATGGACTTGAGGAAACGAAGAACAAGTACACGTTTTGATCCACGACACATCACTCGTCTTTTGGGCTTACGGAGTATTTCGATTACCCGGCAATTCGCCATGCAACAAGAACTGCAAGGGAATCCACTGGCACGGCCAGCTTCAACACCATCCACTCCCCCAAGCACCATGTCGCACTACGTCCCCGCATCAACTCTACTACCTCTGCACGAGCTATCGTCTCAACCAGTCGGGACGAAAGTCCGTTTTCTAGGCTGCATCCGTGGCTATGATCACGCCAACGCTATTCTGACGCTCACCACCCCGCCCAAAGCGGTTCCCCGCGCTGATGTCGATATCACTCTCGCTCTGCAGACTCTGGGTATTGGACGCCTCAGAGACGGGTGTTGGTTCAATGTTATCGGATACATCACTGAGTCGAAAAACTGTGAGGAGGGAGTTACTATGGTGGATGCTATCATGCTTTGGGATGCAGGACTCATTGCACCATCCAAATACAACCAGGTGTTGGGAGAGCGACTTGCTACTGAGAAGGAGGTGGATGCTCATCAACAGAGAATGGAGATGTAACTTCGTTTATACGGGAGCGATTGGTCACCAAGCTGGCTAAAAAAGTAATTCAACATCAACTCTATTGGTCCCATACCTCCCGCAATCCATGAATCTAAAACGCCCGGCACTGACTGCCATCAAGTAGACAAAAGAACCCGTCCCAAAACCGTAAGCAACCGATCTATGATCCCAACCAAAGAAACACCCACCCCTCTACCCATAACTATATACCTACACAATACCCGCGCCGGCGCTCTATTCGAACATTCATCCCAATCGCTCTATCTGTGTGACACATTCATGCCGAACCCTCCATATGGCTCACCAGGCGATCCCGGAGCTCTTCCACCACCACCCGTTTCTCGGCAACACGTCCAAAACATCCCATCAACGACTTGGAAAGAGCTGTCCTCGTTCCGACCATCAAAAACGCATCGCCGTTCCTCACCCATTCCAACGGCTGTCCCTGACGAGCATATATCCCGCCATGCCGGCCAGCGTTTTCGTAGACCTCGGTTCCGATGGCTGCAGAGAGCAGGGTCATCGCCAATCCGTAGAGATCACTCGCATATGTTGGGCGGGGTCCGTGATCTTCCTGTGCTGGCTTATCCGTCGGGGACAGTGGCGGGGTGATCGGGCGGCGGATATGGGCCTCGAGGAGCTCGGGGGAACAGAAGGCAGTAGTAGTGGCACTCACTGGGGCCGGTAGATATCCCTCGACGTCCAGGTGTCCTGACGAGAAGTCGATCACAATAGGTGTCAACTGGCTTCCAGACTCAGTTCGGCTCTCCTTGATCAGAACGTTGTGCCATGTCATATCCCCATGGATAACCCCGATCCGCTTCAGATGCACGAATGTGTCGACCAGTTGGACTGAGAGATCCAGCCACTCCGGAAGGCCCATCACCGGTTGGGATTTCACAGCGCTCGTCAAGCCTGTTCGCTGCTCCACCCGCTTCCTCCTCGAGTCCCGGGCGTAGTCTGCGAGTGTCGTCCCAGGGATGTATTCCATCACCACCGCTGAAGTCACCGGTTCAAACCCGAAGAATTTCACAATCGACTCGCTCGGAGCAGCCGCAGTGATGTAGGCCAATATCTCGGCCTCCTGCCTGAGGACCTTATCGGCGCCAGGATGGCAAGGTTTCTTGATGGCGACCGTCCTCTTGCCGGCGTCCGACACCAGCGTCCCTCGAACAACCGCACTCCATGCTCCACTGCCGAGATTCACTCTGGCTCCCCTCTCAACATCCTCACTGCACCTCCCCGCCGGATAAGCTGGCGTTTCGGTCAAAGCCCTCCGTCGAACACTCATCAAGTCTATTGTAGTTCGGGCGACAAAACCGGGGCTCACTGCACCCCAGTCCGCAAACGCTGAAGAGGCAACGGGGGTCATCGGCGGCGTAGCCATCGTTCGTGTTGTTGTTGAAGGAGAAGGATTAGGTGGCGGTGCGGTCTGAACCCGCAGGCTCGGCTTAAATGACCCAGTTGTCGACATCGTTCGTAATGGATGGGAGGTTTGTTTCGGGAGGTATGAGGAGGCGAGCAAAGGATTGTCGAAAGTCAGAGATAAATAAAGAGGTGTTGGGTATGTAATTGTACGCGTATGGCCGAGAGCCAAATTCAAAGTTATGCTTCTGGTTCAGTCTGGGCTGCTGGCCGTTGTCCGTTGCCGAGAACGAGACTTCTGCAGGTTTGAGAGGAGTCCTCCATAAATCTTTAGGGATGCTCCTACCGTATGCACTTGTACAAATGACTGTATTTAGGGCTCCCGGGTGCCTCGTTCCGCGATTTTGTGTATAAGACCGAGCGGCGGCTGAGTCGGTGAATAACTGTAAGATGTTTATATATCGCGCAAATAACGGGCGGATATGCTAGCGGTTGGACGAAGTGGAGAGGCAGTCGGTATGACTTATCGCTTGCGTCAGGCCCAAGCAAAAGTGCCGGTATGATAGCAATAGAGTATTGTAGCTCCGATAGATCGGTGCAGTAGGCTGGCTGTCGGATTATCGCGGTGGCAGTCCAGGATGACAGTGGGCAAAATAGAGTAATTTGGTGATAACGTTCTCCACTTACCCCGGGTATGTGCAAGTGTTTGGGCGTTTATATGGATGAGGAGGGCTGGTCTGCCCCGCCGCACCGGGAGAAAGTGCGCTTTTGCTTTTGTCATGGTGGAGAAGGGTTTCGAGTTGAACTGTGCCCGTCGTCCAGTAGCATTGTGCTTCTCCTTCTTCCAGGGCCTATGATCATCATCCTGCCCCTTCCACCCCGCCTCTGACCCGAAATTTCTTTTTTTCCTTCCCTTCCCTTCTTCTTCTTCCTCGCCGCTCAACGCACAGACCTGGGACTAGAGCAGGTATGCTGACGGAATTACCCGACGAGCCGAAAAGTAGTACCGTGGTGGCCGTTTTGCTTCTTTTGACCACACCTCCAGGCAGTGGTGGAAAATGCAAACGGAGTTGTTGTTTTGTCGCCTCTATCCTTTGGCCGGGAAAGACCGGGCTGTTTCTGTCCGGAATAAAATGGAAGTGAACTCATTTCACTTATCTTCCAAGTACTCTATCCTGCACTTTCATAGCCCTATCCCGATTATGTATGATCAAGCAAGAAAAGGAAGACCTATGTAAGTACACTTTATCTGGTGTCATTCATCCATCCGAACGACTTTACGTAGAGTCGATCGTGATCTGCGGCGCGCGAAAGTGACAGACATTAAACCGCTGCCGGAACGTGTTGTTTGTCAATCGATATGATTGGTCCTGGGTGCTTGGGGGGCCTTGATACTGCTACATATCTACGGGGCGGAGCTTTGGATGTCATAGGCTGGGTCGTGGGGGGATGCAAAGGTGGAGTGGTGGGGAATCCATGTGCGCTGTGCATTGGACGCAGTGGGCGCGGGGGACAATTGGTCATGGGGTCGCACTCGATAGTGGCCACTAGTGGGATTGGCTGTGGGGACAGAAACGGGATTAATATTGGGGCTCTTAATCTCTCATGACTGGTGGGATGTAGCGACGAAATGCTAAAGTAGCATTACATCCTCCTCAGGTCGCGCTCGAGGCGCTCAACTCACCAGGTCGCCTTATTGGCTGTTAGGCGGTGCGTTCGCCGTGTTGAATCGTTGGCCGATATGACCGACGCCCCCAGCACGGTACTCGCTCAACTACAAAGTGATCGCTAGTGATTAAAACCAGATACTCCGCCCGCCCTCCAGTCTTGTGATGCCTCAATCTGTGGGTCGTTCCCGGGTATGAGTTGGAGGGAGCCAGTGCAGATGGTCTTCACTGGTGGATGCCCAAGCCTCTAGGGACACTTGGTACTGCGATGATGTAAATTAGCCCGTGATTCGCCCGAATCCTGCTGAACAAGTTCAATTTCCAATCGATCAATCAAATCAATTGTTTGACAGCCGTACATTGCCACGACCCTGCTGTAGTCCAGGGTCTCCAGTGACCGGGTCGGGTTATGGGGAATTCTACCATACAGACTATTGCCACACGTGAATATCAGTGTTGGATGTTCAGACTTCTCCCCAAATCAGACACAATCTTCAGCCGTCCGTCATTAATCGTCATTCATAATCGTCCGTCCCAAGCATGGACTTTCAAGAGTCAGCGACGTAACCCCGTTCCGAGCATTGATTCGAATAACTGCACTGTTCAGCCTCGAATTGAGATCAAGACTGACTGGACGGACGGCTGACTTCCTTGTGACTGAGTTTTCTTGGGATGGCATCCAGAGCCCATCTGCAGCCGGAATACTATGTACCTTTCATCGCACAGCCAGCCCAGCCCAACATCTGTCCGCCACCGTCCGTCGGAAAAGAAGCGATGAACGACAAAAGGCCACTCGCGGACCAGTAGGAATACTGCCCGCCGATAGGGCCAACAAGATATCCATTAGATGCACGCATCCGGACGGAGCCATGGGAAGCAGTCATCTCGCTCTCACCTGACTGTCGACTTCAGTCGGTTCCTATTTTGCAGATTAATCTCAAGAACTTTCGTTTCCTCGGATGGCACATCTGGACCCTGATTGTAGCTTTTTTGTTCAATCATTAATTGCATACACCCTGATTGAGGCGAGATTATGTCGCGACGGCGAGCGGTGAACGCCGAGTGATTCTCCAAAGACGATCATACTACATCACCCGGCCCCGAGAGTTGAAGTTGAGGTACTACGTTAGGTACCTCAGGGATTGGCCCTGGTAAGTTCTTAAGGATATTCGCTACTACAGGTGTCAGGGATCCAGCCTTGCGAGGCTGCGTCATGTGTATGGATGTAAATGTAACCATATGAATTGCATCGAAAGAAAAGAAGAAGCGGATGGATCGAAAAGCCAATGCAGAAACTACAGCAACGAAAACTGACAAGACAAACCAACCAGCACCAGAGACAGAGAAAGAGAAGAAAACATTTCAGGATCAGCAAAGCAAAGAAAGAGAACACCTGTGAAAAACTTAATAGAAGACGTGTATATCAAAGCAAGCGAATAGCACGTGAATCCCAAGCCCATATCATCATCAGTTCATCTAACATCAAGGGCGAGTAGTCGGAATATGCCATGCCGCCATGATAACTTTGTCGCAATGATTAACACAAAAGAGCATCCCGAGAAGAGAACATCGGGGTCTATGACACACTACATCGCCATCTCGGCCTGTAGCTTCCGCAGTTCTTCCTCTTCGTCTTCCTCTTGTGGCTTGACGGTGACTGTGAGAAAGTTGTCAGTATAAATATTCACGTGATAGGTAGTTTCGGTATGGTTTTGCTTACTCGGCGCGACGGCCTGCCCTTGCGTAGTCACGGGTACCGAAGGTGCGCTGATCATCTTCTCGTCCAACGCCTTCTGCTCCATATCTGCGAGTAGCTCGTCGAGCTCGTCTTCCTCCTCCGGATCGGCCATGCTCACGTTGCCGATAGCAACTGAAATCTCCTGGTTGTATTGCATGTTCTCGCGGATCTCCTCCCTGCAGGCATCAAAGATGTCAGTAACCGCGACGAGTAAATCCTGCTGTAGCCGAGCTTCGGGCTAGGGTGGCTGGGGTGTGCATACATGGTCTCGTCGACATCGTTGATACCGATACGCTTGTTCATGCCCTTCATGACGTCCGAAGCCTCCTTCATAACCTTTACCGTCTCCATGTTGAGGTTCGCGGTTTCCACAGCGTTCATCTGTTGCTCTAGGGTATTGATGTGCTGCTGCGTCGTGACCAAATTCTGCTCGAGAACCTTTTTGCGCTTCAGAGCAGCTCGAGCAACTATTACACACCGTTAGTACCTGTGTCGTTGTTACCGCAGAAGGCGGCCAACAGGCGAGTTGTCTGTGAGGGGCAATAGTCATTCCTACCGGTCTTGTTCGTTGTGACGTTTTTCCTCGCGATAGCCTCCTGCTCCAGCATCTGTTTCTCGGTGTGGATTTCGCGCTTCCTGAGCATTTCTAGCTGCTGTCGCAGCTTGACGATAGCTTCCTTCGACGCATTATTCCGCTTCGCGTTTCCTCCACCTCCGAAGTAAGAAAAGATATTCATCATCGGTTTTCGCGCTGGTGACGGGATATAAAAGTGTGCAGTGGCGAGTTCTCTGTAGTAGCTATCGGGTTGTGGAGGACGTGGTTGGTTGCGTTGCTTGGGTGTGAGCGATGGGAGATGGAGGAAGGATGTTGGATCAGCCAGTGACGAAGGCGGTGAGAGTGTGTGGAGGGGCTGAAGCGTGATCAAGCGTTCCCGCCAAGACGCGGCTAGCCGACTCGATAGCGGGCCGGCTTATCTCTCAGCTCCCTCACCATCGTCATCATCCATCAACGCTGAAGAGACATAAATAACCGAACATGCCGCCAAAAAAACAGCCGACCGTATCCAACAAGAAGAAGGGGACTCTACCACCCGGTGCGACACAGGCTGTAGCTTCAACCCCACCACAGTCCCTATCATGGCCACCCTTAACCCCGCTACTCCCGCCTTCAGACCTGGAACTGAGAGACGTTCTACCGGAACAGATCCTTACAATTCCCAGATTCTTCACCTCGACGCTATGCAAAACATATGTCAACTACCTCCAGAAATCCGTTTCATTAACCACGACACCTGGAAAACCGAAACACGGCGATGCGGTCCGCGTCAACGACCGTTTCCAGATCCATGATGCAGCATTCGCGGAGCGGTTATGGACTGAGAGTGGACTGAAGGATGTCGTTTCTAGGAAGGATAACGACTTATGGGGAGGTGAAGTTGTGGGACTGAATACGAAGTGAGTCACGTTCTGTCATTGTGGTATTTGCAGTGGCAGCATGTTGAGGACGGAAGCAGCATACGAGTCTATCGCTATCAAACCGGACAGTTCTTTGACAAGCACTACGATGATTCGAATCAGCTGATGCACGGCGATCCACCAGTGCCTTGCCGAACCACCTGGACGTTGTTGATCTACCTCACTGGCTCTGCAGACGGCATCGTCGGCGGCGAGACGGTGTTTTATACCGATGCTACAAGGACAAAGAGGAGTGAAGAGGTTGTTGTCGATCTGGAGAAAGGACTTGCCGTGCTTCATAGGCATGGGAGGGAGTGTATGCTTCACGAAGGAAGACAGGTCACAGACGACGGTGGCGTGGGGAAGTGGGTCTTGAGAAGCGATTTGGTGGTCAAACGGTAGATTACTATAGCCGCGCTTGAAACTTATTTGAGGTTGCCCAAGAGGTTCTGTATTGGGGTTTCTGAGAGGGTTGAAGAAGAGGCATGGCTCCACTCGAAAAACAAGTGGTTGTGATTGATGCCTTTTATATGAGCGGGCGACGATCAAAACAAAAGCTTAGAATGTGTAAATAGCGGACAATGGCGGGGAACTAAAGAAGCTATCGGGCAAGAAGAAAGAGAGAGAACATCAGTTTATTTCGCATGCAGCCTAGCTAAGCCATGGCGAGTCAAATTAAACAAACTTTTCGTCTCACCGGAGAGAGTCGAGATGGAGATCCCGCTACAATCTAGTCTGTTGCGGCGAATGGAAAGAAGAATGAAATAATGTTCCACGAAGACAAGATTCCAAGGACGAGTGAGTCCCGGTGGACAATAAGCGACTTACCCGGTTGCGTATGAGCTCAATTATAGTTAACTAGGGTGTGCTGCCCCACGTTAACCCAAGCTCAAGCTACCTCCATCCCAAACCACCAACGCCAACACCTCTATCGGCTGTCCTCCGTTGCGCCACAACACCTTCAAGATGTCCGACGACGACTTTATGCTGGAGTCCGATAACGAGGACTATGAATTCGACTACGAAGATGACGGAGAAGATGAGTCTGCGGACGTGGACATCGAGAACCGATACTACAATGCGAAGCAGATGAAGCCGACAGATCCGGAGGCTGCAATCAACGAGTTCTTGGAGGTTGTCAAGTCAGAGAAGGAAAAGGGAGACTGGTTGGTCCATGTGGGAATAGGATGAGATGCTGGGGGCTGATGATGGATGCACAGGGGATTCAAGGGTTTGAAGCAGGCCATCAAGCTAGAATTCAAATTGAAGCAGCATGAGAAGGTATGTCCTTGGTTATGGACGTGGAAAAGCTGCTTGCTGACCGATACGCAGGCGGTGGAACACTATGCAGAGCTTCTCACCTACATAAAGACGGCAGTCACCCGCAACTACTCCGAGAAGTCGATCAACAACATGCTGGACTTCATCTCGTCGTCGAGCGACCCGGAAGACATGCCATACATGGAACGATTTTACGGGATGACTCTAGAGGCGTTTACAGGTTCGAACAATGAGAGGCTATGGTTGAAGACAAACATCAAGCTTGCGAAATTGTGGCTGGACAGGAAGGAGTACTCGCGGTTAACTAGGAATGTCCGCTCGTTGTACAGAGCCTGTCAGAAGTCGGATGGATCTGATGATCCTAGCAAGGGTACTTATTTATTGGAGGTCTATGCCATCGAAATTCAGATGTATTCTGAGATGGGCAACAATAAGAAGTTGAAGGTTTGTTGACCAGGCCGAAGTCACCGCTTGGAAAATAGTTGCTGACCAATGTCAGGCTCTATACAACAAGTCCTTGAAGGTCCGGTCGGCAGTGCCGCATCCTAAAATCATGGGTATCATCAGAGAGTGTGGAGGAAAGATGCACATGAGCGAAGGTTGGCCACTCCGTCCCCCGGCCATCTTAGATAGGCACTAAACTAACTAAGCCACACAGAGAACTGGAAAGATGCGCAGAGCGATTTCTTCGAATCCTTCCGCAACTATGACGAAGCGGGCTCACTGCAGCGAATCCAGGTGCTCAAGTACCTCGTTCTCGCAAGCATGCTGATGAAGACGGAAATCAACCCGTTCGAATCACAAGAAACCAAGCCGTACAGAAGCGACCCCCGCATTTGTGCCATGACGGATCTGGTGGAAGCATACCAACACAACGAGATCCACCGCTACGAATCGATTCTGCAGACGCACAAAGCCGATATTCTCTCGGACCCTTTCATCCGGCAGCACATCGACGAAGTCACCCGTAACATCCGCACGGAGGCACTCATTAAACTCATTGCGCCATTCACGCGGTTCACGCTCGACTTCATCGCGCGCCAACTCAAGATCTCTATCCCGGAGGTCCAGGAGATCCTCGGCTTTCTCATCCTCGATAAAAAGATCCGCGGAAAAATCAACCAGGAGAAAGGCACCGTCCAAATCGAGAGCAATTCCGACGTTGAGAGAATGCGTGCCATCAGCGACTGGTCCAACGCCCTCGACCGCGTAAGCCGAGCCATGTTCAACGAGGGTGACGGCTTTAGACTAGACGACCCTAGCGTTGGTCCAGGAGGTAGTGGTGGTGCCTCAATTACTGGTGGTGCTGGTACCGGTGGTGGCGGTACGTATGGCCATGTTTCTCCCAGATACCAGTTGCCATCCTCTCCAAGCCCGCCTTGTTGATGGGCCCAGGGCATGGATGGGGGGGGGGGGGGGTGGGGAAAGCAGAGTAGCTGATGAGATGCGCGTATTTGCTTGTAGGCCGCCCCTGGCAGAGTGCGGTTTCGTAGATCAAATGTGATTTCCTCCTCGCTGTTACCCGCGTTGTACTACGAATTTGATTTGATTGTTTCTGGGATGGAGTTAGATGGCGAATGAATACTTCCTGCTCTACTAGTTTGTGATATGAGATACGGTTTGTAAGATCAAAAGGGTGGTTACTACATTTTCTTTCGAAGATGGCACGAAGAAGAGGGACCATCGTTGAATGGGGCATCAGTCGTGTCATATATACACAAATCCACACAAATCTCCACCACACGCACCCAATCACCAGCACCATAACATAAAACGATATCCCCGTTTTCTGCATAGCATAGCATCTTCATCCCCACATCCCCACCACCACCCAAAACAAAAACAGAAAGAAACAACTCCCAATTACCACCACCACTTCACTAATCCTCAACATCATCCGCCAATAACCCCTGAAGTGTAACAAGCCCATTAACCACCTTCTCCACCAGTCCACCCTCCTCATCGCCGTCACCAGCCCTCAGCACCTCATCCTCCTCCACACTCGTTGCGGTGACGAGACTCTTCAAGTAATTCCTGTGGGTCAAGAAGTAATCCACACCCTCGACGATAGTCGAAGTATCGAGATTGACTCCCGAGGTAAGCTCTTGTTTCCCACCGAGTTTCTGGACGATGGCGAGGATCATCGCGATGCCAATGCACTCGTTCACGGCAGGCAAGACGACGACTGTGGACTGCTTGCTCTTCCATGCGTCTACCATCGCCACGCGAATCTGCGGACTGAAATACTTCAGGAATGCGATTATCTCGCGGCCGTAGCGGATTCCGATGTTGGCGAGGAGGTTAAGGGCGAGAGGAAGTAGTCCGCGGTACCAGATTGCATGGAGGCGCGGGTGAGAGAGGGGTGTGACGCCCTCTCTAATGCGTGCGGCAAGGGTGGTAGATGTTAGAAGCTCCAAGATGTTTTCAAGGGCGAGTTGCTCGGCAATTACCGGAACTGACGAGAGCTCAAGGAGGAAAAGGACCGAAAGTTCACCGTAGACCGGATCCTCTTCGTTTGTAGCGAGTTGCTCAGCCCATGAAAAGAGGGTGGTAGCAGCCCGAATCGTCTGGTTCTCGTGCAAGTGGTTGGCAAGGCCGTAGTGGATCTCACTAGAGTCTTTTATCCGCAGGGCTGCCTGTAGGATACCGGTTACCAGGGCAATGTCCTGGGGATTCGCTCGGTCAGGGTGTTGGTGGGCAGCTTGAGCAAGGTCTTTGAAGCCCTTTGCGACTACAATGTCGAGAAGGTCGACGACGAGGATGCCAAATTCTTGCGAGTGTTTTTCTTGCTTGACGGCAGCATTGAGGGAGATGTAGATTATTCGCAGTAGCGAGCGGTAGTAGTCCATGTCGGCGGTGACAAGAGCTTGTCGGAACTGTGTCGTGCTGTTGTGGATAGCCTTCAGGGCAACCGTGAAGACGCGCGTGAAAAGATCCGAGTCCGGCAGCGCCTGATGCAGTTTGCGGACAACGACGAAAGCAAACTCCGCCCGGCGGGCGAGAATCTGTGTGAAGATGGGAGCCGGAAGTCCTGTCTCCACGTTTTCTTGGAGGCAAGTTTCGACCACACTCACCAGGGAATCGGTAAGCTCTTTACTGTTATCGACAAAGTCACAGAGCTCAACCGCGAGCAGTTCCCAGGCTGAAAGCAGATCCTGTGATGAGATCGTTAGTACTAGTTCGTCCGGGGATGCAAAGACAAAAACTCACAACTTGTGTCTGCACCAGTGACAGGTTGAGATTCGCCCGCTCGACCTCACATCGGTACCCGTCCGGACGCCCAGCCCAGCCAGGATCGAATCCGAGAACCTTGTCGCCCAATACCATGTCGTAGACTGCGTCCACCCCGTATATCGTCCTTCTCAGCCTAGTCTTTTTGAGCTGTGCAAGCTTGACTCCTGGCCACTTTTCTTCTAAGTTCTTCTGAAGGTGTGCGTGGAGACTCGGTCTGTATCCACTAATCTTCACGGCCTTCTCGAAATAAAAGTTCAGCCGGGGAAGAAGTTGCTTGAAGAATACTTCGTCCCGCTGCGACGGCCTCCTTGTGTGAAGGTACAACGCGAGTATCCGAGCAATATGCGCCGCAACAGCTAACTTGCATGACTTCTCGGTGATGAGTTCCTTAGAATCTGCAGGCAGGAACTCAATCGTGAAGTTTTCGACATGCTTGGTCAAACCCGACAACAGCCTTGGGTGCTTTCCGATATCATCCATGGCCAAATTCCAGAAATTCTGTGCCGTTGAGACCATCTCCAACATCGCCAGAGTCTTTTCGACGGGAAGACGCTCAATCTCGTCCAAGGCATCAAAGCATATCGCCAGCATCGACTTCTTCTTCCCAGCCACGGCCTGACCAGCGCTCTTGCCTTGCCGGAGGGCTTTGCCTTGAAGAAGAAGTATCGTCATACCCTGTTGTTTGTTGCTTACTACTGCGGAGATGAAGTTCCAGATGCGAGTCTCGATGCCCTCGTCCTGGTATGGCCGGTCAAGATCCGACAAAAGGGCGACGAAATGATTCGCACAATCTACGCCCAGGTGTCCCAGTAACGAAGGAGGCTCTTCGGCGAAGGATCCGGAAGACTTTACCAAGCTTTCGAACAGCTCCAGAACATGTCTTCTGTACCTCTCGTCTGCTGCATATAGCTTGGCAATAGAGGCAGATGCCGCGTACAACTGCTTCTCCAGGTGTGAAGGGTCGTGTCTAGTAAACAAGTTAGTATATTGATCTACGTAATACTGGTGTAGATGATACTGACCCAAGATAAAGGCGGACTCTCGCCAACATGTCCGCAAACTTGACCACATTTACTACCTGGTCCACCCAAGTTCCCAAGGTCTGTATGTACAAGCTGCTTTCCGGGGTTTGGACGCCATCTGAGATAGCTCCCAAGATTGGTTCGATTGGTAGATCGCTCGTCGCAGTGCTCAAAAACACAGAAACAAGATATTCTGCGCTGGGTACCAATACGCTCGTGACCTTGTGATCCACATCCGAGAACTCGTCCACACCGTAAACGTAGTACAGAATCTTGGTGAAGACTCTAGCGATCAATGTTCCAATATGGAGCTTCTGGGCAACGTCCTTAGTATACTTGAATGACCGATAGCTCTCGAATATATCCACAACAATTCGCGTAAACCCAAGGAGTATTTCTCGTAGGACGGTGTCATTGGCGCCCGTGCCAGTAGGACCATGCATGATAGCTTTAGATGAGGAACCAAGAGGCTTACTCCATCCTTTGTTAGTGGCGCTGCTTCGAATAGCCTCCTCAACAAGGGTTTCGTAGAGTGTCAGGCAAGACAACGTGAAGTCGTAGCTCCCCTGGGTAACCTCCACTGCCGAAAGATAACCAGCGAACGCGCCACCGCGTCCGTGTCTTTCCAACAGTACACTCCTGGCGAGGTAGGCCCACACACGCCCTGGTGCCAGATGCACGAGCGAGTTGACAAACTCCACCCCGATAACGAAGAAAGGACTCTCAGTGGTGTAACGATTCAGCGCCGAGTCCAGAAGGTCAAAGACAACCGAGATGACATCCTTAGTCCTCTCCAACATCTCACTAGCTTCCATCAGAACTTGAGGAGCCTCATGAATTTCTGGCTCTCGTGCCAGCGCCGCTGCAGATTCCTTGGAGGAAGCGATCAACATTGTGAACAGCGACACAATCTCTGTTACAATCTCGGTCTGAACCAACGCTACTTCGCCAGCTTGGCTGGAAGCTGCACATTCCAAGATACGGCCAAATAGTGCAAGAGCATTGTACTCGTGTCGCCAGGCTACCACTTGTTTGGTACCGCCGCTAGAGATCACAATACCCTGCGTGCCCTGTGGGATGACGATACCGCCCAGCACAGCCAATGAGTCTTCCTGGTCGTCGAACTCAAACATGCCTCCATCCCGTGTCGGGAACAATTCCAGGTCTTGTTCTAACTGAATGTAGCGAGTGTCGTCATCTTCTGGCGTTTCCAAATCCTCAAAATCCTTGAACCCATGCGGAAGGGCTTCCGTATAGGTCGGCACACGAGCGAGATACCCGATTAGGGTTGCATCCTGAGTTGTTAAACCTCGGATGAGACGTAGGAACGGTAGAGGCTCATGGGGAAACCGGTTCTTTGCCCGAGCAAGAAGTGCTGCCGCGCCTTCGTGCTGCCAGAATTTCTCCACCGAACCTCCAGTCCAATCGATCCGGTTTGGCGGTTCCTCCAAAAGTTTGGGCTCGTCGTTCAGGAACTTCTCGTAAGCTGAAAGCTTGTTGTATTCGACATTGTGCGGCAAAAATGTTGCGACGATAAGGGTGCCCGTAAACTCGAAGAGCTTCTGCGTCTGGCGCACAAGGTCTGCAACTACATTCTTCATCCTCAAGCCATCCTCTTCGCCGTCCAGGTGAAATCCTGATACTTCTGGCTTGGCTTCAGTAGGGTCAAGCAGACCTACAATGGAAGCTGGCATTTGTACCACCGGGTGCCCGACCAAGTTTGCGAGACCCACTTCCACCGTCGTAGGGAAAAGCCCTGGCAGATGTTGGCCCCACATCTCAACGGCTGGGGTTCCACGTATGGCAAGTCCGTCGGCGTCATCCCAATGAGGCACATTCCTACTGAGCTCATTGATGTGGCCCAAAAGAAACGCCCATCCCATCACGGCAAGACTACTTGTGTAGGTACGACCAGCACATGCTTGCATGGAGTTTGTAATCGCTCTGATCGCTGATGGATCCTTAATGTAAAAGGCTTCACTTGGTGCCGTAGGTTGTAGTGAAGGGGGTGCCGTAGCAGGAGGGGTAGCAGAGGATCCTGGGGATAGAGGTTCAGCGAACTCTTCATCGATGATGGCCAAGGCGGTTGGGATTTGAAGCATCGCTACAGAGACTATCGATGCTAGCCCAGCCGTATAAGAATAGAAATTGCTGATCTCCTCATGGGTTGGAAACAGCACCTACACAGGACATTAGTATCCCGCTTGATAAGTTAGAGCATACAAATTGTACCCGTGGTCTGCCTCTCTTATCGAAGAACCTGACATTCTCCATCAGTCGAAACCATTCAGTTGCCAACTTGCCGTTGACAGGCTGTGGTGGCGGCTTGTACAACAGCAGAAAGAGCAGCTGTTGCAGATGTATGATCTCCAAAAATGTCTACAGGGCATCAGCAACAAGCAAGATGGATACAGAGACAGCACCGGCCTAACTTACCTGTTTCTCCCATGTGTATGCAACCTGATCGCGAACTTCAGGCTCCTCTAACCTTTGTTTAACCCAGGTTGGCCGACCGGTATCATCACTCCCCGCCTCGAACCATCTCGATCGAATTCCTTCCACAATACCTATCGCATATCCGACCCATCCCGTCGCCACCAGTTGGGAACTGAGCTGTTGACCGGCGTCGTTCCAAACGCTATCCCGACCGAGCGCAGCCCTCAGCAGCGCCACGGCAACCTTTGTAACATATCGCCGCTCACAAAGGTAGATCTCCACACGATCGAAGAAGATTCTGTCATCCTTCTGTTTTCGATCATCGGCGTTGTTCGGTCGGAATATGCTCTCCAAGAAGCTTGCGCCAAAGGTGCTTGCGCCGAGGTCTGTTGCATCGCCGCCGGCACCCGCCTCGGCAGCCAATAAAGCCTTCACCGGGCGGCCATGGTGTTCCAGTACCACGATGCGTAGCGCAGAGATCTCGTCAATGTTTAACGTTTTGCTGAGATCGAGTGCTGCAGTCTTCAGCTCGGCGATCAGTGGGAGGGTCGACGGTATCGTCCCGCAGCCATCGCCTCCAGGCTGGTCGGCGGCGGTGAAGTTTATCGGAGCTGTACGCCTCTCAAATTCTTGCTTGGATGCAGCGGAAGGAGGAGGGAACGGATTGTGGCAGTTCTGGAGCGCATTCAGAGAGTATTTGGAGCACAGAAATGCCGTGGCCTGGGCGACACTGGTGGGGGAAGGCGTGTTGGGTGAAGTGATGCGTGTGAATATCGAGCGCCATGACCTGTTCGATGCGCGCCATTAGCTGCGAGCCTTATGCGGAATGAGAAGTCGTGGTGATGTACGGGAGTAATGTCTTATTCTTTAATGCGTCGTCGAGAAAATCATTGTCGATAGAAACAGGAGCCATTGCTCAACGTATAAGCGGTTTACGATGGCGATGGAGAGGTTGTGAGCATTCGGCGGAGGAAAGAAAATCGAGAGGACGTTTTGTTCGTGGCAGTGCGTTGGTGTGGAGTTGGTAGCAGATGTCAGCGATCGCGGGAGGACGCGTTTGTGGTTTAGCTAGAAGGCTGACGACGCGGCTCTGCTTTTACTCTGGCCGGGCTGCTGGCGGCAATACTAGTGAGTGTGAAGAAAGAGGCTGAACGAGGCCGAGGACAGGCTGTGACGCTTAATACCCCCGCTACGGATAGACATCTTGATTCTTGAGTCACCGTTTTTCTCTCTCACTTTGGCATAAACTTGCTGGATCCACTCTGGTATTCAGCTCCGCGCCCAGGACATCTGCCCGTTTTCTTCACAGCATCTTTGCCCGGTTGATCGGACGTTTCGTTAACGCCCCGCTTTGGCTCAAAGTGTCGGGCGATATGACCCCATAGACGATATTGATAGAGTATAACAAGCCGCAGTGTAAACTGCGTGGACTGGTAAATCCGATGGAAATATCTGTCATTCCATAGGATGGTGGCCCCCGTATCAAATGACCTCTGCGTGGGATCACGTCGACAGTCCTGGTACACAACGAGTCAGGATGACCATGATTATCTTTGCGGGCTTTTTTGGGATCCATCCATCCAAACGAAAACTTATATATCCGCCGGACAGTGCACCTTCTTCGTGTCTGATACCCATTTCATTTCCCTCGTCCCACGGTTCGGTGTCACTATTCGTCCATTCCTTCACTCAAGATGACTCGTCTCTCAGGCCTTTTCCTGACTTTGTTCGCGGTTGGCAAGTGGTGCTCGCGAACTGTGTTTGGTGGGGCTCTGATGCTGACCAACATGCTGAAACCTGCGCCGAGACAGGGCATATCGCAGACCGCAAGGTACAAGCAAGCTGTGTGCCTAAGCAACCCGCCTGCTGCTGCTAACGGTGAAGCTGGTGGTGTCTGTCCAATTCGTTCGACAGCTCTCCCATCCATCCTCGCTCTCCCTTCATCATCTGAACATATCCCCATCACCCCCTTCAAAAGCCTCAAATCTCTATTTCCCTCTCCTTCCAACGTCTCACAGCAAAGCTGCTTGTTGTGCCTCGTCTTTGTTGTCTGATTTCCCCGCCGCTCTGCTAGTTACCCGGAAGAATCACATAGCTCATCCCGCCATCATCAATCGTCACTACTGCCGTCCCAAATGGTTGACAAGAAGTCACTCCGTTCAGGCAAGTCCGGAGACAACAAGAAGGACGCCAGCGGTTCTTCATCATCAAACAACAATAACGATAACAATCCATCGAAGCCTACCCGGACTTCATCCCGACGAACCGGCTCCGGATCCAGCACGAAGAAACCCACGCCTGAGAAAACCGACAAGAAGATGGCCGCCGATAAGAAGCCAGAACCTCCGGTAGAGGACGCGCAGATGAAGGACAAGAAGGACGACAGCGGTGATATCGAGATGGGAGATGTCGTTAAGAGCGGCAATGATGATAAGGATGACGAAAAGGCTGAGGAGCAGAAGGAAGACCCCGCCGTCACAACCTACAATGGTAGCTACTGCAACGCCCACCGCCAACTTCGCCCCCCCCCCCCCCCCCCCCCCCCCAACATCAATGAATTGATAGTGATGGAATGCTGATTACTCACATTTTGCTACTTCCACAGAGATCAAACAGAACTTCATCCTGTTGGAACGTGCCGTAAACCTCTTTGACGCCCGATACACCCTAAGGGTCCTCCGTTCGATAGCATCATTACGCCGCAAGATCACCCCCGAGATCATCGCGAAGATTGTCGATGAGGCCTACCCCGTCGAAAATAAGTCCCGCTCCAAGTTGCTCAGTGTACTTGGACATTCCGGATCAGTGATGGAAGTGGAGCGCGAAATCGAGATCTACACGATCAGCCCAGATGTGCTTCACGAGATCGACGTCTACCTCCACCTCCTCACCCAGATCTACCTTTTGGACCAGAAGAAGTACCAAGAGGGGGCTGCATTCTCCTCCGAACTTGTTGAGAAGGTCCACCGTCTTAACCGTCGGACACTCGATTCGCTCGCGTCCAAGGTCTACTTCTACTATGCCCGATTCCACGAGCTTCTACCTCCGCCGGCGGTCGTTGCAATCCGCGCCCAGCTTCTGGCGTCTCTCAGAACTGCAACACTCCGAAAAGACATTGAGCTTCAGGCCACCCTCATCACCCTCCTTCTGCGCAACTACATCTCAACCTCGGACATCACGCAAGCCGACCACCTCGTTAACAAGACCAAGTTCCCCGACCACGCTGCCAACAACCTGATCGCTAGATACAACTACTATCTGGGTAAGATCAAGGCCATCCAGCTAGACTACTCGGGAGCGCACGAGCAACTGGTCAGTGCCATCCGCAAGGCTCCCCAATCGCCCGCTGCGATCGGTTTCCTGCAGGCGGCGAACAAGCTCAACATCATCGTGGAGCTGCTAATGGGCGATATCCCCGACCGCGCTACCTTCCGCGATCCCCATCTCCAGAAGGCACTTTATGCCTACTTCCTCCTTGTACGTGCCGTGCGTGTTGGAGAGCTCGACGCCTTCTTTGAGACCCTCAACACGCACGCTGATACCTTCCGCCGGGACGGCACCTACACCCTTGTGCTCCGTCTCCGCCAGAACGTGATCAAGACTGGAATCCGCATGATGAGCTTGACGTACTCACGGATCTCGCTCCGCGACATCTGTATCCGCCTCGGCCTCGAGAGCGAGGAGAGCGCCGAGTACATTGTTGCCAAGGCTATCCGTGACGGCGTCATTGAGGCTACCCTGGATCACGAGAAGGGCTTCATGCAGAGTAAGGAGATTTTGGATGTCTACGCCACACAGGAGCCTCAGGAAGTGTTTCACTCGAGAATCACTTTCTGCATGAGCTTGCATAACGACAGTGTCAAAGTATTCTCACCCGCATCTCCCAATCTCACCTTTCCAAGCTAACATGACTAGGCTATGCGTTTCCCGATGAATCAACATCGTCTAGAACTGAAGAATGCCCAGGAGGCTCGCGAGCGGGAGCGGGAGCTTGCCAAGGAGATCCAGGAGGGCGAGATGGATGACGATGATGTGGGCGGCGAGTTCGATGACTTGTAAATGATTTGCAATCTGTTCGGCTGTGTTTGGGGGGGGTTTTTTTTGCTCGGATGAGGTGACGGCTCTGGTTCTGCAAACAATGATAATAGAACTGCTGTAGCGTTGGATTCTGTGCCGTGGATGGGTTATGGTCGTGGATGCTCTGGATGGGCTGATGTAGTTGTGGGATGGGGGATATACTGTGCTGTGAAATCGTGAAGACCGTTGACGCGTCCAGCTGTATACTCAGATCATCACTCGTCCTCCCTCATAGTCAAGGTCTCATGTTCAGGCACATCAATGGTTTTAACCCCTTCATCAACGTCTATTAATGATATATCCATACAAGTACGATCATTTCCGCACACGATTTCGATTAGAGTAGGTAGACACGAAAAGCATTTTAGTTTCTGAACAAACGAATAAAACAGCACAAAGGAAAGGATCAAAAAAAGGAAACGGCAGGAGCACAGCATGTACACCCCATATTCAGGGCAAGAAAAAAAAAACGGAAATCAATGAATTATAGAAAGGCAAGACAAATCTTCCTTACAAGACCTTACCAGCAGTGGCCGGCTGGCTCTTGTCCTTTGTCTGCGTCTTCTTGAGTTTGATGCCTTGGCCGATCTGTCCCAAGAATGAAGGGGGACCACCGGGTGGAGGACCTGAGGGCAGAGCTGACATAGGAGGAGGTGGCGGTGGAGGAGGTGGCGGTGGTCCGCCCATTCCTGGCATGGGAGGGGGTGGCGGGGGAGCTGGGGGAGCTGGGGGGGCACCGCCGGTTGGCATGGGAGGAGCCGGTGGCGGGGAAGGTTGTGCTTCCCTATCCATGCTTGAAAGGGGCCTAGGAGGAGCCATAGTTGCGAATAGAGAGGCGGCGAGTTGGGCGGTGTTCATACGGCTAGGCATTTCATCGTCGTCGTCGCTGCCCGAGTCATCGTCATCGTCCACGACACTCCAGTCGTCGTCATCGCGCTTCTTTGGGTCGAAGATGTGCACGTTTGGAAGGGCGGCAGCGGCGGGAGATTTCTGCTCAGCAGGGGCTTGGTCCTTAGCAAGGTTGAAGAAGGGGTTGTTGCTGCCGGATGGACCACCGGGAGTTTCACTGCCGGCAAGGCCCATAGGCTGGCCGAAGTCCTTCTTGAAGAAGGGGTTCTTGCTCTCTTGAGGGGCGGCAGTGGGTGCAGATGTGGGAGGTAGCGGTGGAGCAGGAGGAGGCTGCGATGCCATGGGGACCTCAGCTGGCGGGCTCTGCGGCATAGCACCTGGCATGCCCGGCATACCTGAGACTGGCGGCGGTGAAGGGGAACGTGGCGAGGATACGTTTTCGACAGCACCCATTGACTCCTGAGTGGGAGTTGCCTGTCCGCCAACGGCCTCTGGTCCTTCATCGTCCGAAGAAGAGTCCTCTTCCTCGAGTTGCCTCTTCAATTCCATCAGCCGCTCCTCCTCCCGTCTAGCAGCTTCAATCTTTGCACGCCTCTCCGCCAACTGAGCCTCCTTCTCCTTCTGAGCCTGGACGGCGGCCTTCTTCTTCGCAGCCTCCTCCTTCTTGCGAAGCTTGCCCTGCCTCATCTCTTCCTCGATAACTTTGATACGGGCCTGAGAAGCAGCCTCCTCGCGTGCAAGCTCCTCTTCTTCATTGCTAGCTTGCATTCTATTGACCATTAGCTTTACTTGTGTGATGGGGTTCACCGATTGGACTCACTCGAGCTCATGGATTTCGGCAGAGTTCTCCTCCTGCTCACGTCTCAGCTGCTCCTCCTCTTCCGCCCTCTTCTTATCCGCCTCAGCCTTGGCCCGTGAATCATTGTTCCCACGCTGGGGGGGTGGAGGGGGGGCCTTAGGCGCTGGCTTCTTGATTGGCGCCGCTGGAGGTGGTGTAGGCATATGTTCTTGAAGTCGGCTTTGACGTGCCCGCTCCCTCTGCGCCTCCTCCTCATCAGCCTTACGAATACGCTCTTCCTTCTCCCTCTGCTCGCGCTCAGCTCGCTGCTGCGCCGTCTCTCCAAGATTCATGGTCATGGGATGCTTGATGCCAAGGGCAGCAAGTCGTTCCGCCATCTTCGCTTGGGCCTGCGCTTTGACATGCGCGGCACGGTCCTCTGCCGAGTTGAAAGATCCATAGCTGCTCGGTCCGGTTTGGGTCGGTGCCGCAGTGGCTGCTCGGGGAGGAGGAGAAACGACACGGTCCCCTTGGGGCTTGGTGGAAGCTGGACGCCGGTCGAGTTCTGTACGATCGCTGCGGCGACGCGGATCGCGGTCATCCTCACGTTTGAGAGCTGCGGAACGGCTCTGGCGTTGTAGCTCAAAGATGAAATCCTTGACCTCGTCTTCAACGCCCAGACCATCCTCCCATCGTCTCTTTTCATGTTCGGAGGCACCATCCCTATGTCCGCCACCCACATCATTCAAGCTGTCTTCTAGAGACTTCTGGAATTCATTGACGCTCTCCTCGACATCGCGGGTCATCCTCTCATTATTAGCCTTTTCGGAATTGATTCTCTGGGACTCGTCGGCCAGCCGCTTGGCCGCCGCCTCGCCGCCATCATCGTTTCCAACTGGGTCAACAGGCTTGCCAGTCAGGGCAGCCAGCCGCTGCTGCATCATAGCACGAGACTTGGCTTTGAGGCGATCAGACTCTGTGATAGAGCCACCGGGGCCGGTGCCAACAATCGAAGAAGCCGATTCAGGGTGTTCTCTAGCATCCCTCAGCCGGAAGAGCTCTAGCTTGGCTTCCGCAATACGCCTCTCGGTGTTTCTAACCTTTGAGGCAATATCCGGGAGTCTGTCAGTGAGGTTCTGCAGTTGTCTCTTCATCTGGCGACGTTCAGCGTCCGAATCGGTGCTGCGCAACCCAGCATTCGCATGGCTGTCGATATCCTCTTGGACACGTCGAATGCGGCGGTAAAGGTCATCCGCGTCCCTGCGGTCCCTGCGATCCAATACATCCTCATCCTCTGCACGGGCTTCATCCTTAATGTCAATTGCATCCAGCAAGATTCTCTTCTCCCTAACTTTCTTACGGAGCTGCTCAAGCGAGATGTCTTCCGGACCGGGTGAAGGCGAAGCAGAACCTCCCGGTGACGGAGACGCTCCACGGGCGCGATGACGAGCGCTGGATCTATAGCCTGAACCTTCATCGTTGAACTTGTATACGGTTCCGTCCTTACGTAGCCCCGTGTTTCCATCGCCATGGAATGAGCGACTCTTCATGAAGCTAACGCCAGTCGCCTGTGGCTGAAGCGCTGAGTGTTTACGGCTGGATGCCAGGAAACCTTTCACAGTGTTGACGGATTCATTGAACTTCTTGGTAGAAGGGGGAATCAGCTCCGGCGGCAGGCGAGATGGAACATCGTGGCCGTTGAGCTTCCTGTAAATCTGTTCCGAAGGTTAGAGACGATTCTGAATGGCAGACCGAATGAAGAAAACCGCCTACCAGATGCATAGCCACCGCGAATTCATCCTTATCAAGCTTTCCCTTGTTTCCAGGATCCGCCAGTGTCCAAACCCTCATGAGGTCCTCCTTTGGCAACCCACTCTGTCCGAAAACTTCGATAGCTACATCACCCCCAATAAAACCCTTACGCATACCATCCCAGCCATCAAAAATCTTGTCGTACATTTGCTTTTCGACCTTGGTGACAGCCCACGGAATGGCGGCATTTCCGGTCAACCCTTGCATATTAAAACCGCCTTCTCTCCCAGGCTGGGGCATCATTTGTTGCTGCAAAGCCTCAAGACCCGGAAGACCAGTGGACGGCGTGTTGATGTATCCCCACTGTCCAGGCATACCAGTAGGCTGCGATTGCAGAAAGCTAGACCCAGCCGACAAGGACGACATCGAAGACATTCCTGTCGGCATTGGCGGCATCGAGGGAATATTCCCAGCTCCACCCATCTGCCCGTAGCCTGCCGGCTGAGGCATCATTCCACCTTGAAAGCCAGTCGGCTGTGATACAACACTCTGGAAGTTACCACCGGGAAAGCCAGTGGGTTGCGACTGCATGCCCTGGAAGCCTGTGGGTTGAGGCTGCATTCCCCCCATGTTATACCCGGTTGGCTGAGGCGCCAGACCCCCGAGGAGAGAGGTGTTGCTCTGGGTGGGTGTAGATGCAGCGGTTCGCGAAGGGGTGGTATCAAAGCTCGGTACATTGGTCTTTGGCGGTGCTGGTGGGGCAGAGTCCGGAACGCCGAACGAGATTATATCGACCATGCCGGATACTTCGTTCCTAATGACTTCTGGTAGCGTCGCTGGGAGTGTCTTTCCCTGTTTCCTGACATTGCACAGATACATAGCGAGTACGAATTCGGGGAACAGGAGTGCGCCCGATTTAGTGGTATCCGACAGTTGCCTATTGCTAGTCGTCAATACGAGTCCACTCCAACAGAACAGCGACGTAGAGAACGGACCATATTGCGTGGAGATCAGTCGCAGGAAGACCTGATTTCATCAAGATGGTTCTCGCGCGATCGCCTAGCGATTATATAAGTAATGATTACAGCTAAAGTTATTCCCACGACAAATCATACCAGACAAAGCTTGATCAGTTCCGACCGCCACCTTGAACAACTGCTCAAATCGCGACTGGTCTTGCGACGTGACGAACGATAGTCGGACATTGGGTATCTTCACTGGACCGGTATTGATCTGCGGGGTCTGAGCAGGCGGCTGCGGGGTGGGCTGGGCTTGCTGTTGCTGTGGTTGCTGGAACTGCTGCGGTATCTGCGGTATAGGCGGTAAGCTCTGACCGCCGAACCCGCCAATAGTCGTAGCAGGAAACCCAGTGTATTGTTGCTGCAAGGGTTGCTGCTGCTGCTGGCCCGGGAAGCCTGTGAACTGCTGTTGGAGCTGCGGTTGCTGTTGCTGCGGTGCTTGCGCACCGGGGAAACCAGTGAACTGCGATTGCATTGGCTGCTGCTGTGGCTGTTGTCCGGGGAAGCCCGTTTGCTGGTATCCCATGAACCCGGTGGGCTGGGGCTGCATAGAGTTCATTTGGCCGGGAAAGCCACTCTGAGGTTGTTGGCCATATTGCTGCTGCTGCTGTTGCTGTTGTTGAGTAGCATTGGGGTTGAGGAATCCTCCTCCCCCGGTCTGGGAATACATTTGGGGAGACGAAGTTTGATGGTACGGATATGAAGCTGAGTATCGCAATAGGTGATGTGGTGGTGGTAGCGGTGGTAGTGGTGGATGAGTGTCGATGTGGAGGTGCTAGCGATGTGGAACCCGATTCGTTTAAAGGAGAGCTGACGACGAGTTGCCTGTGGTTTCCCTCGACCACCAAACGCCAAGAACCGGCTTACTTGGATCAGCGCGCTCTGCACCCTTTTGCTATCCGCCATCGTCCTCCGACCCTTCTCTTTATCCGAGATGTCAACCAATACGTCCACCATCCCTCGGTTCTGTCTGCCCCAACGCCAATGGATTTCAACTCGCACGTTCACTTCCTCGTTACCGGTCGGATTGATATAATTCACCTTCCTTCTGCCATCGTCATCTCTACCTCTACATACAATGCTCTTATCCATTTCACGACAATGGTACTAGTGCTAGCTTCGGTGTCGGTTACCATAGAGCTCGATCGTCCCCCTCCCAAACGGCAACGGCAACTATTTGTCCCGCACATGACACACTAGGTACGCACACTGTCCGAGTTCCCGGCGGTGGACCTTTTTCTTTTTTCGGCAGCCGCTTTTCTTGAGGTTTGCACGTGTCTTGAATTATACGGTAGTCACTTTGATGCGAGCTTCTCCGCCGGATAAGTCGCTCAGCAGTACCACCGAGCTCAACAATCATCCGTCCACCGGCTGGCCCATCTCCAAACGCCCCTGTGAATAGGCGGTGAAGCTCTTGGATATCCCAAGCAATGGCGCATGAGTGTATCCAGGCCCGGGCATGTCGTTTTCCAAACGTGGTTGGCGGTTTAAGGACGCTGGACCATCCTGAGGATTGTAAGCAAAGTAAGGGAGGCTGGTGAACGCAATTTCAACATGCAAAAGTACTGTTGTGCTATGCGGCTTTCAATGATGTGGTTCTTCTCTTGTAGTCCTGGCAATTCTGGAGTCACGCTCTCAGTAGAACACCCGCACACGTACGGATAAAACCGAAAGAAAAGGAAACCGTGATGATGCCCGAGATGTGAGACGGCCAGTAGCCAGCACTGCGGTTATGGAAATTGCTTCAATGTCCGAATTTGGTCAAGAGTGTCGCCTCGGATATGAACCGTCTGAACAGTGGTACTACATGCAAATGAGAAGAGAGCAATGGAGTTCGTAGACGGTGCGTTGACACAGTGAAAGTTTATTCGCAGTGTAGCCCATTAATTGCGACAAATTATTCTGCGCCAACTCCTATCCATGACGAAAACAGAAGCACCGAAGAGGTCTTATGGCGAACTGCTCTCACGACGAAGCACTCTTATAACGAAGCGCCAGGTCCATCGCCTCCAGGAATCAACTGCAGGTAAACGGTCAGCACTTCCCCCTGTTCCCGCATCGCACCCCCGCCGAGAGAATGCCCCACCATGCAGATGTTGTTTCCGTTGAGAAGAATCTTCTTAAGCTTGATCTGCTCGCCAGTAGGTTCGCTGCGAAGATATGGCGGTGATTAGCGGTGTGGATGGAATGCGGTCACGCGGGGCATAGGTACTATTCTGTTACGTCTTCCAAGACCATGTCTACGGAGGATCAGCACGACATTCAGTAACAGCGGAAGTTCAAGGTAGACTTACTGACGTAGTCATCGAAGCCAACCAGTGTGCCGCTGAATTCTGCCAGAGCGTCAGTGGATTGGCAACCACAGCTCTTGAAGCTGGTTAACTGCTCACCCTTCTCCCCCTTCATCACTACCCATATCCGCGAACCAACACACTTGTCGACCAACTCTAAAATCGTACGTATCAGCTGCCTGAGTTTGGAGTAACGAGAGGAGACCGACCGAGAGGTAGTAGTTGAGATGCCATAGCTGTGATTGTTGTTTTGGGATGTTTAACTGACCCCGCGATGGTGGTGGGTGGGTGATGCAGTTCAGTAGATGCGGCAGCGCTTAGCTAGCGTGCCTTTAGAAGTTGCAACCACCTCCATCTTGCAGAGCCGCTAAAAAACCCATGGCGGTGCCTGCGAGTGGCAACCAACTCATTTCCACATCGACTCAAGCTCGCAGCTCCCAAGAAGATGCTGCGCGTTACCTCCTCCTCCACCTCTGCCCCGCAGTTCGCTATGGGCCGCACTTTCTCCAGCACTTCTTCGTGGTATTTAACGCACATCAGAACCCAGAAAATGTCTGGTGAACCTTCTGCGTAAAGTTTTCTTTCGAGATCTGAGAATGAACATGGTTTGTTGATATCTGCGCCATACAGAACAGATTTGACGACAGAGCAACCTTCGATTACCGAATGCCCACGGAATAGTGACCGCAAAGACTTGCTTGATCTGCAAACACGACGAAGCGGAAGCAGTTCACCCGCTTCTGATACTGCACCTCCAACTTCCTCAGCCTTCTTATGGCCACACAGCTTGAAGGCCACAGCAAGCCAACCCCGAACATTCTCGACAACGGCAAGCTACGCGCAGAAAAATCTGTGGCGAAATGGCGAATCAATCTTGTTCAGTGGCGCTGACAATGCGCCACCAGCTACTCCAGCACCACCTAGAGGAAATCCTGTGCAAGTGCGTGGAAGTCGGCCAACTTCGGTGCTGTCGTCTGCGGCACCGCCCATCACAAGGACTATCTCTCCATTGTGGAGAAGAGCTCGACAGCCAGATACGGATGCGGCAAGTGCCAAGGCTGTACGTTTCGCGAGAACAAAGCCGGAGGATACCATATTGAAGATCAAACAACTCAGTGAGGAAGCGAACCAGTACTTCTCACAATTGCAGGCGGAAATGGAGAAACTCGGTCTGGAGAGGAGAAAACGACCCTCGGCCGAATTACATACTGCATTGAATCTTGTCAATGCTCTCGCCGGTAATGCCATTGCCCTTCACCAAAAGGCGGAACGGTCGTCGCTTGTGATTGCCAGAAATCTTGCCAAATCACTCGCTGCCGAAGAGGCGGGGGAAACATTGACGGCGATGGAATCCCCTGGCGAGTGTGTACCAATTGAGGTTGTCAAGCCTCTCATTTCGAGCCCCAGGGTGAATTGGGACCAAGATTTTGCGAAGGTGCCCTCCCTTTCAACAGAGCCAGAGAAGCCATATATCCCCTTCTCAATGTACCATATTCCACCAAAGATTCTTGAGGTCAAAATGGCTCTAGCCGAGGAAAATGAGAATAAGTCATGGAACCATACATACTATGTCGATTCGAAGGGCGAGGGCGTCAAAGTCCATGTCTGCAAATCACTAGAGGACTGCGAGAAAGTGTTGCCACAATTTCTGGATGAGGAAGTCGTGGGATTTGACCTGGAATGGGTTTTCCCGGAGAGAAACAAGACATCCATAAGGTAGCCACTCGCGGCGCATTGTATTTACATACTGGAAGTTTCGACTGACAGTTCGTGTAGACAGAATGTTGCCGTCATCCAAGTGGCGAGTGAATCTACGATTGCCATAATACACGTGGCGCAGATTGGCTGCGATAGTAATGGGAAGCCATTGAAGTTAAAAGAATCAGTGGATGAACTCATCTCGCCGACGCTTCGGAAATTGATTGAGTCCGATCGAGTACTCAAAGTTGGAGTCAATGTTCTCGGCGACCACCGGCGTTTGCATAAATTCCTCGGCGTCAAGCCGCAGGGTGTCTTTGAGCTCAGCGATCTCCATAACCTCGTCGTATCTCTCGAAAACAACATGCCTAAGATTCCGAAAAGGCTGTTTGCGTTGGCTAAGCAGACGCGGGCGCATCTGGGCCTGCCGCTGGATAAAGGTCCAGTCAGAGTTTCCGACTGGTCGAAGCCTATGAGCAACGTGCAAGCAAAGTGTACGTTCTCCCGACTAGAACACCAACTATTGCTTGAGCTCATGTGTAACCAGATGCCGCTGCCGATACCTATGCTGGACTCCGAATCTTCGATGTTCTGGAGACCAGACGCATGGCCTTAAACCCTCGCCCCCGTCGACCGGAGTGTAGAGCTATCGAAGATACCTCCGAAGACTGTGCTCCTACCACCACCACAACCAGCACCACGGTAACATCCACCACCACTACCAAAACTACGGTCTTAACCTCCTCCGTAATCACGGCCATCCCAACATCAGCGGAAGGCTGCGACACCGAATCCACCACGGCCACCCCAACATCAACGGAAGGCCGCGAAACCGAATCCCCTACGGCCACCCCAACATCAACGGAAGGCTGCGACACCGAATCCCTCTCAGCCACCCCAACATCGACGGAAGGCTGCGACCCCGAAACCACCACGGCCACCCCAACATCAACGGAAGGCTGCGACACCGAATCCCTCTCGGAGACATCCAAGACCACCACCATCACCGAGGTCTTCTCCGCCGAGATAGAAGTAGCCTCGCAATGGATCAAAACCTACACCTCATCGTGCGGCACGTCACCGCCACTTTCGAAGCCCCAGATGCGTGCATACGCACTGTGGCACCACGCGGAGCTCGAACTCGCGGACATCGCAAAGATCTGGCGGGATCCGCCGCTTAGCGAGGAGACTGTGGCTATCTATCTCCTCGAGGCTATCAAGACTGAGAAATTGCCGTACGATGCTCTCCGTGTCAGGGCGGCCGCGAAACATGTACCGTACTATTTGAAAGATCGTTTCAAGCATATCTGGGAGCAGGAGGTAGAGGTTTAGATTTGACCATGGGGATAGGCGCATTTTGGGAGAATATTATTTGTAACTTGCTCGTTATGTACCACCATCTCATGATTGTAGAATGTATGTATAGTACTGTATGCACCGGCTTGGAGGTGCAAATGGACCAGGATTGATCCCCTTTTATCACTCGTGATTCCTAAATACGTACGCACCGATCCATTATACATACCTCGTACCATCGTTACCGTCCTTTTCCGTAGCTGCAGGGCTTCCTCTGTCCCCTGCGGAGTTGGCAGGAAAGGTCGGGTAAGGGGTTACGATAGTCTTGACAGGCCGCATGCGACAATACGTCGACCGCTTGAGGTCCAGTGAAGCTTCTCATCATTTAGGGGACTCGTTGATGCGGTGGTTACTACACACCTTATTGGTTAGTGGCTTGAGGGCATTCTTCACCGGTACATGCCCAATTCTATCGTCTCAGCCTTTTGTGAAGTTGGTTTTATGTAGTTACCCGCAACACACCGGCCACACACCGGCCACACTCGCGGCGCTGCCACTGTCGCACCGCGAGTTCAAGCGGTATATATCTATTCCTCATGTAGATATCCCGGGAGCCTGACTACAGTCTACGGCAATCCCCGAGAGGTACTCTATCTACATAACGACGGGAGACAGACAAGCTTCCCTTCACCGTACAAGCTGGAACGTTAGAGTACCTAGTGCACCAGCGCTTCCTTCTCCTTTCGATATGTACTCTACATACAGGGCTCGACCGCGTGCCTACTTACCAGCTCTAGCATTCGGGTATATCCAGCTGCAGTCGGGATAGGGGTGCTCTACTCTACTGACGAGGCAGATATCTTCCTCTGGACGACAGATAATCGTATATACGCAGGTGGTTGGGTCGCACTCTGCGCTCCCCTCCCCTCCCCTATTTGGAGATTACTCTCAAAGGAGAGATTGCGTGCGACAGCTAGAACTGGAATGGGACGAAGATTAACTTTTTAAACTTAAGGTTAAGCCTGAACCGAGATTCAATCTCGGCGAGCGAGGGGAGGGAGGGAGGGCCAGTGCCCATGTGTACTAGAGATCTGCCATCATCATCCTGCCGTGACGGGGGGGTTCGGGTCAACTGCTCGGTGGTTGGGTTGGGTTGGAGGGGGTCGGGGTGGCTTTTGCGGGATATCTATGTGTGAGATATGTTTCTTTGTTGGCGATTGATAGTTGATTCTTGAGCTGCGACGCATATATACGCACACGAGGAGATGTCCTCGGCCCTGAAGACCGAGGCTTGAGGTCCAGGAGTTGAGCAGGCGTGTCGCGGAATCGGTTTTACGGAGATCGTTCACGATACGGTAGTCGTCGAGTTGCCGAGTAGAGTACGCAAGCCGACACTCAATACGAGACTGATCGAGCCGCAGGATTGATGTTCGCCGTGTCGTGTGTGCAAGGCCGTCCCCCTGTGAGCACATATGATGATAACTAGCAGTTACCGGTAGATAGATGGTTCTGTGTCCACCGCCTCCTGCCGCACATCTGATACTACCGGCGTTCCCGCTCACTGCTTGCTGCTGCTGCTGCTGCTGCTGCTGCTGCTGCTGCCGTCAGTTGCGAGAGGACAGTTTGCATCAGTGAAACGACACGTTGGAATTTGCGCGAGATCCACTGGTGCGGTGGTGCTGCTCCAACAGTTACCTAACCAAGCTTGCGAGGATGCTCCGCAACGGATTCGTATGGATGTAGCCGACCGCCAGACGCAGCGGCCAAAGAGCTGTCTCTGTGACCCGCAGCCCGACCAATCACACGCACCGCTGCCACCCCCTTAGATCCCCAAACTCGGACCGTCCAACGAACCCAGTCGGCTGGTGCGGACCTGGTCCGTGTGGGCGCCAAGACACGCAGGGTTCAGGATGCATCGAGTAAAGTTATCGGGGAGGCAGGTAAAGAGGTTGTTGTTGTTGCAGGTAGTGTGAGTTGTGAGTGAGGGCGTGAAGAAAGACACCATAGAGCTTCCGGAATCGTTCATTATCCGCTGCTTCTTCAAATACCCCCCCGCGGCCCGCTGCTGCTTCATCTTCTTTCCTTCTCATCTCCTCTCCCCCACCATCACCACCACCCCCGAACCTTCTTGCAACACCTGTCTCCAATCATGTCGGAGCAGAAGAAGGGCGTTTCCGAGGTCGAGGAGACCTTCGACTTCATCCAGACTCCTCCAGCGAAGGAGCCCGCCCCACCGAGCACTGTATGCGGTGTGCGAACAACTGCTGTACGTGTCCCTGTCCGCCGTTGCATCAATCCCATCCCATCCCATTCAATTCCTCCTCTATCTATCCAATTCCTTCCAATTCCCTCCACTGGTGCTTCGTTGTATCTTTTGCTGACTCAATTGATCAGTACCCAACTATCCCCAATGCTCCCCTCCCCGCCGAGGGTCCCGGCAATGAGCAATTCAGCAACTTGATCCTGGGCGGTGCCATCATCGTCGTCCCCTTCTACCTGATGCGGAAAGTCGGCGGAGGCCTCAAAACCTTCATCTTCTTCGCATTGCTCACGTCCCTTCCGATTCTGGTTGGCTACTGGACAATCATGTCGCGGTACTCCCCCCGCAAGAATACGAAAGTCAAGTTGCCCGGAAAGCCCATCGAACACTACCTTGACTTCCACAAGCCCGAAGACAAGGAGAAGTACAAGGGCACCGCAAAGATCCCCATGGAGACCTTCCACGAGATGTACTTCGCCGGCGATGTGTCCTTCAAGGGCGACTGCTTGGAGATTCTGGAATACCGTCACGATTGGTGCACTTCCGAGTTCACCTGGAGCTTGTTCAAATACTTCTTGACCGGCATGATTCCCGAGGTTATCATGCACACTCGATCCCAGGGTAAGCTCTACATCTTACAGAAGTTCCCTCCTGGAAGCACGATACTAATTGCGCTGTAGATGAGGAGCAAGTCCGTGACCACTACGACCGTGGTGATGACTTCTACGGATGGTTCTTGGGCCCACGCATGATCTATACTTCCGGCCTTATCTCGGACATCCACAAGGAGGAGACTCTCGAGGAACTTCAGGACAACAAGCTCAAGACCGTCTGCAGCAAGATCGACTTGAAGCCCGGCGAGCGGATGTTGGATCTCGGCTGTGGTTGGGGAACGCTCGCTCGTTTCGCTTCCAAGAACTTTGGCGCACACGTTACCGGTATCACCCTCGGACGCAACCAGACCGCCTGGGGCAACAGTGGCCTTCGCCGTGATGGAACCCCTGAGTCTCAGTCTAAGGTTCTCTGCATGGATTACCGCGACACTCCCGTCCCCGAAGGAAAGTACAACAAGATCACCTGTCTCGAGATGGCTGAGCACGTCGGTGTCAAGCACTTCTCTACCTTCTTGAAGCAGGTCAACAACATGCTCGAGGACGACGGTATCTTCTTCCTGCAGATCGCTGGTCTGCGCAAGAGCTGGCAATATGAGGACCTCATCTGGGGATTGTTCATGAACAAATATGTCTTTCCCGGTGCTGACGCTTCGACCCCCCTTGGATGGTTCATCGACTCTCTCGAGGGTGCTGGTTTCGAGGTCAAGACTGTTGACACCATTGGAGGTATGTTCCGCTTGTCTGGTCCATCTGCCTATTGTCGATGCTAATTCTTCCCCACAGTTCACTACAGCGCTACTCTCTGGAGATGGTACAGAAACTGGATGGGTAACGAGGAGAAGGTCAAGGCCAAGTACGGTGGACGGTGGTTCCGCGTCTGGGAGTACTTCCTTGCGTACTCGACCATTACCTCCCGCCAGGGTGGTGCCACTTGCTACCAGATCGTCCTCCACAAGAACCTGAACGCCTTCCACCGTGTCGAGGGTATCGCCACTCAGTTCGCCATCACTGGTGCTCTGAACACTCCCAAGCCCGAACTGCCTCAGCAGGCTTAAGCCACGACATTTTCATGAATGCATATTGTGTTATTTAGGTTGGGATGGCTGGGTGCGTGGGGGTGTTGTGCGTTGTATGGGTTGCGTTTCTTTTTTCCCAGAGCGAGCTTCAATTGTTGTCTTCTCGGTCATTTTTGTCGCATATAGAATCTGGAAGGGAAAAGTTACTTGATGGGAATTCCTTGGCTATGCTGTCTGTGATCGCCCAGTGAATCAAATCGTGACCTCGATTTCGTCTCATCTCAACGCATGCCGCGTGTGTCCCGCTAGTATTCCTCCATCGCGGCCTGTTCCTAGTCTGAATGTTTGGCTAATGCACGGGCCAGCTAAACGGAAAACAGCACTTCGAACTCGGCGGCCGGATTGCCGGCACTTGTGCCAGTATCTCCAGGACGGGTAATCACTGACTTCCTCTCACCCGTGGGGCGACGACCAACCTCAAGCTCAAGCTTCACGTTGCTAGCAGCTACACACGCGGCACGCCACCATAGTTGCACTCGACGTCAGTTTCAAGCAATGCGTCTCTCCACAATACTCCTCGTCCTACCGTTCCTCGCGCACGCCGCACCCGCCCCTCCCGCCAAACCCCTCCCACTAGTGATCTGGCACGGCCTCGGTAGGCGCCCGCCTCCGCCATCCGCACCACCGTCCCGCTAACAAACCAGGCGACTCCTACGACTCCGACGGGATCCAAAGTGTCGCGGCCCTATTCCAGCACGTCTACCCATCTGCCTTCGTATACGCGATCCGACTTGCCCCCAGCGGCTCGTCCGATCGCAGCGCCACGTTCCTCGGCGACGTGAACGCGCAGCTCGCGGGGGTATGCAGCGACCTCGCCGCGATCCCCGAGCTCTCGGGCGGCTTCAACGCGCTCGGCTTCTCGCAGGGCGGGCAGTTCCTGCGCGGCTACGTCGAGCGCTGCAATGCCCCCGCGCTCCACACGCTCGTCACCTTCGGCTCCCAGCATAACGGCATCGCCGACTTCATTGCCGCCTGTGCGCCGGGGGACTTCGTTTGCCGCGGTGTCCAAGGGCTACTGCGCGGGCAGAAGTACTCCGACTATGTACAATCCCGTGTCGTCCCCGCGCAGTACTACAGGGATCCTGCGGATCTGGAGAGTTATAGAGAGCACTCCAGGTGGCTTGCCGATGTCAATAACGAGCGCAGCGAGAAGAACGCTACGTACAAAGAGAATCTAACGACGCTGGAGCGGTTCGTCATGTTCATGTTTGCGGACGACCAGACTGTCGTGCCGAAGGAGACCGCGTGGTGGGCCGACGTCAATACTACCTCTGGGGTGGTCACGAAACTGCAGGATACAAAGGGGTACAAGGAGGACTGGCTCGGGCTCAGGACCCTCGATAAACAGGGAAAGCTCGAGTTTTTGACGATTCCGGGAGAACATATGCGCTTTGAGGATGGTCTGCTCGAGGAGGTCTTTAGGAATTATTTTGGCCCACAGGGGAAGAGGCAGGAGTGGATTTGGCCGGTGGGGGAGAGAGGGAATGGTGTACTTGAGTTGCAGCCGCAGCTGCAGCCGGAGGTGCTCAGTGGCAGTGAGGAGTTGTGATGATTTATGGGCATGGGCATGGAGTTCGTCGAGTTCGGTTTTTTCTTTGAGCGCTTGTTTTCGTACTTGCTTATATGCACAATAATGAATAATCCCAGATGCTGGGCATATGGTGGAAGTTCCTGGGTGTTTTTTCTATGTCCATAGCAGTTTCGTCCACATCGTGCGGCAACGGACATGATATATCACTCGAGATTTTCTGCGTCAGTGTTGAGATTATCACTCGACACGCCATGTTTTTTGTGTTATTTTGGTGCTCACTCTGGCGTTGATATTGCTGCTGCTCAGAATGTAGGGTGCTACTCTAGACTTCTTACTTACTCGACTGAGTTTTCCAAGCCTTGGTGTCCATGAAGTATCTAGCTATTCACCTTACCTACCAATGCGATTGAGGCTAAGAGAACCAACAAAACCCATTCATACTCACCCATCCGCAGCTGCTTCACACCCGCAATCAGGGAAGGGAGCCGGTGGCGGAGAGACATGTTGTCCACCCCACCCACCGCATTGTGCATCCTATGTGATGTGATTAGAGTTGGCTACCATCCAAACCAAACCTTATAGAAGGAGACTGTGTTTATTTCACATACAGCATTTCTGGACTATGGCAAACCAAACCAACTACACCTTTTGTAGAGGGAGACCCCGCTACCTACCAAATGAAAGAATGAGTGAAGCCATAGAGGAGACTGCCAATCATTCGTCTTGCGCACAACCTTTTGACAAAGTGATAATCCATGAATGTCATAACAATGCTTTTTTTCGCCCATGATATATACAAAAAAATTGAACGCCACTGGACATTACTTCTTCTCTTCGGCGACGGCGGCGACGACCTTGACCTTCTTCTTCTTCGGGGTCTCAGCGGCCACCTCCTTCCCCTCCTCCACAGGCTTCGTCTCAGACAAGCCCTTCCTCTTCGCACTCCTCGTCTCCTTCTTCTCCTTCCTATCCGCAGCCTTATTCGCCAGCGCGAGCGCGCGCTCCTGCTGCTCATCGGGCGTCAACACGTCCTCCTCGCCGTACACGTCCGCGGCCATGTAGATGGGCAAGCTGGCGCTGTTGGGCGACTTGATGTGCAGACTCTTGACGTTCTTCCAACCGCCGGGGACCTTCTTGCTGGTGAGGTCGTCGACGACGCGGACAATGTTCTCGACCACCTGCTCGGGGGTCATGCTCGAGAGGGCGATGCGGACGGCGGTGGTGGCCGAGGGGGACAGGTGCGCGTACGTGCTCTTGAGCACCTTCTCGACCTGCGTCTTGAGGTAGGCGGGCGAGTCGTTGCCGGCCGCGAGTGTCACCGGCAGCGGGATCTTCGACGTCTGCCGATAGAACGGCTTGCCGAGCGTCGCGGGGAGCATCGTGATGATCCGGTCGTCGGCAAGGAATACGTCGTGGCTGTCGAGCAGCTGTCGTCGGTTCTCGAAGGCTTTGTATTTCTTCTGCAGCTTGCCCACGCCGATTACTTTCGTGACTACGTTGGAGAGCCCCGCGCTCGCAACTAGGTCCTTGAAGTGCCGCTGGGGGTCCTTGACGATCAGGCAGACGGTCGTTGTGGTCGGGTTGAGCAGCGCGTGCGGGATCGCAATCCGCAGGGGTTTCAGCTTCCGGGTGTCGGTCATGTACTTTTTCGTGTTGAGCTGTAGCCACAGCGGCACGGCCGAGTCGGCGGGGTTTTCGGGGTCTTCCAGAAGGTTGGGTTTGGTGTTCTCGTCGGCGGGCGCGGTCGAGATGTGCTTTAGGAGTGCTCGGGCAGCTTTTAGGGCCTGTTGCTTTGGTCAATGATTTTGCCTTTGGAGTTGGTGGGGGAAATAGAGAGTGTACCTGCGCTTCATCCAACCGGTATGGCGATACGGTCGCCGGATGTGGCGCCTTCTTTTCTACCTCTTTCACCTCCTCCGCTTTCTTCTCGACAACAGCAACAGACTTTGTGGACTTGTCTTCGCTCTCGGCCAGTTTCTCGTCGACATTTACGGCGGCCTTGGGTTTTGTCGCCTTCTTCTTCTGCTTCTGCTGCTTCTTCACTGCGGCGGCAGGAGCGGCGGCGGCAGCGGCCTTGGTGGATTGTTTTGAGCGAGCCATTGTAATTTGGAGTGGTGGATTGTGGTGAGGACTGAGAGCTGGCGGACGTTGGACTTCTCAGTGTCTTTGGCTGCAGCACATGAACTTTTTTTCGATAACGCTAACTCTATGTACGCTTCTTTTTCTGCGCGGGCTTGGCAGGGATCACGGCTGGTCACTCTCGCTTTAACGCGGATAGGAATAGAGTTGTAGGTGCCTCTTCCGCCAAGCAATATCAACACGTTCGTTCCTCGATAGCTCGGATCTCCACGACACTTCGATACTTCCATACCGCGCATCCCTACAATGGCTGGCGAAAGCGAGCTCTCGATCGAGGAAACCAACAAACTCCGCCTGTCCCTCGGCCTCAAGCCGTTAAGAGTCGACAACGAGCCCGTCACCGCGAACGCCAGTGGCGAGCCCGTATACGACAACACGACCGAGGGCCGCGAGCGGCGCGCAGTCGACAACTGGAAGGCACATACGGCGGAGCTGCAGAAGGAGGCGGCGAAGAAGCGACGACAGGATGACATAAAGAAGGCGCGGGAGGCGGCGCAGCGGTTCCGGAAGCTGGAGGGTGCGGGACTCGCGGATGAGGATGAGGAGGAGGATACGGCTAGTTGGGTGCGCAAGATGAAGAAGCGCCAGAAGAAGAAGGCGGATGAGATCGCGAGGGAGATGGAGGAGGAGCTGGAGAGGGCCGCTGCCGAGTCGAAGGAGTATACTACCGCCGAGTTGAAGGGGCTGAAGGTCTCGCATGATCTGGCACAACTTGGCGAGATGGGCGGCGAGACGATCTTGACGTTGAAAGATAGCACAATTGATGAGAATGAAGGTATGTTGTTGCGTGGGCACTTTTCGTACTGTGGATGGGACTGACGTTACGGCAGAGGAGGGCGATGAGCTCGTTTCGACTGAACTTACCGAGCGCGAACGATTGATGGAACGCCTCGAGCTCAAGAAGAAGAAACCTATCTACAACGCCTACGATGACGAGGAAGGGGGAGAGAAGCGACTGCTGGCGCACTATGATGACGATGAAGAAAAGGGTCGTCTAAAGAAGAGGTTTGTCCTTGACGACACCGGTAACTTGGCGGACAACGAGACTTATCGTCAAGAAGTGGTGGAAAAGCTCAGATCAAGAGGAATTACCTTGGATATGCCCAGTAAGCACATTCCTTTGTCTCTCTACAGTCTAGCTATTAACATGCATCGTAGAAGCCGAAGTCGCCTCTGATTACATCGACCCGGTCTCGATCAAGGTCAAGAAACCCAAAAAGAAGAAGTCCAAATCCACTCGCAAGCGCGGTGGCGACGACGAAGATGCACTCAACCCGGCTATGTCGGCGGAGCCAAGTCCTCCGGAAGACGTTAACGCGATGGAAGTGGACGACTCGGCCGCACCAATGGTAAAGCCGAAACGGAAGATAGCCGAGGATGTATCATTCATCGACGACGAGGACCTCCAAGCATCACTAGCGCTGCAACGTCGGGCGGCCCTCAAGAAGCGAAGGATTCTCAAGCCGGCTGACTTGGCCAGACAGTTCCAGGAAGAAGCCGCCGAGAATGCCCAGGCTACTCCTGGCGGCATGGAAGAAGACCAGGACGAGGAAACCCCAGGCCTCATCATCGACGAGACATCCGAGTTTGTTGCCACTCTCCGCGCCCCGACAGTATCGGAGCGGAAAGCACCCCGCTCCGCCTCCGCGCAGCCCGAGCGCATGAAGGAGGACTCCCCCGAAGCTGAAGCAGCAGATGGCGACGTGGACATGATTCGCGACGAGCGTGAGGTATCCGCCAAAGTCGAGGACACTCCACCAGCCGCTCCCACCATCACCTCCACCGGTCTCGAAGAGGAAACCACGATCAGCCGCGGTGTCGGTGCAACTCTGGCGATGCTCAACCAGCGCGGCCTTCTCAAGCGGGATCCAGAGGCGGAGAAGAAACTGGAGCTGCAACGACAGCGCGAGAAGTTCCTGCGGGACAAGAAGCGCCGCGAGCTCGAGGCCGAGGACAAGGCGAAAGCTGCGCGTGCTAAAGATCGTTCCAGCGGGAAGTTTGAGCGCATGAGCGCTCGCGAACGTGAAGAGCACGCTCGATGGGAGAATAAACAGAGAGACCTACAGGAGGCCCGGGACATGGCGTTGAAGTTCAAAGATTACAAGCCTGATGTGAACTTGAGTTACAAGGATGAGTTCGGGCGCGAAATGAACCAGAAGGAGGTATGTTGATGAATTCCTTATCCCTTTCCTGTGAATGAACATATGCTAATGGTGGCAATAGGCATTCAAGCACTTGTCGCATCAGTTCCACGGCAAGGGCTCCGGCAAGGCGAAGACAGAGAAGAGGCTGAAGAAGATTGAAGACGAGAAGAAGAGGGAGGCCGCGAGTGGACTGGGATCCGCGGCCGATAATGCTGTATCGACTGCTGCAAAGAAGAGCAAGCAGGCTGGAGTAAGATTGATGTAATTCACTTGTGGCGAGTGATTGTGGATGAATAGTAATAGAGCGTTTTGAACACAACTTTGGGCGGAAAATGAATCATGAAACCTGTGCTTCAATCTCTGAACATAAAATAAATGAACTTGCGGGAACACACATATCTCTTGTTGAGCACCATATGATTTCGGATATATATAAGTCACACTCGTGCAATTGGGTCCTGAAGAAATGGCATGCTATTCTACAGCGGGCTGAGGTAGTGGGGTTATATGTCGTATGATATGTTATGAGAGAATCTGAAGCTTGAGCTCGGTCTTGGTCATTGTCATTGTTTTACCATAGTAGGTAATGATTTGCCCCAAGAAGTAGCCATCAGCTATTGCTCTGTAGCCTCTGCAGGTGACGAGGCTGAACATCCAACCAGCTGCGTAACCACCCGCCCACGAATACGTAGTGTACTGCAGATTCCTGCAGCCACGGATGTGCCGGGACACCGGCTGGCCCGAAAAACGGTCCTGCGTACCGGATGGGCCGGCGGCCATGAACCAGAATAGCAACCACTTCTTATGTATGTGGTCAGGCTTCACTTAGGCCCGCATCCGTAGCGTCCGCGCATGTGTCAATTTTTTTTTCGCTGCAGATTTCTTTCTCTCATAGGTAACGATGTCCGGTGTGAACGTTCGTTCGGTTCAGGATCTGGTCCTGTGTCGCTGTTCCCTCGTTTCTCCACATTTTTAATGTTAAGCGACACGACGTCTCTTGGGTACGGGACGATGCAGGGACCCACCGGGAAGGTCCAGGAAAGGAGCTGAGTGGATCGAGCGGATCATGATATATCGTTCGCGTGCGAGATGGCGGAGAGCAGAGAGGGCTGTTTACATTCATCCACCGATATGTAGATGCCCGCCCCACACTGCGGATCTCTTTTTGTCCGTGGTTTCGAAGAGCTCGTTCACACTTCTAAGCGCTCTCACATGATAACTATGCACGGCGTCTTCCCGGCGGACGTTCACGGTCCCACGCTCCTTTGCTACTTCGAGGCCGAAGAATACAAGTTTCTCTCCCCTCGCTCCCCCATTCATCCCTCCTTTCTTCCCCCTCCCTGCAAACCACAACCACCCCCTGTACGACAGCTCGAACAGCTCCGGCGCAGGTCGAGTAGAAGATGGTGTGTGACAAACAAGTGCATTTCTCTCCCTCGTTCCTTATTTCGCTCTCTTTCTAAACCCCCCGTCCCCTCCCCTCCTCGACCCCTTGATCGCCCACTCACCCACCAACACCTCCAACCTACATTCGCTACCACTACATACTACAACCGGCCATCGCGAACTAGCTGACTGACTGAAATTCCACTCTCGTTCTCTATCTCCTCTCCTTTGCGTCGCCCTTTCATCACTCGTTTGAATCGTAAATAAAACATCTTGAAACCTCACCTTGCCTGTACCAATCCGTTTCCCTCCTCAGCTTCCTTCACCATGCGGGTACCGAGGTCTTCGTTACTTCTGCTGTCAGCATTTGCAGCACTCGCAGCACTCGCGCTCGCTCAGAGCAGCGACACCGGAACCGCAGCGCAAACCACCGCAGCAGTGACTACAACTGCACGAACCACCGCCGCGCAAACCACCGCCACACCCAACACCGGCCTACCGAACGTTTCCTCGACGCAAACCTCGTTGGCGACCGTCACGCGCAGCAGCAGCAGCGGCGATGCAGCGGCCACCTCGGCAAACAGCGGAGGCGGTCTCCCAAAACTGCCCAAGCAATACACCGTACCGACGATCACGCCGCCGCCCAACGCCAACGCGCCGTTCATGCAGCAGAGCAAATACCCCGAGGGCACCATCTTCATTGCTGTGGGCGGTGGCTTGGCCCTGTGTCTCCTGATCGTGATGGCCTGGCGCGGGATCGTCGCCTGGTCCCTCCACCGCTCCATGAGCCGCACTACCACCAAGCCCGGCATGATCGACTCCAAGTCCATGCTCCACAAGTCGAAGGGAGGCAACGGAAGTGGGGGGTTCTACGCCGTCGGCCCAGGATCGACGTTGTCGCTGGACCACCTGGGCTCCAACCGCTCTCCGGGATTGGGCCCGAACGGAAGCCTCTTCTTCTCGCCCACGTCGAACTCTATCGCGCCGAACAGCGCCGGTGGGGATCGCCGGTCCACCTACCTGCCCGCCGGATTCTACGCTGCCGGGAATAGGAACTCGGCCGTGCTCAACAACAACAGCCAAACGCGCTTCTCGAGATCCAGAGGACCGGGTGCTTCGCCGCCGGGAACTCCGTTGATGGCGCCGCAGAGCAGGGGAGGCGCCAGCAGCATACAGACGGAGAGGATGAGTGGCATGCGCGTCAACGACTCGCTGACGAGTCTGGCATTACCCCCGACTGGTCGAGCTCCTAGTGCGTACCTCGAGGATCTCTTTGAGAACCATCAGTTGCCGGAACACGGTGGCCAGGGGAGATTGTGAGGTGTGAGCTGAGACAACGAGCGGAACGCGCATGGCCTAGGTAATTCGCTCGCTTCAGCGACGAGTTGGATGTTCGGATGGACGCTGCTCGTGTTGCTACTGGGTGCTGGTGATGGTGGCGCTGGGTGGTGATGGTCATCGCGGATGTTTAGTTTTGATTGGACGCGCAATCGGTTGTTCAATGTTCACTTTCCGCACTTTCCGTCTTTTTTTCTTTTCTTTCCGTTTGGTTCTTCTGGCGCCCTTTTGTTCTTATTCTTGGTTCGCTTCATATTTCTTTTTCTTTTTTCTTTTCCTTTCGCCTGGTGGCATGTTGATTAACTTTTATTTCTATTCTCGCTCTCCTATTTCTGTTTTTTTTTGGCTATTGTCCATTGAGGGTTTCAGGTAATCGGTTCGAGGGATGGCCGTAGTTTTAGTTGTAGTTGGAATGGGGGGAGAAGGGGGAGAAGGGGAGATACTTTGGTTTTCTTCTAGAGGCGGCCGTGCATGTATGTATGCTATGTAAGATAAAACTGGCCGGCGATCGTGGAGAGAAGTTGAGTTGATATTTCTGTCTGTCTGGCTGTCTGGAAGAGGACCGTACAAGAGCGGAGTCGGTGGATTACTCAAGTGCATACGGTACTAGGTAAATATGCATGATGTGTATGTGGGCATGGCTAAAGCCCGCCATGAGACATTATTCGGTTTTCTGCCTCTTATTTTTTTGCGTACAACAGTACAACTCCCCGGCACGGGCATAGGCACAGGCACAGGCACAGGCACAGGAACCACGTCACACGCGCCATGTAGGTTCGTCCCACCCCTATGTATCTCCCCAAAACCCGGATACCTACGCGGGTGTGGCAGAATTGATGTGCGAGTGGGTTTGGTTGGGACTGGTAGCGAGCGAAGGAACGGCCCACGGGGCTCTTGTTGTTTCGATGTTTTGCGGTTGGCCGGTCGAACACGGCAGCACAGTAGCCAGCTCCCTCCATGATAGGAGTCGCCAGGCTCCCGCCAGGCTCCCTCCAGGCTCCCTTCCTCCCGCCTTGCTCGTTGGGGGGTGCATAACCTTATACCCGGAAGGGCCCGGGCGATCTCCGAGACATCCAACACGCTTCGGCAGGGAGGAGGGGCCGTTCCTGATAGGTTCCTGATACGATGCATAAGTGCGCAGCCCTGTATGCATCCATCGCATCCATCCCGTCTCCGGGGTGAGAAATTGAGTAGTTATGTGCATACGGGATGCGAAGACAACACCGCTGGCCGGTGGCAGGTCCGCAGCTGCGGTGGGTATGGAGTATTATGGGCATGATATGATATGATATAAAGCCCCCCCTCGGCGGCCGTGCGTGTAGCAGTCCGTCAATCCGTCCGCCCAAAATCCGTTCAATCCGTCCGCCCATCCATCACCGATGCCTCGCCCTCTGCCCCTCCTTCTGGTCCTGATCCACCTCCTCCTCTTTGCCCTCGTCCACGCCTCACTCGACAGCGCGATCAAGCTCTCGGGCAAGCTCTACTTCGGCACGGCGCTCGATCCACGACACCTATCCGATACGCGGTGCGAGCCCATTGCGCGCCGCGAGTTCGGCAGCATCACCACCGAGAACACCCTCAAGTGGGGCGAGACCCAGCGGGTGCGCGGAAATTTCACGCTCGAGGACGCGGAGACAGTGGTAGGATGGGCCATGGGCGCGGGGAAGACGGTTAGGGGACATGCGCTCGTGTGGCATGGCGGCGTGCCGTGAGTATACTCCAATGGACGGGGAAGGGGAGGACGGGGGATGGGGTGCGGGGCTGATGTGTGTGTGCGAGTAGGGACTGGGTAGAGCAGATCCAGACGGCGGAGGAGATGCGCTCTGTGCTGCAGGCGCATATCACCACGGTTGTCAGCCGGTTCCGCGGGCGGCTATACGCGTGGGACGTGGTCAACGAGGTGTTTAACGACGACGGCTCGTGGCGGGAGTCGGTGTTCTTCCGGCTTTTAGGCGCGGAATACGTTCGCCTCGCGTTTCGAGCTGCTAATGCAGCGGATCCGGAGGTGAAGCTGTATCTTAACGATTATCATATTCATCACCAGGGGCCGAAGTTGGATGCCGTGATCAGGCTCGCACAGGACCTAAGGGCAGAGGGGGTTCCGATACATGGAATCGGCAGTCAAACGCATCTGGTCGTTGCGGATGGGAATACGCCCGGTATGGCACAGGTTGGTTATCCTCCCCTCCAACACGCAAGGGAGTGAGGCGTTTGGGCTGGATCAAAGTTGGCTGCACATGGCGGGCAGTTTCAACCAGCTCCAAGATCACAACCTCCCCGCGCTCCCTCCCTCACATACGCTGACTCCAACTCCGACTCTGACGATATGTAGTCACTGCAACACCTCGCGACCTCCACCGGCCTCGAAATCGCATTGACCGAAGTCGACGTGCGAATCCCGCAGCCGGCGAACCGACGGAAGCTGCGCGAGCAGCACGGCGACTACGAATACACCGTGGCGGCATGTCTGGCCGTGCCGCAGTGCGTCGGCGTCACCGTCTGGGGCATCAGTGATCGATACTCGTGGGTTGACGATAGTGAGGAGACGCGGGGGTATGATGCCCCGCTCATGTGGGATGTCAGGTATGTAAAGAAACTCGCGTATGAGGGCGCTATGAAGGGGATTGAGGGGAGGGGGAGGGCACCGAGGAGGAGGAGGGGTTGATGAAGGGGCGTGGGTTGGGGTTGGGATTGGGGTTGGATGGTTGGAGGGTTATGGAACGGCGGGGGGAAATAATTGGAATAGAGAGTGGTGGTGGCAGTGGCTATTCGGCCTGGGTTCAAACTTCAGACAGCCAGAAATCGCAAACACTCCAATACCTAATAAAGCTCGGCCATATCCAGTAATTTGGAATGTAGAGGCACAGGCCGCGATCAATATTCGAGAGTGATGCGACGTGATGCAAACGCCGTCCAGCCAACTGGTACCCGTCTTTCTCGGCACCGCCCCCACAAGTCATCACATGGCCGTCCGTTCGCGAGGCCACAAACGCGTCAGAACGGGAGCCGACTGCTTGGCAAGGCGACTTCGGGATTCGGCACGCCAGTTCTCTAGTTCAGCCCCGGTTCGCTGGCTGGCTTCCATTCATCTCCAAGAGTCTTTGTGGCGCTACCTATTCGCTGACAGCGGTGCAGCGTAGTGCAGTGTACTTTCGAATCCACACGCCGACTCATTTGTCTGCAGGTACCGTACCTACCGTAGGTACTCCTCGCGTCCAAGGTACACCTGGTTCGCTCGTTCATTCGTCCAGTCTAGTCGCGCGGTCCCGTGATTCCGCGGCGACTCTATAGTACGCACATCGGGAACTGCGATATCCGGGATGCGGGGCGACGGAATGGATGCGGTTTGTTTATGTCTAAACTTTGTGCGATGAGATGGACTCTGCAGAGGTGTGTGTATACGCCATTGGACGATACTGCCGGTAGGTGTGTACGAAAATACACGGCCATAGGGAGTAGGACTGTAGGGAGTCGTAAGCGGTTGCTGGGCAGCCGTCATCCATCTGTGGCGCAATGGCTAGTTGAAAGTGGTAGACGCCGGTATGAGGGGATTCCGATTGGTGACTCCGATCGAGGCCGAGGGCAGTAGGGAGGTAAGTCGTCAGCTTGCGCACGCTTCAGCGTTTTTCGAAGATCTTCGGGCTGTGTGCACTGTTGCCCCAGCCACCTTGATTTGTTTGGTTTTGCGCCACGCCCGTTTTGTTTGGTATTATTGTGCCACACCCATCTTGTTTACGTCCTCTAATAGGTAATAGAGTAGATACGCGAGTGACCGACCCGAGCCAAACACGAAACCTCCTCCTCCTTGAATCTCCAGCTCGCCGCGAGTGAGTGTCTGTGTACGTAAGCGGACAGAAAGGGAGAGAGAAAGGGAGATGCGAGGGAGATTATTCTTTTGCGTTGTAGCATTCCTCTTCTCAGATCAGCCCTCGTCCTATCACGGGTTCCCATCACCTCTCTTGCCGCCCCCAACCTACTCCTTGCAGCGCTCCGTATTCGACGCATGCGCTTCTGATCTGCTGCTCCCAGCCCTCCACTTAACCACAACAACAAACCGGCACCGACTAGAGCAGCAGCTCCCCTCCCTCGCAAGTTCGCAACCCACCCTCCAACCTACTCTGCGCCATACCATATCTAAGCACCACCACCCCCCCTCCCCCCCACCCACCCTCCTCACCTCTCTCGAATCAGAATTGTCTCGCACACACGCAGACACATCACATACATACGCACACACATCTAGCTGCGCCTAACACACCCAACCACCGACCGGCGAATCCAAACACCTTTTAGCCCCCCGCCCGAGCACTGCACTCGACGCAGCATACATTACATACGTAACTCGATCCCGCTGCGCTGGCGATTGAGGAGGATCCGATCCGAAACCCCGCCTTCAACCGACGAAATAGCCAAACTACGCCATGGTTCGCGCGGGTATTAAAGAGGCCCACCCCGCCGGCATCTGGTCTGACATGACCAGTGACGGACCAGTAATCGGGACTTTGGTTTGCGTTTTGGACAGAGCGGTTGGTATTTTCCAAACCCCCGCACTATGCTTGTCGATATGTTGTGGACGATGTGTTGTTGACATGGGAATAGAAAAACTTGCCGAATAAGAAGAAGATCGGGAAACAGGACCCGTATGCGGTTGCACGGTTGGCAAAGGAAGCGAAGCGAACCGACACGGACGTGAGAGGCGGCCAGGTACCACGGTGGTGAGCATCTCGCTGGATGGCACTTTCACGCGTGCGATTCATGCGACCCCCAGCTAACGGGCGGGCGTAACAACAGGGATAAGGAGCTGCGGTTTCCGGTGCGCGATTCGCCAGACTACAGGACTCTCAAGGTCAGCGTGTTCAACGACGACAAGAAGACCGATCTCATCGGCGAGTGTACGCTCCGACTCGATACGATATTGGTGCCCGGCGGTGGAACCGACGACGGCTGGAGAGGTCTCAAGTGCAAGGACAAATACGCGGGAGAGATATTGGTCGAGTTGACGTTTTGGGATTTGAGACCGAAGCAGAAGAAGAAGGAGGATCTTAAGAAGCCGAGGCGCATCACTGCTTTCGAGGAGATTGAACCGGAAGTCCCGCTTAGAAAGCTCGGCGGTGCACGAGAGATGGGATCGCGAGAAAAGGCAGTACCGACGGTTAAGAGGCGGCCGCTACCGTCGAGCCCTACAATGGGAGCAGAGCCTAGCTCTGGCGAGGAGCGCAGGAAAAAGGAGGAGGAGCGAAGGGAGCGAAGGGCGACTCGCAAATCGAGAAATTCTTACCAGCCAGATGCTCCGAGGCCGAAGTCGTCACATTACCCTTCTCACCAGCCTTCTCGACGGGATCTTCACGACGAGTACTCCCAACCTGCTCACCAGCCTTCTCGGCGCGATCTTCACGATGACTTTCAACACCACTCTCAACCTTCTCACCAGCCTTCTCGTCGTGATCTTCACGACGATTTCCAGCATCAATCTCAGCCGCCGCCTCAGCCACGAGAGCGTCGGCATCGCGAACATCGGAGTTCAAGGCCTCCCGACCAAAGCGCGAACCACAGGCACAGCATGATCGACCTGAGCCATAGACCCAGTATGATGGACATGAATCAGCGAAATAGCATGGTGATGACTCCGGCAGGACACGATCCCGGTGGACGGCCTGAGATTTATGATCCTGGTGATTACGTGTCTCCTGCTAGTCGTAACGACGAATATCAGGTGGATCCATACCAGGATCCATACCAGGACGAGCCACCTCCACCGCCTCCTCCGGCTCACAGGACATTGAATGCGCTGCCTCCAATGGATCATTCCCCGATCAACAACGGGCACTCGGAATTCCCGCCAGAGACTGACTTCCAGAAGCAGCTGCGCCACTTTCAGAGTGTACCTGCTTTCCCGCAGCCAACGCTTAACCACCAACGCAGCTTTGATTCCCGTGGACTCGAGCAACTGCAACAGTTCCATCAATTGCAACAGTTCACGCCGACATATCCGGAAGCCAATTTCCATCACCAGCAATCGCCACAGCATTCCCAGCTTCAGCTCGGTGTCTACGATCAGGTACCATACGAGGACGACCTCCCACCTCTGTCACATGTTCCGACGCCCGACAGCTCCAATCCAAGCTCGAGGGATGGGCCGCTACCTCCAGATGGGCCGCCACCGCCCCCTCCGCCTCATCGAAGACCGCCTGCCCCACCCAGTCCGCTGATTGATGAACCCAATTGGGACAACCATCGACCGAAGACTTTGGAGGAGGAGCATGGACTTCCGTCGTATGAGTCGTTGACGGCTGCGGATAGAAGGCCGTCGGTTGATGTGGCGGTTCGGAGCGGTATTCCGTTGCCACCAAGTCTGATTCCAGGCATCGTTTCCGACCTCGTGGGTGGCGTGGAGCGGCGTCAATTGTTGCAGATTGAAGCACCGCCACCACTCTTTTCTCGACCCAGCACAAACTATCACAGACCTCAGGTTGAGGAAGTTCAGGATATACAGCTGTACAAGTCTGAGCCTGAAGCTAGGGTATTTGCCCAGCAACAGCAACAGCAACAACAACAGCAGCAGCAACAGCAGCATCAACAACAACAACAGCAGCAGCATCAGTTGCCCCCCCCTCCGCCTCCTCAGACATTGAAGAAGAAGCATTCGCACCGTCCTCCAGTGTCACAGATGGTCAAGCCTATGGCGATTCACGGCGAACGGGACAGTGCAGTGCCGGTAGTCAATCCAGGGCCGAATGCAATCCGCAAGGCATCCGTCCTGAACCTGAGGCCGGAACGCAAACCAGTACCAGCGCCGGAAAGGCCACCGCCGAGACAACTCTCGGGGATCCCATTCGGCCCGGACAGCTACGATGCCATCAACCCTAACCCAGTCGCATCACTCGACGCGCTGGCCAGGCATGCTCCACCGGAAAGAATGATTGTCCCCGGCTCCAACAAGGTCTACGACCCGTCGGACGTGCTCTTGCCCGAGACGTTTGCACCCGAGCCCGAGCCGAAGCGTAGGGCGCCTCGACCACCGCCCCCGGTACCAATCGAACACAGACGTGAGCGGGTCGGCCGAAGCGTCAGTCCTGCGCCACCCCGAGGCCCAAGACTTTCCCTCCCCGCACCCCCGCCGCACGTGCCTGCCAAACAGGTTTCTTTCGAGAGGAGACGGGACCGCAGCAGCGTCCGCGGATCCAAGAGCATGGCAGCACTGCCTAGAGATGGGCAGAGGAGCATCAAAAACCGCTACTCGATGAACGATGCCTCGGGGGGTATGGTGCTGTTCGACCCCAACAGCGAGCGCGAGCGCGAGCGACAGGCGGAGAGGGAGCGCGCGGAGCGGGACGCTAGAGCTCTGGTGCCAGCGAAGGGCCACGATAACTACAATCACCGGTCTGCCCACCAGCAACCTAGACACATGGGTATGGAGGTCGGATACTATGGTCGTGGCAGTGGCGGCGGCGGTGGCGGCGGACCTCCCCCGCCAGTCCCCGCAAAGATCCCGTTGCAGAGCGGCCGCCCCGGTGTTGCTGGTGTCAACCCCAGGGAGGAGTTGGCGCTCAGTCAGGAGTTGAGTTTGATCAGTATTGGGGCTGGAGGCGGCGGCGGCGGAGGTGGCGGGACTAGGAGAAGGGGGCGGTACTGATTTCTGGATTTTATGACGGGGGTTTCTTACGGTATTGATGGGGGTTTCCTACGATATGGGGGAGCTTGGCTTCTGGATTTTGATTTCCGCGTTTTTTTGTAACATCAATCATCTGTTCACGGCTGCTGGGCGGTTTTCTGTTGGCTTTTACATATCTTATTTTCTGTGTATTATGCGTACGTTTCAGCGAGCCGTGCATTTCGTTTCTTTTTGTACTGACTGGCGGGTTTTGGGATTGGGATTGGGGTTATCCAGAGGGCGGGAGGGATATGGAGGGGGTATAGGGATTTGGAGGAAAGGGATTTAGGGGAAAGGATCCAAGAGGGCAGGAAGGGTATGGATGGGGGAAGGGGAATTTGGAGGAAAGGATCCAAGAGGGAGGATGGTTATGCATTGGAATTGGCTGGGCTGGGCTGGTGGAGTGGTGGGCGGATTGTATGTACTTGTATGTACTTGTATGCATAGTTTCATAACCACTGTGAATTGCATATTCATTCATCTCGTCGCTTGACTGTCTTTGTGCATGGTGAATTGTCGTTGATGGAGAGTTCTACATACGACATTCCCCTTAGTTACCAATGCACGTTTTTCTTGTGAACAATGAACGATGATCATTGACTTGACTCGATTCCAATTGATGCTTCCTTCCTTAAAACCTCCTACATAATGTATGCCAGGGTATTCTATGCTATGCTACAATCCAATACATTCATCCGCATGGGTATAATCACCTCCCACAGTCCCACTCGCTAAACATTCCAAAAAACACACAGGACAAAGACAAAGACAAAGACAACGACAAAGACAAAAAGAAACTCCCATACACCCAGTCAAAAAACCAAACACTACAGTCTACAGATCTACCCGGCTCATAACCAATGTACAATCCAAAAAGCTACATTCTTACGCGAACAGCCCCTCGCCCTCCCAGCCACCAAACACGACCGCGCCCACTCCTCCACTTATACGCACATCGCACCAGGGCTCCATCTCCGCCACGAGCTTAACCGCGAGCTCCGCCTCATCGGCACCAATCGGATTCTTGACGCTCTCGCGGACCTTCTCGACGGCGGCCCTGAGCCCAAGACTTCCGCCCTTCGCTCGGCACCCGCGCAATATCTCTCTGACCTCGCCTACTCTGTCACCCGCCGCACGGCGCAGGAGCTCCTCGGGGGTAGGCGGCTTCTCTGCGGCGGCAGCCTTGGCGCGGATGCGCTCGATCAGGCCCGAGGAGCGGGTTGAGGCGGCGGCTTTTTTGGCGGTGAACGTGATGGTGCTCTTCTTGGGGACGGCTTTGAGCTCCTTGATCAGCTGCTGGGATTTACCGTGCAGGACGGTGTTGATCGTGGTGCGGTGCAGGTGCTCGTGGATCTGGGCGAGGGGCACGGCAGCGTCGGCGCCCAGGTGCGCGTGGAACTCGCGGACTTGCTGCCGGAAGAGCGTTTTGAGGGACTCGCTGTGGATCAGCTTCGTGGACGCGGTTTCGACGAACTTCACGACTGTTTTGCCCGCGCCGTAGTCGATGAGCTCTAGGCCACCCTTCGCATCGGACGGGAGATTGTAGTGCGAGAGGAAGACGATTTTGCGTATGTCCTCGAGAGACACGCGCTTGGATGTGAGCCGCTCGATGTGAGGCTTCATCGCGGCGAAGGACGGGAAGATGCCGGAGCTGTTCTGCGCCTTGTGTAGGAGCAGCGCGGTGAGGAGTGAGCCGTGGAAGCGGATTAGACAGGTTAATGACTCTGGTAGGTCTTCGGCCTCGGCGTCTTCAGGCTGGGTATCTTCGTTTCCGGCACGTTGCTTCAACGGACTAGAGGACGTTTTGGCGACGAAGCTGTCGAGTTTCCCCGAGGGCTTCTTTGGCGTTGGCGTAGCAATAGCAGCGGTAGGTGTCCGCGTAACAAAGTCATCGAGGTTTCCTGACGGTTTCTTTGATGTCTTTACTGGCGTTTCCTCCACAGGCGTCTCCTCTCTTACTGCAACAGGAGTCCGCAAAACGAAATCGTCGAGTGTCCCAGACGGCTTCTTCGGCGTCTTTTTTGGCGTGAGTGTGCCGGCAAGGAAGGCGTCCAATGTACCCGTTCTAGTCTTCGCCGGAGTCTTTGCTGGCGTGGGCATGGGCTTGACAGTTGCCGGTTTCTTGGGCGTCGCATTCACCTCCGCCTTGACAACCACCTCTTCAACCTCAATCTTGACGCGTTTCGCCGGCGTCCTCTTCGCCGGCGTCTTCTTTGTCTCGGCCTTGCCCCGTTTTGCCGGCGTTCTCTTGGTCGTCGTCGTCGTCTTCGTTACGGCCTTCTTCGCAACAGAAATCACCACGTCCTCATCCCCATCCTGCTTAATAACTAGCCGAGGCTTCACCACCACATCCTCGTCTCCTTCCTGCTGAATAACCACCCTCTCTTCCACTTCCACTTCAGCTTCGGCCTCAAGCTTCCGCTTCGTCCCTCTTGTCTTCGTAGTAGTCGTCGTCGAAGCGGCTACCGCTTTCTTCGCCGCGACCGTCGTTGCAGCGGTGGCTTTCGAAGGTCTCAATGTCCTCCTCACCGTGCTTGCTGTGTTGGAGGTGGAGGTAGTAGTGGTAGGTTGGCGCTTTGGCGGCATGCTTGCGACGAAGTTATCAATACAGGTATGTAGAGGTACAATTACTCGTTGCTCGGATATTTTGGTACAGGTCGCGTGAAGAAGAAGGAAGAGGGCGTGAGAAGGGATGAGCTGGGAGGCGGTGACAGGATAGGTATTCTATGTAGGATGGGGGGAGGGAAAATGGAGGTGAGTAGTGAGTGTGAGTGTGAGTGTGAGCAGGGATACTGGCGCTGGCGAATCAATTGGTTTGTTTACTTTTCCGTTGCTACAGTTACGGGGATAGTTATCCCGAACCGTGTTACACGCGTAAAGTGGAAACGAAACACGGGTAACAAAGGTCAGGGTCCAATTCATCACGGCATCACTGAGGCGTAAGTATGGAAATGAGAAGAAATGGCTTCTAATGTAACCCAGCCCAAAAACACCAATTGAAGAAGAAAAAAAACCCCATTATCGCCGTTTTGTGAAGAAACAAGAAAGACAAGAGAAGAACAGTACAGCAGCGGTCTTAGATCACCATGGTATCACCACCACCATATCGCCGTTTCCACAAAACTCTTCTAGCTGAAGAAATTCTTCAACGCCGCCTTCTGCTTCTGCTTCTTCGCCGCAATCCTAGCCTTAGCCGCGTCGAGCGACTGGACGATGAGCGCATCTTCAAGCGACAGCTTGTGAGCCTCGGCAAGATCCTCAACCGCTCCCTCGTCGTCCTTGAGACTAGTCTTGGCCGTGGCACGTCGGAAGTACGCTTTGGCCTTATCTTTTCCGTCGATACCTTCAATCTCGAGGGCCTTGCTGGCACTCTCGACCGCGCCCCGCGGGTTGTTCTGCTTGTTGTGGAGCAGGGCAGAGTTGTTGTGGCAGACGAAACGCAGCTGCTGGAGCTGGCCCCAGAGCTCCTTGGGATCGTTGTCTTCAGGAGTTGGCCACTGTCCGAGGTACCGCAGAGCCTTCTGGTACTTGTCCAAGCCGAGCTCAAGATCCCCCGCCTTGAAAGCCTTATTTCCAAAGTCCTTGATCTCGCTGGCGATGCGACCGATGGTCTCTCCGCCCATGTCTGGGTCCTCGTCGGCGGGGAAGTCCTCGTACTGGTCACCAGTGCCGTCGTCCTGGCGGATAGTAGCAATATCGGCGTCGGGACCCTTCAGCTCACCGCAGTCTATCCATGGTCAGCAATTCACACAACCAATCCTTTGGTCCTCATCAAGGCAAGGCAACTCACTAACGATGACAACCGGCTTTCCGGGCTTGTCAGTGTTGTCGGTGGGCATATCCTCAATCTTGCGGATGGTACTCTTTCCGCTGAGGACTTCTCCAAAAACGACATGCTTTCCGTCGAGATGCGGGGTTGGAACAGTCGTGATGAAGAACTGACTTCCATTCGTAGCTGCACGCCCCGACTGTCAATACCTGTCCCTCCCCCGCCAGAAACTCCCAAGAGAGACACCTACCAGGACCAGCATTCGCCATCGACAGCAAGAACGGCTTGTCGTGCTTCTTCACGAAGTTCTCATCCTCGAACTTTTCGCCGTAGATGGATTCACCGCCGGAGCTTCACACCACAACCCATCAACAACCCAGCGCTCCAACCCCCAATATGGAAAGACATACCCGTTGCCCGCCGTGAAGTCACCAGCCTGCAGCATGAAGCCCTTGATGACACGGTGGAAAGTGCTATCCTTGTAGTGAAGCGGCTTTCCCATCTTCCCCACTCCCTTCTCGCCAGTGCACAGCGCGCGGAAGTTCTCGGCCGTCTTCGGACAGACTACATTCCATCAGCAACCCTCCTATATCAGTGCTTCGTATGCAGCAGGAAGCTCACTGTCATTGTACTACACAGACACACACGGTTAGTTAGCACCTCTCTCTCCCACTCTCCCCCGCGCGACAGAACACAAAGAACACAAAGAAGAACAAGAAGGAGAAGAAGAAGTGAACCCACCAACTCGAGAGCAACACGCTCGGGCTTCGCCTTTCCTATAGCGATGTCAAGGAAGACACGGGCACGCTCTACTCGTGCACAAGGTGTTAGCCATCATATGTACGTGCGGCTCTGGACGTAACCCCACTACCCCGCGTTAACACTTACTAGGAGCAGTAGTCTCCGCGGGAGCAACATCGGGAGCAACAGCAGCGGGAGCGTCGTCAGCCATGGCGTTTCTTGTATGTGTATTCGGCGGTGATGGTTGAGGAGGTGGGGTTGTCGCAGAAATTAAGATATTGTCGAAGGTGTAGGAGGTCTGGAGGAGGAGGAGGAGGAGGAGGAGGAGGAGGATGAGGGCGGGTGGACTACAAGGCTAACTAGCAGCGACGGGAAGTTGCTTCACGGGACCAGCCAAGAATGCACAGAAGGTTCTCGATAAAACCAGAGGCTTGCCGGTCGACGGTCGTGCCTCTAAACAGGCAGCAGAACCGTTGCCGCCCTAAATCGAGCCCCAACGGCATCAACTCCGCAGCAGCAGCAGCCTTATGGCACTACATTATGGTGATCCCAGCCGTACGTAGCAACTCCGCTTTTATCCAACTGTGAAGAATCCTCTTATTCCATCGTATGATACCCGAGAAAACGTATTGTAAATTATTGACATGAGAACATTACAGAAATTCATACCTAAAAGAAGCAAATAGAAAAGGGAAAAAAAACGAGGCCGCCAATCCGATTGCACCGTTGAAGGGTATATAAAAAAATAAAAAAACAACAATGTTTCCGGTTTCACAACCATCCATATAATCTCAACAGCAGTTTTTGGTGAACTCCGCCCTAAGTCTTCAAAAAGAAAGAGAAAAGCACATTAAGTGAACAAATGAAATCCCCTCTTCAACCCCCGCCAGACGTATTAATGCTCATAAATAGAAGAAAAAGCGAGGCAGATACACAAAGGAGAGAAGTACTCAACCAAACACTGAAAACGTGAACAAAGAACAAAAACATACGAGAAGGGAGAATAATAAACGAGAAGGGAAAATAATAATCAGAGAGTAAAAAACAACGAAGATAAAGACGCCCAATTAATCCACATTCTAGACACCCAATCGCCCCCAAATAGGAAAAAAAAGAGCAGAATAAAAATAAAAAAAAGGAAACCCCCATCCCAACACTCAATCAATCAATCAATCTTTATGTTCAATGCCGCGTGTACGGGCTCATTCCGAAGGGTTCCATATCACCGTGGTCGTCTCCAGTCTCGGTAGCATTGTCCCCATCGTCGTCGTAGAACTCTCCGCTCAACACGCTACTGTCCGCGTCCGCATCGTAGTTGTCCTTGCGAAAGAGTGCATTTGATGGTCCTGGCGAAGAACCTATTGGTCGTCGACCGGTGTAGGGAGTGGACCGCTTTTCCATCGCTCTCACAGTCGGCGGAGCCCTCGGTGTTGCTGAAGGGACATCGGCAGGTGCGTTGCTGCGGCCGAACCCAGCACCAAACCTTCGAGCTCCGGTCAGGGTATTACTGGGAGGAGCCAGGATACCGTTCAAGAACCCACTAGCGGCGGATGTTGGTCGAGAAGGTACTGACGAAGGCGGTGTGTCCCTAGGCGTGACATCACCAGAGGTCCTTCCCCGATTCTTCCACGTCTGCCAGGCAGCCGAAGCTACGCCGGGAAGCTTCGCGGCAGCATGCGAAACACTAGCCAACGTATTTTCTTCTTCGGGCTTGGTAATGCCCATGGCACGCTCTTTCTCATGAAGCTGCATCTCCAAGCTCGCCCTTAGCCGCGTGGCGGCATCCCGAAGGCTGCCCCGGTCGAGATGCGGGAGGTTGCACGTGTGGATAATCTCCTCGAGGTCGTCAATGCGGAGGTCGAGCAGTTCACGGTACATGTTGAGCTGACCCTCGATCTCCTTCAGCTTCGAGCTGTTGATGTTGACATCAGCAAGCTCGCTTTCTAGCTGGTCGATGCGAGTCTCGCGTTGCTGGAGTTGGTTCTGGAGGACATGTACCGACTCGCGAAGAGCACGCTCGTCGGAAACATTTGGTGCTGTCATCTCTCTAACCGTAGTTGCAGCCTGGGCGGCCGCTTGAGCAGCAACATTGGCGATCTTGAAGTTCTCGTTGAGCGTCCTGACCTGGATCTGCAAGCTGTTGATGTGGTCGCGGAGGTTCTTGGTCTCGGATTGAGCAATGGTGAGTCGCTCTTGCAGGAAGTATTGATCACGCTCAGCGTCTTCTGTGACGATGCGGTACGCCCGTTCGTGTTGGCTCCGTTCATCATCAAGCTGACGTTCGTTCTTACGATGCTGGTCCTCGAGTGCTGCCGCCTTAGACTCTGCCGCCTCCTCCAGGGCCTTAGCCTTCTCTTGCACGACCTGTTGGAGTGCAGCTGCGTTGGAAATTTGTGTTTCTTCCAATAGGCGCTCCAACCTCTCCTTCTCAGCCCGACCCTTCTCAACCTCCGTCTCCAAAGCTTTCCGGACGGAAGACAACTCGACATTGACAACATCCATCTCTTGGTAGAGAGTTGACCTAACCCTGCTCACCTCATCTCCGGCAGATTCGCGGGCTTGGGCAACCTCATGGGTGAGCTGAGCAATGCGGGATTGATTCTCGATGGATTCGTGTCTCAGCTCGGTAATTAGTTCCTCGGCCTTGACAGTGGCCCTGTGCAGTTGTTCGGTCTCGATCCTGAGTCGAATGGATTCCTTCTCCTCGACCTCAAGTCGCCGGACCTCTCCCTCGAGCCCCTGGCTTCTGCTTATCTCGGCGGCCAGTTTTGCTTCGAGGACTTCGGTTCGAGCTTTCTGCTCCTCCTGGGTCTTTCTCCATTTGCCCTGCTCTTGTCCGATTTCCAATGACAGGCGACGCATGTCCTCCTGAACTCTGTCAAACTTCGAACGGAAGGATTCTCGGACTTTGATACTTTCCTCCGTTTCTGACTTCAGGGCTTCGATGGCTCTCCTCAGCTCCTTATTCTCGTTCTCCAACTGCAGATTCCATCCTCGGTGCTTCTCCTCACTCGTCTGTGCTTCCCGCATAGCTCCCTCGAGCTCAGCATTCTTTGCCGCGAGCTCACCGTTGGACTTTTGAAGGGATGAGTGTGCACCCTCGAGCAGTGCACTCCGCATCTGGGCCGATGTGAGCGTCTGGTGTCGTTTCTCGTCGGAGGCTTTCAGACGACGGTCCTTCTCTTCGGCCACCTCACGGTGCTTGGCTGCCTCTTCCTCGGCAAGCTTGAGTTTCGTCTCCAGCTCAATCGTCTTCTCCTGCCACTGTCGCTTCCTCTCCACCTCCTCGTCACCACGCTTCTGGAAGAGCGCAACATCCCTCTCCAAGGCCTCAATCTTCAACTTCAAATTCTCCTTGGAATCGCTGTCCTCGGGGCTGTCAAAGTTGAGGGGAATAAACATCTGCTGCTTGGAAATGACATCTTCCATGAGGGCCCGGAAATCATCCAGAGATGGTTGAGACCAAGGGTTGTTCAAAGAAGCCTGGTTGACCACCGTCCGGAACTCCTCCACATTGCGCTGCCGGTCCTCCTCGGCCGCCCTCTTAAATTCTGCAACTCCAGTAGGGTCTTCTTTGATGATGTCTCGAAGACTTTTCTTGATATCGTCCAAGCCCGGGACTGTAGCAGCAACGGCTTCCGCCATTGCTGACTTGAATTCGTCAATCTTTGGTTGATTGGTGGTGACCTTATCAACAACCGAGTGGAAATCCTCGAGAGTGGGCTGCACCCTTGCGAGCTCCTGGATGTGCAGTTTGGTCTCTGCGATTGACATCTTAATTATTGCGGCATCCTCCTTCTGTCCTTGCTCCGCAAGGTTGCGGCGCATGTCACCCTTGGAAGCACTGGATTGAACGAACGTTGTCATCTCCCGTACGGCAGAGTAGACCTCGCTGATACGGGTAGAGAGCGTGGCTTGACCCTCCTTGGCGGTTTCCTGCTGGGCCTCCTGGTGGAACTCCATGTTTGCCGAGAAGTCCTGAGTGAGCCGAAGCACCTCATGCAGCAGAGGGCCAAACTGATCGTTCTCCTGCTTGAGGCGAAGAATCTCGAGATGTGTCGGCCCAATGTCATTGCTTGTCACAGTGTTCATGATCTCGACCAAGATACGGTTCAACTCGACGAGTTCATCCGTCTTTGCAGATTTCGAGAATGTTTCGGCAAGAACGTTGTGTAGAGGAATAAGGTCTTCCTTCCGAGCAGCGTTGTTCATCGAGTTGGCGATGGCGGCCTTGACTTCTGCAATATCGCTGCGTTGAGCGGCTCGCATCAGGACGTCCTGAAGCGCGAACTTCGTATCGTCAACCCTGTCGCTAACATTGGTCACGATTTCATCAACGGCATCGCGAACAGTATCTCTCAGCGTCACCACACTCTCCCTGACAGCAGCCATATCCTGGGATTTAGCGGTACCCTGCAGGGCCGTGGCGCAAGCCTGAGCGGTTTCCCGAGCAGCCGCGGAAACGGTGGCTTTAAGGTCGACCAATTCGGCGCTTTGTGCAACCCTTGCGGCAATATCCCCCAGGGTAGTCTTCACCTCGGACAAGTCCTCGTGGCCGGCAGCCTTTTCAAGCATGTCGGCAATGGCAGACTTGACCTCAGCAAAGTCATGGCTTTGAATGCTGCTATTAACAACCGCATCCTTGATCGCCTCAAGATTCTGCTCGGAGATTGCACCTCCACTCCGCTGAGCCAACAACACCTCGGACAACGCCGCCTTGATCTTCTGAAGTTTTCTATCCCGCGGAGTTTTATGCGGCACGAGATCCTCGGTATCGTCTTCTTCCTCGTCGTCGGCGTCACTAGTAGCGTACTCGCCGAGACTCCTAGTCGAGCTGAAGGCGGACATTGCGGTCAGTGTATCATTGATAGTCGCAAGAGCACTGATGACTGGGTCGAGTCTGCGCTGGAACAGTCCACCCACGAGTTCCTCGACGTGTGCGTCAAAGAACAAACGGCTTTGCGGGCGCAGCTTTCCACCGTGTTCATCCGAGAGCATATCATCCCAATCACTGTCTGCGGCTCTGATTTCTTGGGGAGGGGCAGAGGGATTGCCACCGAGTGCGTGAGCCGGAATTGGCTCGTCGGGGGAGAATGAGGAGGCACGGTGACGGTACGTAATGTCGGCACGACGCGGACTCGGACTAGGTCCAGCACTGTGAAGGCGTTTACTCTGCTTTATCGGGGTCTGCTCATCGGACATTGGCATGAAAGGCCTGCTGGTGTTGGCATTTCGTTGCCAGGAGATGGTGCCTTGGTGACTAGCATCCTCGTCGCTAACTTCCTCACCCTCTGCATCCTCATCGTCTTCCGATTGTTCGGAGGGTTGCTCGAGGTAGACGACATTAGTCTCGTCCATGTATTGGATGACCTCGTTCAACTCTGCGTCAGTTGGCATTGGTCTGTCGACTTCCGTTTTCTCCGGATCAACATCTCCAGTATATGGTGTTGCGGGTCTGGGCGGCAAGAACGGACTGTTGGGCATAGGTGGAGAGGGCGCTGGCTCGGAAGGAGGAGGCGACGGCGTATGCGCATATCGGGACTCGACGATACCATACGACTTCTTGGGGGGTGTGGCTGCCGAAGGGAACTCGAAGTTGAAATCTTGGCCAGTCGGTTTGAGTGATGGGCTAGCGGAGAACTTGAAAGGCTGCGGTGAAGGCGATGGCGATGGAGTCTGAGCGGTGATAGCGATGTACGCCTCATCAGGCGAAAGAATCTCACGCTCGGGGCCATTTGACCTCGGGACGGGGCGCTCATAATCATTCATAGGCGTAGCGTTGGCAAACGATTCGGCATCATTCGTGCTCCGGAACTCGAAGGGCGTGAAGGATCCCAAAACTTCCTCCAGGGGTGCCTTCATTAGCTGTTCACCTTCATCATCCTCGTCGTCCAGGTCATCTTCATTTTCGCTCTCGCTGTCATGGTCGGAAGGTTCCTCTAGGTCTTCCAGCTCTGCAAGTTCGACCATGTTGTCCATATCATTCTGTGATAGCGGCGACAAAGACTCGGCGAAAGAGTCCTCGGTTTCATTAACAATACTCTTGGTAGGCTCATGCTTGACCCTCTTGCGGCTCTCTGTTGATATACTATCCCTCCTATCATCTCCAGCCTCCGACTCGCGACTGGGTGGTCGGACAATGGGAATGGCCTTCTTCATAGGAGGCTGTCGAACGACTTCGGTGAATATAGGTTCAGCAGCTTGGTGAGGCGGCGACGCCGGCGGCAGTGCCGGCGGCGTGGCCTGTGCGAAAGACGGTGTGAACTCCGGAGCATTGGGGCTGAATGCAGCGGCGCCTTTCTCGAAGATCGAGGCGTAGGCACTAGTGTTACCCAAGCTCGGACGGAAGGTACTGGCGTTTGATCCGGCGCCGAAACCACCGAAACCACCGGTTGAGCCAGAGCTGTGATCCCTGGTATGACTCTCTGGAGAGGTGACCGGGGCCATCTGACTTGTAGGGGTGAATGCATTGCCCTTGGGAACAAAATTGAAGGAAGGCTCAAATTTGAACTCGGCTGCGTTGACGTTGAATTTTGGCTTCGTGGCCGACGAATTCGACAAGGCATTCTTGGTATGGTCTGCAGTCCACGTAGCACTGGTGTTTGACATATGGTGTGCGTGGCTGGCTGTGTTCGAGAACCTACGCTCAGGACTTGAGGGCTCGCTAGGGTTGGTGACGATATCCGAGATGTTGGTCCGGCCATCCTCGCTGAGGAGTTCGTCGTGAATGGCTGCCACCGGGTTGCGATTTCCACCACCCATGCCCTCGCCTATCATCATCATCGACATTGCGGAGTTCTGAATGGGATCTATAGTCTCATGCTCGTGCTGCATCTGAGAAAGCGACTGCTCGCGGCTGTGTGGAACGGGGAACTGTGTCTGGGGTACATATGACGGATGCAGGGGAGCCAAATCGACATTGTAGGGGCCCTGCGGGTACTCGACACTGCCGCCGCGGACATGAGCTTCGTGGATGTTATTCTGCTTCTCCGCCTCAACGTCAGACATCACATCGTCATCAGGATTCGAAGCCAGCTCGGGTCCATTGTGCACATCCATCTCGACGTTCGGCATGTCCGGTTGTGGGGGAAATTGAACTGGCACTGGTGAAACGGGATTTGTCGCAAACCCATCGGCTTCGGGCTCTTTGATGCCTTCTTTTGCCCGCCTTGCCTCTTCTAGCTGGTAAGCCTCGGTGTTCTCGAACTCTTTTTGAAGTGTGACGCTGAGCTGATGGCGATGCTTAGGTACAGGAGCATCGATGATTGCGAGTCCTGGGTACAATGGCGCTTCTGGTGCTGGCTCTGGCTGGACCGGGTGTCTAACATGCGCCAATGGCGAACCACGACGCATCTGTTGGTGATGGAAGCGCTCCTGGCCAACGAGCCCGTGGTGGGGAACATAAGGATCCCCCATTGGGCTCTCCATTGGCATAGGGTATCCTCCGAGGTTAAACTGGCTGCCCGAATGGCCGTGCATTGGCATATTCATCATTCCGGGAGAGCCGTTGCGCATAGTAAAAGGAGCCCAGCCGCCAGATCCGTTCATATTCGGGGGAGTATGCTGCTGGATTGGAGGGGTATACATCCCCGAGTACGGGTCCCAATCGTTTTGGTTCGACGGGGTTGCCGATATTGACTGGCGGGGCAGGTGGAACGCAAGATGAGCTGGTTGACCACCAGGCGACATCAGTGATGGCACGGGGGTGCCGTTCGCCGGGATCGATATGGGAGAAAATGGATTGAAAGGCCCATGCGGATGCATCGAATGAGGATTGCTCATTGCTGATGCGGTCAGTGATGGCGGGGAGAACATATTCATGGCATGTTGTGCGGGACTCTGCATAAGAGACTGAAGAGCATGTTAGCACCATGACTAGCAACTCATATGGTGGATGAAAGCGTCAATTACCAAAGGCGTTTCTCCTCCGGACCCTGAGTGTGTTAATGGACCATCGTCAGGTATCACTCCGAGCGCCCTCAGCTTTTCTTCTCGCAACGTGTCCACATATGCGTCCCATTCTGCGCATCCATTAGCAAGGCGCGCTTTCGGACGGTAGCGGTGATCCACGTGTGCCACGTTTGGTCAAGATAAACATACCTCTTGGGTCGGGAATGCTGATAAACACCTCGCTCGCTTCAACCTTGCTTCTCCGCTCTTCTGGAAAAACGTCTTTGCAAGCACCTTGGCCCCCTATGCTGATATCATAGCCTTTGTCTACCCACCCCTTCATCTTCTTTTCAACTTCCTCCCTGCTTAATGGGACCGGTCGCCCACCGGGTAAGCCGAACATCGAATCGGCCGGTATCTGAATGACGACATTTCGGCCCCGCCATTTCATTGATTTTCGGGAGCTCGGTGTACTCGTTCGAGAAGTTGGCCCTGATTTTGGTGCCGATAGCAGATAATTGGCGACCGCACTCACGCTGCCGATTGTCGGAGAAGCCTGGGGTGTTGACTCCATCTGCAGCGGCGGAGGCAGTCCCTTCAACCCGTTCACCCCCTTGTCTTCAATTGGGGATGGTGTCAGATCGGCCCACCGACTCGGCAGAGCGGGCACCTCCGGGGGGTCTATTATGTGATCCATCGGAAACTCGGCAAGAGATTGGGGAGCTGTCCTGTATCTCCCAGTCACGCCCGTCGCGCCACTGACAGCAGATTCGCGATCCGAAGATAGCTCTGTTCCCGGAACGTTCAGAAACGTACCCCTCGGCAGCTGATAGTCGGCTGGAGTGATTGTTTTCGCGTTCGAGGTGTTCCGGCGGTGGCCTTCGGTTCTGTCTGTATCCTCTTCCGGATCTTGCGAGGACTCCGAGTACCAGCTAGAAGAAGCACGGCGGTGTTGCTGGTAACCACGACGAAGAACCCAATCTTCCGTGTAACGACGCTGAACCAACACCTGGCCCCTGGTCTCTCTCTGAAGATCCCTGGTTCGACTTGCACTCGTTTCAACAACACCTAGTAGGGCGGCAGCGACGACACGCGGTAGCGATGCAGGACTCTCACTTCTTGGTCGCACTTGATTTCGCGGACTGCTCGAATTCTCGAGGCTTACAGCGGGAGTAAAATACCGCGAGCCTTCCTCCGACTGCTGTTCACTGCTCTGCGCTACCTTCGAGACAGTAGCGGTGGTGGATGACGAGGACGACGACGGTGACGACCAGGACTGTGAAAGCCCACCTACAATGGCTGGGGCGAGCTCGGGGTGGGGTGAATGAGGGAGCTGCTCCTCTGACGGCCACTGATATTCGTGCTCCGGGGCGGGTGGCGAAGACGGTAGCTGCGGCGGCGGGGAGGGGTTCGATGGGAGGTACTCGGAGGAGGGCGAGGACGACGACGGCGAGGACGACGACGGCGACAACACCACGACCGAGTTATTCAGTGATGAAGGCAACGTGCTTAGCGGTCGAGATGGTTGCGGTGGTAGTCAGGAAATTGGTTCCTCAATTTCCCATGTGGTAGCCCCCTTTATATTTGCTCGAGGGGTGAGGGTGTGGAGGCAGAACAAGTATATACGGCCTATTACACTCTACAAGGGATTGACAGCGAAAATCAGCTCTGCACCAGTGAGAAGAGAGCGCGAACACAAAGGTGGCAACCTATTGGCAGAGGAGAAGACGTCGAGGAGCTTGGCTTCTCACACAGAAGAGAAGGCAGGGCGGAGAGGGCAAGGAGCACAGGAGGAGTACAGGGCTCAGCAGCAACGAGGATCAGTTCAGTACGACAGGCTCGTCTGGTTTGCGTCCGTGTCAGGCTGGGCTTGCTATATCAAGCATCAAAGCGAACACAAGAAGAAGGGAACTCCGAAGGAAGGGAGAGCAAGTAGGCGTATCGTGAGGAATTCCACGAAGAAGAGGAAGAAGGGAAAGAGAGAAGGGAAGGCTCGAGGGTTCGAAGTCGAAGGTCTTCTTTCCGTCCTGGCCGGTGTGTGTGGAGAGCAGCGGCAGCGGCAACGGCAGCAATAGCAACAGCAACAGCGACAGCAACAGCGACAAGCAAGCGGCAGAGCGATGGGTTTGCGAGGATGATAATTAATGTGAGTGCTGGTGGTCTTCTTCAGATATTCTGCCCTCCCCCGGTTTCCCCCCCTGTCTGCCAGCCTGCCCCCCCTGCCTCTCCTACCTGTGCTGTGTTCTTGCCTGCTAGGACTCCCGACACTTGGGCGCCATCCCTGGCCGCCCAATTGGCCGGTCCGGCTAGTCCCTAACTCGTTCGGGCTGCACCACTTCTGCTTCGGGCCACATCCGCTTTGGGTAAGGATGATTCCTCATCCGAGCACAGAAACCGAACTCCGCACACCACCACCGCTGCAGCTGCAACTGCCTCCCCACCACCACCACCACCAGAACAGAGGAACACGTCGCAACATGGCAGAGAGAGATGACATGCATGCACGTGACGATGGACGGAGGCCTGCGGACATGCGTGCGTGGGAGGCGGAGGAGGTGTGGCATGCGATCTCGACTGTCGTTGGCTGCCTCTTCCTCATCTTTGATCACCATCGAGGCTAGAGCGGTCCTAGACAAGTCCACTCGCCAAAGCAGAGCGAAGCATCGCCATCCGAATAGCTGCCCTTTGAGACGCTGGACCAAAGCCATAAATACAAGACGCCTTCCTCTTGTCGCCTTGCTCGACACGTCTTTCACCTTCTGTTCCCCCACCGTCTGCAAATTTTGACACAGGTCTCACAGAAACGGCTCTGCGAGCAATTTGCTGTTGACAACACATCGATCCATATCTTGGCTGATCCCCTCCTGCACTGGCCATTGCCCAATTGGTCGGCCACCTCCTCTCGATGCCTGGCATCTGCATGTTAGGCGGCTCGGTGTTGGAATCGAGGTAGCGAACATGTAACCACACTATTCCGCGTCCGGACAGGGAGTCGACTGCATAAGTGCACAGCGGGGACGGCGGCTGCTCGGCGGATGCATCGGGCTGCAACTCGGCGAATGAATGGCTCGTGTTCGGGGCTTCCGGGGTCCAGACACGGAGCGTAGATAACCCCGGATCACTTTGGGAGCAGTTCCGTTTGCACGTGCCCCCCACGACATCACATCATAGCCGCAGATCAGGTCTTCCATTGCTTAATACAACCACGAACCTGCCGAGTTTCATTCTTCTCATTCACAAGCACGGTTCACCTCCGGAACCATACCGCAGACGGCATGACTTGGACTTGGAATCTAGCCGAACGGGCGGAGCCCTGGCGAACGGAGAAAGTGGAGGTCTGGCGAGTGGAAGCCAGTCGAGAGGGCCATGATGTTTGGATACCCAGAGCACTGCCTTGGGTGAGTGAGAATCGGAATGGAGCGGCGCAGGTATCAGATACGTCGATAGGCGTGAACGATTCAACTTACTTTGAGTCCCTTTCAGACTCAGCGTGCTGGCCCCCAGGTTTGGCGGAGATATGTCTGTGATCTGGCGGAAGACGGTAGCCGCGGTGAGTGTATTAGCCGCGGCGACTTGACATTCCCGTGGTCGAAGGTTGTCACTGCCCGGCGGCTACCGGTGCTTCATGTTGTTTCAAAGCTGCTATCGGACCAGGCATCTACCTGTCCGAGTGATCCCGGGGGTCCTGGAGTTGAATTCCGGGGAATATTTTGTCTGTTTCGTGATTACTAAGTGCCAGGGACTGCAGCTGCCAGTGATGCACGTTGATGCCGTTCTGCTGGGCACCACCCCACCCTACAAGTACATTCCGCCCAGTTCACCGCCCGCTCTCCGCCCTCGAATTTCGATGCTGCATTAGTCATCCCTGGATTTTCGATATTCAATAGTATCCTGAACGGTCTGATAGGCAGACAGACAGACTGCATACGGTTTGCTCTCGCTACCATTCGCATCCTCAAAATCAATAGGTACATCAAATCAGTTTTGAAATGCTCAGTTTTCCTCATCCCCGAGATTCTCAGCAGTCCTCTTCCCAACCCAGACTAGGGCATGGCTTGACGCGCTCCCAACGCGGCGAGAGAAGAAACACGTGCAGGGCTCTGAACGCGCCTTTCTATTCTGAATGCGGCTAGATCGTTTCTCGGCCCAAAGTAAACAAACATTGAACGCTTTCCGATAACCACGACTAGTAGTGCTCCACAAAGCCTACCTTCAAATACCCCCACGACCTTTATCCCAATCAGTGCCCCTCGTATACCTCCCAATCATCACACCGCCTCCTCTACACTTCTACTGAGGTTCTTCGACCCACTACGCGCTCACTATGGCTTCACAACGTCGTCGTCTGGCTCAGGATCACGCCATGATCAGCAACACGCCGCCCTCGGACTACTTCTTCGCTGGCGACTCCTCTGACGACCTCACCGGATTGTCCATCTATCTAGTTGGACCTACCGGGACCCCATTCGAGTCTGGTGTCTTCCACATCTCTCTGCGGATTCCTCCAACCTATCCACAGGACCCACCGAAGGCGAACTTCACAACCAAGATCTTCCATCCCAACGTGGATGGCCGCACCGGCGATGTCTGCGTCGACACCCTAAAGCGAGACTGGAACCCGAAGCTGACTCTCCACGACGTCCTTGTCACCATCCGGTGTCTGTTGGTGTTTCCCAACCCGACCAGTTCGCTCAATGAGGCCGCCGGCAAGCTGCTCCTGGACGACTATGAGGCATTCGCGCGTCATGCGCGATTGATGACGGAGGTGCACGCGGCGATTCCGGAAAAGCTCAAGAAAGATGTCGAAGAGACGCGGCTGCGTGACGGGGCCGGAAGCGATGGGGACGCGCTGCCGTTGCCGTCTTCCCCGAAGAAGCTTGTCGCCAGCTCGAGTGGCTCCAACACCGCGCTCAAACAGACGAAGCACAAGCGCAAGCCCTCGAAGTCCACAGTCACCACAACCACTACCGTCCGCAGGAAGATCCGACGCGCGGTGTCGCCCAAGCGATCGGACGGCCACGAGTCGGATTCAGACGGCGGCGACTCGGGAAAGGAAAACGTCGTTACGGCGCGGCCACGCCCGATCTCGCCGCCTGGTACCAAACGTTCGCGAGAGGAGGAGCCTACCACCACCGTCCCCGCGGACGAGAACGAGAAGGGCGCCGCGAGCAATGACGCACCAATAGAGTCCGGAAGAAAATCGCCCAAGGTCCAGAAAGGCGCGAACCCTGGCCTCACACGCAAGGCCTCTTCGGTCAAGACCAGATCTCGGCCAGTCACCTCCACCTCCGCCCCCGCCGCGCTCGGCATGACCAAAAAAGCCATCACGACCAGCGCAAAACCAGCGGCGAAGAAGTCGGCTCCAAAAGTGGGCTTGAAGAGATTCTGAGCCCACAAATACTCGTTACACGCCGAGTACCCCCGCTTGTTGGCACGATTTTTTCAGTTCCCGCGCGTGAACACCTTGCAGATTCATTTTCCTTTGTCGGGTTGGTTTGGGTGGCGTTCCGGGCGCGTTGTATACGCGTCTTGTTTTCCCATTGGTGGTGTTTGGATGTTGTTTTTTGTTTTGCTTTTCCTTTTCCTTTGTTTGGACTTCCCGTTTAGGGCTGAGATGTTGGAATGGCGTATGTACCTACTTTTCGGGCTTTCTTCCATTTTGGAGTCAGGTCCGGAAGATTGAACGATACCTCTTGACTTGCAATTGATGTTTGTATTGTACCTTTACCAATAGTACCTATTACTCCTATTGCCGCTACTTCTTGACGTGGGATGGATGCAGTGATTTTTGAGTGTAATGTACATGAGCAAGTCAATCTTATCCTGAGTGACATCCGATGAGATACACATGATGTTGATATTGCTCATTTCGTCCCTGCAACACGTCGTCACGGTTCATCACGTCGTATGTATGTAGAGTACCTAGTCTGTACCACGATAAGCGAGCTCCCAGCTCCCTACCAGGTACCCCGCCGCTTATCGTCGCGCAGGTGCGGGTCCGGATCTACCTATATCTACATCTACGTCGAGACCTCATTCCGCAAAGCCAACAAGCTTCACACCGCCACATCTCCTCCGTCACATCTCCTCCACAAACAAACAAGCTCGCTCAACCATGGCATCAACAGAAGGCCTCACAACCGAGCAACGCGACTTCTGGGCCGAGAACGGATACCTCATCATTCCCAATGCGCTCTCGCCAGAGACGGTGGACGAGCTGCTGCGCGAGTCCCACCAGCTGCTCGAAGGTGCTTTCCCTCCCCCTCCCCTCCCTCCCCCCTCCCCCCTCCCCCGACTGCACCGGCAGCTAAACCCACACCCCCTAGACTTCTCGCTCGACGGCCACCCGATGACCAAATTCACCACTGGCGACGACGCCTCCTCCAGCGCGCACGTCGGCGACAACTACTTCCTCACGTCCCACGACCAGATCCGTTTTTTCTTCGAGACCGCCGCGTTCTCCTCCTCAGGCGTTCTCCTCAAGCCCAAGACGCGGGCGATCAACAAGATCGGGCACGGGCTGCACCTCTTATCTCCCGCATTCCGGTCTGCAACACTAACGCGCGGCAACCTTGCGATCGCGCGGGACCTAGGCTTCAGCGACCCGAGAGTCCTGCAGAGTATGGTCATCTGTAAACAGCCAGAGATTGGCGGCGCCGTGCCGAGTCATCAGGACTCCACGTTCCTATACACAAACCCGCCGAGTGCGGTGGGGTTTTGGTATGCACTCGAGGATTGTACGGAGAGCAATGGGTGTCTGAGTTTTGCGCCGGGGAGTCATAGGAGGTGTGAGGTGAAGAAGAGGTTTGTGAGGATGGAGGGCGGGGGGACCGGGTTTGAGGATGTGCAGAGCGCGGGGGAGTGGAGCGAGGAGGATGAGACGTTTGTACTCGGACCGGTGGAGAGGGGGAGTCTCGTGCTTATTCATGGGAATGTTCTGCATAAGAGCGAGAGGAATACGGGCATGGGGAGTAGGTTTATCTATACTTTTCACGTGAGTACCCCCACCCCTCCCCTCCACAAACCACTGCTGCTTGGAAGAGAGCTGACCGACACAGGTCATCGAGGGAGAAAACAAGTACGACGAGAAGAACTGGCTGCAGCCGACTGCGGAGGGGTTTTCGAGGCTGAATGATGTGGAGTAGAGCGGTGAAGGTGGGGAATGCGCATGGATCTTTCTTTCTTTCTTTCTTGAAGATATGTTGTTCGTCCCATTGAGACAGTGCGAGACTCAATGAATACTTGGTACCGCAAGTCCAAGCTTCAAGCTTCAAGCTCACACTGCACACCCGTACAATGCCATAACAAAGGCCATCACCATCACCAACCCCACCACATCCCGTCCAAATCATACTTATACCCAGCCTCCCACAGTCCATTTTCCTCCACCCATTTCCCCCTCTCCACACTCGCCCCATACGGTACATCACAATGTGCTGCCCATCGCATACGCAGCCCTTGGGAGAATCCTCCATCCCGCTGATGACGAAGCGTGCAATGTACGCGGCAGCAGAGAAGGCTTCGCCGCGAAGAACGGTGCCGGACTGCGCTGGTTGTTAATGGGTGCGAGGGGGAGGGGACTTGGGCTCGGGCGCGGGCTTGGACTTTGGCTCGGGCTTGGAATTGGGTTGGGCTTGGACTTGGACTTGGGAAGTCGGAGTTGTGGGGCTGCGGTGGAGGAGCGTGGGAGGGGGGAGAAGATGAATGGGACTGATGGGATGGAGAGGGAGAAGGCGGAGGTGGAGAGGTGATGAATGTGATATGTGGAAGAGGGCGGGTGAAGCGAGTGCTGGGTAATGAAGACTCAAGGAATCATCCATTCACACTCAGCCATTGTCGTCGTCTTGCCGATTCATTTTTGTGTAGTGCCAAAAACCCCGTCTCTTCGGGTGGAGATTGAGCACGTGCACGAAAATGCTTCGATTCCAAATGGTATTAATTGGGCACTGCAGGCGACCACCTCTGGTACTTACACGAGAAGAGAGACGGGTGTTTTTGTCATCGTTCCTAGCCAGTCCTTGTGGAATCGATATCGATATCGATAACGCAAAACGACTTACCAAACGATTTCTGGTTGGTTCTGCAAGGCGAGGCGAAGCGTAGTTACATGGCGTTCTAGGCTCCTCGCCTCGCCTGTCGACTCCACCAGTACCCCGCCGGCTCTGGTGCTCCGTTCCCACTTCCGCTCGGTACCGCCCTGATCCCGCCCTGATCCCGCCTTACATGCCTTATGTACTCTACCTACTGTCGGTGACGCCAGTGCTATGTATTGTTACATACCCGCCGCCGCTTTTGAATTACAATTACAATTGCGATTGCGAGTATGTAGAACCGAGCAAGCTACGTAGGTATCTACACGTGCAGTGGTGGATTGCTGCACATATAAAACCTCGGGAACCCCGCATCCGCATCTGCCTCTCATCGTATCTACATACATACAGCCATAATACTCTACATACGCAACACCAACTTAACTAACTCGAATCTCGACATCCTACGGACTTACCAGGTAACTAAGGCAGGAAATAACGGAAAGATATAAAGGAAAGATATAACGGGAAGATAGCAACGATAGCAATCATGAGCGGACTCAAGGCTGGCGACAAGTTCCCCGATAATGTTACCTTCCAGTGAGTCCTCGTGACGGTTGGATGGAGGGATGGTGGGCGGGGAGGGCGGGGAAGACGGGTGGATGGATTGAGGGATTGATTGATGGAAGGGTGCATGGCGCTAATGTCGCCTTCCCATCGTCAGGTACATTCCCTACAGCGGGGCGGACATCAATGCGTGTGTCGGGCGTCCGAAGCCAATCAACGCCTCGAAGGAGTGGGCCGACAAGAAAGTCGTGCTGTTTGCCGTTCCCGGTAACTATCATATCACCTCCCCCTTCCCCGCCCGAAGTGGTACATGATGGGAGGTGGATCTGGCTGATACGAAAGAATAGGCGCCTTCACACCCACCTGCTCCGAGTCGCATCTGCCCGGGTACATCAAGCATGCGAAGGACCTGAAGGCGAAGGGCGTGGATTTGATCGGTTCGTTGTGCATCCCCGCATCCCCGCATCCCCGCATCCCCGCATCCCCGCATCCCCGCATCCCCCGCTCCTGCTAATAGACGCAGCGGTCGCGGGCTACAACGACGCCTTCGTGATGAACGCATGGAGCAAGGCGCAAGGCGTCAAGAACGACGAGATCCTGTTCATTTCCGACGAGGACGCGGCGTTCTCGAAGAGCATCGGCTGGAACCAGGGAGCCCGCACCGCTAGGTACGCCATCGTGGTCGACCATGGGAAGGTCACGTATGCCGCGAAGGAGCAGCCGGGACAGCTGGATGTAAGTGACCGACGTTTCAACGGGGACCGGCCTACCGGCCTACCGGGTGGGCACTGCGTGCGACAGATGGCTAATCCGGGTGCTCGCAGGTTTCGTCGGCTGAGGCGGTGCTCGCGAAGTTGTAAGGGAGCGGATGTGTACGAGTACCTACACTCATGCAGTCACTGTGTATCGGAGTAAAATAGACAAAGCAACGTGTTTACTCTGTGCGCCATGATCATGTCCGGCCGCGTGCATCGGATCTGTGGATCAACATCCGCATCACGAATGATCACACGCGAATCATTGGAGCTCACTCGAATCGCTGATCGTGAGGCTCGGATAGACACACCCATCTGTGCGCTGCCCAATCGCAACGTTTCTCCAACTCCTTCCATGCACAAGACCTCTGCTCAGCTCGATGACGCGCGTTATGAGATGGCAGGCTGATTTGCCGTATGTACTCTGTACTCTAAACCGTGGCAAAGCGGCAGAACACACTCGTAATCAATCGATCGCACGCAATCAATTCTGGCTCCCTCCCCCACAGGATTGATCGATCACATGCCAAAGAGCCACCCACACATCATCGCATTTGTTGAGGCGCGCCAAGCCCGGTACATCGAGCGAAAGGCAAGGTGCACACGACCAGGCTAGCGAGCAGTAGCTCGCGGAGGTAGGAGCGCACACGAGAGAGAGAGAGAGGGATGCGAGGGAGCGAGGGAGCGAAGACTGCGAAAACCCGGCCCATGAGAACACAGGAACACTGGAAGGTAGACGCCCCCCCTGCGTGCATGTGCATGCGCCTGCCCTCTTCTTCTTCTTGTTCTTGTCCTGTCCTGCTGCAGACAGACAGACAGACAGACCGAGAGACTGGTCCAAGAATTTATTCCCCAATTCACTCCTGCCTCCCCCTCCTCCTCTGCCCGTGCCTCGTTCCTCCTTTTCTACAAGCTTATTTCTTCCCCAACACCCCCCAATACCGGACTACGAAATCCAATCCAGAATACCTAACCTCGTAAACATCACAGAGCCCACCTGCAATCAGTAGTTTCGCATTCTCACTCTCTTCTTCGTCCATGATGTCTGCGGCCGCCGCCACCTCGGCAGAGCTCCTAACGATCCCCCTGTACTACAATCCGGCCAACTCGCAAACCTCGGCCTCGCATCTCGTCTACTCGCTCTTTCCCGAATGGACTCCTGCTAAGGGTGGACGTGGGGTAAAGTTCATTCGGTTCACCGACGGCATTACGAACACTGTATGTGCGCCCTTCGGAGTGGTCGGACGAATGGTCGAGGACAACTGGCTAACAAACAACAGCTGCTGAAATGTGTCCACAACCCGCCGCCAGAGCTCTCCGCAAAGCAAGCTCGCGACTACGAGGACGAAAACTCCGTGCTCCTGCGCGCCTACGGGAATGACACCAGCATCCTGATTGACCGCGAGCGTTTGTGCCCCCGTCCTCACTGCGCGATTCCGTGCTGACAGTCTCCACAGGCGAATGCAGTTCCCACCTCCTCCTCTCTAACTACGGCCTCGCGCCCCCCCTCCTCGCGCGGTTCGCCAACGGCCTTCTCTACCGATTCGTGGCCGGGCGTGTATGCTCCGTCGACGATCTCGCCGTTCCCGAAACCTGGAAGGCAGTCGCCGAGCGTCTGGGAGAATGGCACGGCGTCCTGCCCACCACCTCCACGACCACTGACGCTTCCACCCCCGACGACCCGGAAGCCAACAATCTCTGGGGCGTGCTACACAAGTGGATTTCGGCGCTGCCGTCGGCGACCGATGCACAGAAGACGCAGAAGGAGGAGCTGCGGCGGGAGTTGGCCGCTATGGAGAAGCCACGTGCGGCGGGCGGATACGGATTTAAGGGTCATGATGGGGGTGTTGGACTGGTCACGGGACACTGCGATTTGTTGAACGGGAATGTCATTATCCTGCCTGGTGATGGGCCACGGAAGGTTCACCTCATCGATTATGAGTACGCTACTCCGTGTGAGCGCGCATTCGACATTGCGAATCACTTTGCCGAGTGGGGTGGATTCGCGTGCGAATACGAGAAGCTCCCGACGAAGAGTACCAGGCGTGAATTCATCCGCGTCTACTTGCAGAGTTTCCACCAGCACAGGAAGGACGGTGTGGAGGAGGTGGGCGATGACGATGTGCAGAAGCTGATGGAGGAGGTTGATTTCTTCCGGGGAATTCCCGGGTTCTACTGGTTGGCTTCCCTTCCTTTTCTCTTCCGGATGATGATCGAGTTTGCTAACCTGGCGGGCATCTACAGGGGAATCTGGGCGCTCATCCAAGCACAGATCTCACAGATCGACTTCGACTACGCGCAGTATGCACTGGTACGATTGGGCGAATACCACGCCTGGAAAAACAGCACCCCTACGTTCCGCGAGGAGCGGTGGGCCTCCACCTAGTCGTCGTCCTCCTCCTTCTCTTCCCTTCCCTCCCCTTCCCTTGGCTCAGACTTAGACTTAGACTCAGATGAGGCATTTCAACAACTAAATCTTTGCACGAGCTTTCTGTTCTGTTTTCGCTTTCCTTACTACTGACACACACACATACACATACCCCCCCGCCCTTGATTTGGTTTGGTTTAGATGACGATTGGTTGATTTGATGATGGGATTTTTTTCTTTTCGCCGTAATTTCTGTTTTCTGCTTCTGCTGGGTGCGTCTTTTTTTATACTGCACTTTACTTTACTCTACTTTTCTGGCGCTTGGGGGAGTCGGAGTCCTCTTTTCAACAATACGGACGGGATAACTCGAATGGAATGGAATTGAACTACATACCTACATTGGTGTACTGTGGGGTGTGCTGTGGTTTGGGGTGTGTATGACTGTCTGTGAGTAGGTGGTGAGAGGTGATATGTCAGTGTCGGGAGATGGGGGCCGGGTTTTTTGTTGGGCTCAGGATGCCTGGTGCGGGACGATGGGAATGGTGGTGATGGATGGTCGCGTGATAGCTATACCATCTCCCAGTTGCTTTTGCTTCGGTCAGCTCGGAGATAAACGGAGGAATAATATGTGTGCATATCGGGATCAAATATCGAGATCAAATCAAATGTTTGTGGAAGGTCGAAGGTCCCCCACCTCCATCTCCATCTCCATCGAGATTCGATATGGGCATTCAAGTTATGTATGTACCCCTCCCATCCCCATCCCATCCATTCCCCGCACCCACCCACCCCACCCCACCGCACCCACCCCTCCTCGTCCTAGACACCGCCCATTCATCACATCGTCAACTCGCTGCGCATCGAAAAAAAAGATACATAGCCATAGCCAAAACAAAAGCAAGCAAAAGCAAAGAAAGAAGAAGAAAAAAAGGAAAAAACAACCACAAAGAAGGTAAGGTACATAAAAAAAAACCAAAAGGGAGCCAGTAACTAGGCTATGCATGTTCAATTCACGAGCCAACGAACATAGCAAAACAAACACAAAGCAAACGCGATAGCAATAGCAATAGCAAATAGCAATAGCAATAGCAAACGAACGCCTACTGTAGATAGATAGATACAAGCAACAAACAAGCAACAAACAACCCAAAACGTTAACGCCCCCGCCCTTCCGGCCGGCAAGTAAAGAAGAAGTATTACCCCTCGCCTACCTCGACCTTCCCTCTTTCCTTCCTCCTGCTCCCGCCAAACCCTAGTATGCCGCCGAGACTCCTCGAGCTCCTACCCACGCTGCCGGAGGAGGCGGAGGCGGCGGGCGATCCCGCGCTGACATTGACGCTGTATCCGAGGGAGCCGACGACAGCGTCGTCAACGGTGCAGGGTGCAACGCGCTGGAGGCCTCCGCCGCGGCCGCCACGCGTGTAGACGCCGTCGCGGGCGGGGACGCCAGTGGCCTTTTCCGCGACCTCCTCCCAGTGTGCCTCGGCGCTGGCGGAGCTGCCGGGGCGCTCGGCGTCCTCCGCCCCCGCAATGCATTCGTGGATGCGGTGCTGGATGCTGCGGCATACTGAGTCGAATTCCCGCGTGTTCTTGTCGAGTGCGGATGAGGGTGTGCAGTGCTTCAGCCACATCGCGACGAGCGCGGCGAAGGCCCGTGGCTGGTCGATTAGGTACGGCAGGCTGGGGAAGCCTTCTTTTGAGGCGCCGGAGAGCCGGTTGAGGATCGTGATGGGAGTGACGTAGGATGGGGGCACGGTCTTGACGGCGCGGTCGAGCGCTGGTGAGATCGTCGTTACGGAGTCGACGAAGTCTTTCAGCTCGTCTTTGTGCTCGGCAAGGAACTCGTTCATCGGCGACATCCATGGCTCTTTGATACCGAAGGTGGTCATGTTCGCAAGGCCTTGGAGGGCCTTCGCAATTAATGTTAAGGTACGCTGAGCTCGGACTCCGGGGTGGTCTGTGACGCCTCAACCGTTAGTAATTCGTAAAGATTTTTGTTCATTATTTCTTTTTCTTTCGGGAAGGGGGATCATCTACCTTTGAGGAGGCCAAAGAGCTTCGGGTTCAAGATAGCCGGCACGAAAAACCGCAGGAACAAGAACCCGCAAACGCTGCTGTAGCTGACTGTCCTTAACAGATCTCCATAGCGGTCTTCGACGCAGAGCCGAATATGGCGCAGGATCTTTCTAAGTTCGAGGGGACACCGTGACGCGCTCGTGAAGATAGCCTGCCAGATAGTACGAGTGATTGAGAGCAGCTGCTTCCAATTCCTCTGGATGTGCTCTGGACTATCGATCCGCATCGGGTCCACCTCGCAGTAGGTATCTTCCGCCGCAATCTTCTGGAGATGATCTCCCAATGTCTCCTCGAGATACTCGCGCCCAAGCCGCTTCATGTGTGTGTCTAGCGCTCTGGTAAGCAACGAATTGCCGCGGAACAAGATGTTCGCATCCACGAGACCGCTCTTGTGCCGCGCGAGTGGTTCTGATTCATGCTGCGACGTTGGCTTGTCCTCTATTATGGGTGTCTCCTTGTGAAGGCCGTCGATCTCGCCCTCGGCAAGGGCCATCAGCCATTCGCTCGCTTTGCTGCTGACCTGGAAGATCTGGAGGAGAGTATCGGCCAATCTTCTCAAGTCGGTGATCACTCGTGCGATATGTAACGTGATTCCGGAACTGAACTGGTGGAGTAACTGCAAAACGGAAGTTATCAGACACTGTTTTGGACGACGCCAAAACGACCGGGTGGGGGACATACATCTGAGAGCACTTTATACTCCGAGCCCATTAACACGATCAGCTCCTCCGTCTCGGCGCGCAGATACATCTCTCCAATGTGTTCATCGGTCCCATCCCTCCTAGCATTCACCAGCGGAAGCCACCGCTCAAACTCATTCTTAGTGAGCCTATCGAGTCTAACATCCACCCGTCCTATGATGGTGTCGTTACTTCCCGGTAAACTAACCCCGCCGAGCCCACCTCCGAACCCACCCGAGCCAGCCACCGTGCTGCCATTCGCTTTGGTCCTCCACCGCGGGTCTCGTTGCTTGAGCACGACAGCAACATCCGTCAACACGGTGGGCAGGTCGGGGAACTCGTAGTCCTCGCGCCAGAAGGGATTATGCGTCTTTGTGCGAACCATGGTCTTGGCCCTGGCCTCTCCGTCCAGCACCACCTCGGCGTAGCAATCCACGCCCGATTCCCGTTCGTTATGCGGGTTCATATTGATCTTCGCCTCGACGATGCGCAGATAGAGGCCGCGCTGTATTCGATAAGAATCGGCCAGGGCACCCGCGCTCCTCGATTCGGACGCTGCCCCCGCCGTGATCGTTCCCAAGCCCGCAGATGGAGCCGGTGGGCCGTACAGCTCGGGCATGGTGAACGCTCGCAGGAGCACGAACCACACTTCGAAGAGTATCCGCGTGTCAATACCGAGATAGACGGGGCGCAATTGCGTCGGATTGCTAGCGTTGGGAGTGTACTGGGGGTAGATGGCAATGCAGAAGTCCTGATCCAAGATGCTAGGATCGAGCTGTTGGACGGCACACCGGCTCAATTGGCTCAGCTGGACGACGGCCAGGATCTGAGAATCCAGATCTCTATGCAGCCGGAATTCGCCATTTTCCTGGAGCGTGCACGAGATGCTCTGCCATGCTACGCCATGCGGCGGCTTGATCTTGCTTGACGACTTGTGGCTTCCTGTTGGCGGCGCGGTAGGTCCTACTACCGGCCTCCATAGGAGCATCTTTCCCACCTTAATGATGGTTGCATCCCCTCTGTTCTGAACGGTGGCATCGGAATTTCTCCGGCGTTTCTCCTTGGTCAACACGGGCATCTGCGACTTTACCCGCTTGTTCTGTGCTCCGGCCGGACGTATTGGCGACCAACAGAGGAGCGCTGCCAGCCACTGATCGTACTGCTGGACGCTCAACGGACGGAGCTTCATTTCAATCTTCAACGAATGCGTGCTGAGGTCGATCATGCCCTCGTCCTCCGCCGAGGATTTTACATGGCAGCTCCTGAGATCCGGCACGATTACGTGTGGCGGTGAAGTAGTATTATTCTCATCCTGCTGGTACAGCAGAGCGCCAGTGTCAATGTCGATCTGACAGTATCCTTTGGTCCAGACCCTATGCTCACCCAGACGGAATTCCACGTAGCCATCCATTCTTCCGCGCACTCTCTTCATTAATTTTACGAGGGTGTCGAAGTCGGCATTGACAGGGGAGGTTGGGAGTGGTTGGTCACCGAAAACGCTGCCGCGATATGCATTTTGCTGCTGCAGCGTGGTTATGGACGCCGACGGCCTTAGCAATCGATGGCGACCACTCTTTCCGGTCGAGGGCCTCGTCGTCGTCGAATTCTGTAATTGCACAGCCTGCGTGGACGGGTATCCTACTGAAGTCGGTAGTGTTCCGGTTTCCAGTACGCCCTGGGATGGACCGTATCGATGTCGTGCTACATAGCTCGGTGAACCCACATCGAATCTTGTATCCTCCGGCGATGATGCGCCCGCCCGACTATACCACATCCTTTCCGTAGGTGATCTGCTCTTTGCCCTGCTGATGTTGAGATCCGCCAGTTGCGCAGCCGCGGTCATCGACGCCCTATTCATTATGCTCCTTGATTTTTCTGGGGAGGCCGGCGCGGGCGCGGCGGTTGGTTCTGGCGACGAACGGCCCAGCAAGTCCCATCTCGACGACGAACGGATAGTAGAGCGCGACGGAGTCCTGGGAGGAGTGGTAGTGTGCGCGGCGAGCGCTGTAGGGTCGTCCAGATCCGGCTCGAATTCGGCTTCTGGCTCCGGCGTAACGGCGCGAATGGTCATGCCTCCATCCCGATATCGGTCGCGTGGAGAGAGCGACTCGGACGGGTCCGTGTTGCTTCGCGAGAACGTGGGATGCGAACCGACGACGGCGGCACGGGCGGCGAAGCTGTGGGGATTCAGAACTGCCCCTGCCGATCGAGGGTAATCGTCTGCATTTGTGTGTCCAGCCATATAAGATGTTTACAGGCTCGAGACTACCCGGGCGTACGGGACAATAGGGTGAGGCGCAAGTATTGGTAGAAAGGCAAAAGAGCGAGAATGGGAATGGACAGAACGAGCGAGCCAGAGAGTGGCAATCCTTTGTGTTCGGGGAACCGGCTGGAGCCTGGTCCCAGCGTGGTCGTCGTGGTCGGTCGTCGTCGTTGGCGGCGGAGATGGAGGCTGCAGTGGCAGTGATTGTAGTGGTTGTGTTTTGAATGGGGTCACGTACCTGCGCCCCGACAATGGCACAAAGAAGGTGGAACAGGAGCGGGAGGGGACGTCGGCGTCGGCGATGGGCGAGCGCGGCGCCTCAGCAAGCGATTTGTATGTAATGGGTATCGTGGGTTTGTTATACTGGTGTATGGGGCCTATCTTATGTAATGTTCGGTAGTTGATGTGGGTTGCACTGGGCTCGCTTTCTCTCGTCCGTCCCGACTCGTCTCTGGTCTGGTCTGGTCTCGTCTTCTCTTCTCTGCTCTTCTCTGTCTTCTCTTCTCTTCTCACTTTCCTCTCTCACTTGTGCACTATCTCACTTCTCCATCCACGGCAGAAAAGAACTCGCCGGTGTCTTCGATTGTGGTGTTCTTCCTTGCATGTGGTTGGTATCGACCGACTTCTTGCTGGCGCCTTTCGGGGCTTGAGGCCGCGATGGATGGATTGGATGTATGGATGTATGGGACGGGGGACCGATACGACGACGGGGGGAGAAGGAGGAGGAGGGGTGAAGAGAATCGAAGTGGACCGCTGCACCGCTGCAAGTGTGGCTTCTGGATCCCTTCCTTTTTTCCGCTTCACGGTGCCAGTTGCAGTTGCGTTTGGGGCGCACGATCGGTCGGGACTGACTCCGGACGGAAGTCGGAAGGGGTCTGGAGTCTACTGACTAGTAGTAGTCGGCAAGTTGAGTATCTAGTGAGTTGAGTAGGTAAGAAGTGCTTGGGTATCGTATCGTATCGTATGTAATATCGGGGGATCTTCGCGGTCGTGGGCGATCGGCAAGGTCCAAGGTGTTCTTTTGGAGGACGGGGGACAGAGGAGGGGAGGGGGTGGACGGGGACTTCGTCTAGATACCAATACTATACATGTGGAGTAGTTAAAATAAATGATGCTCTATTACTCCAGCCCAGTGCCCACTATATGCCAGACGGGGTTTATCGTCAGGCGTGTGTGAGATTCACAGAACTCGAGAAGCTGCTGCTGCTGCTGGCTGGCTGCTGGCTGCTGGCTGCTGGCTGGTTGGGGCTCTCCAGCTAGCGCTTGGTGGAGAGTACTTGGGTACTACTAGCAGACTCTAGGTAGTCCTGAGTACCTACAGCACTCAGATAGATACCGAGCACTTTCTGAATGCAACCATCTCCGACTCAAGAGTCGACAATAGGCAGGCAACGAAGATTCAAAGACCGTTACATGATGCTGGCGAGAAGGAGACTCATTTCGTATGTATGAAGTATGTTTGTATGTGAGTCCAGCTGCCGTCTCCGTTGCAGATAAAGCTCGTTCTTGGGCGCAAGGCCGCGATTATTACCTAGGGCGTCATCTCCACTCTGCCCAGTGCCCGCCGGAAATCCCTCAGCAGAAGGTTCGACTTTCGTTATGAACATGTGCCGACGGAGCAGTAAGCACTCGTACTTCGGGAGGTACGGTATGTCTCTTATACCTACCTGGTAGGTGCTTCGATTCCGCGAAGAACGAACGCAGAGACATGGAGATAGAGTGGAGCTGTTACTGCACAGTCAGGACTCTGACTGTGATGGAAGTTGCATATGCCGTGTCATGCCCCCCGCAAAAAAAAACAATGCGGCTATCGGATGCGATGCGGCAGAGGCGGGCGTGCGCGGAAATTGTTTCGAGAATAATCCAGGAACAGAATTACCGTAAGGTTGTGTATATGGAGTAATTCTAGAATATCGACAGCTCTGGAGTCTAGGTTGAAACTTGACGGTACCTCGCCTTTGTATATAGACTCTGGAGAAGTACTCATAGGCGGTCCTGTACGGGTAAGTCCATGCGAAACATCGACTGCTGGCGACCGAGTGATTCCGGACGCCTCCCAAAACAAAGCCAACCGGTGATAGCTAGCCAGACGGTCTTTGAAACCGTTTAGAACTCTAGGCCTTTGCCATGGACAAAGTCATCACCGAGCATAGTCTTCCTAATACTAAACACGCTTCAATTATCCAGCCATAACATAAGATACATACCGCTACTGGAGACCTATCATTGATCGCAACCAAGAAACACCATTCCACAAGTACATGTAAATAGCAATAGAGAGTAATGGAACTCGTAAGGCAGCTCCCAACCGCGTGCAGAGACAGAGGGGATAGCCAGCCCGCTCCACCGAGATGGCCGTTCGGTCTAGATCTTCCGGGCTGCGATCTGGCCGACTTCTTCGTGCGCTTCGTGCCAGCCGAGAGCAGCAAACAGGGGGAAAAAAGGAAGGAAATCGAAAGAAGACAAAGACAAAGACCAAGAAGGAGAAGACCTAGAAGAAAAAAAAGAAGAAAAAAGACGATTAAGATAGATACACTACGGAAAACGGCTTGTCCAGCTCCTTCGTTTCGACCTCCGACGCTAACGGCGATCACGTTGTTCTGCTGAAAGCGCTGCTGCTAGCGATCGGGCTCCTTTGCCCCAAATCACCGCTTCCAGTCTTCTTCAGCGCCTGTCGCATAGTCTCGATCGTCAACTCTCCCCTCTCGACGCCGATATGGTCCGCCGCAGTCCTTCCGGGGCTTCCGGGGCTTCCCGGGCTCCTCTCGCCCGCCATATACGTTGACCGTGGCGGGCTATTGCCCAGTCGAATGGAACTGGGGCTCCTCCTTAACGTCTCGTTGATGGAGCTCAGCGAGTTAGGGTCCTGCACGAGACTCCCGCGCGACGGCGTACTGCCGAGCCGGATCGGACTGGGGCTCCTCCTCATGGTCTCGTTTATTGTGCCCATGGCCGCGGGATCAGCCGCGCTCTGCACTGGACTCCCGCGCGACGGAGAAGACGTGCTGTGGGTCATGATATCGCCGTACTGCTCCGCCTGCTCGGCCTGGACCACATCCGCAAACGATATGAACGAGAGCCGCCGCTTATCTGCCGCGGCCGACGCGCCAATGCCGCCACCGTGCGATGACAGGTCGTCGCCCGAGTAGCTACTGGGGTCCTCGGTGTGGTCGAGGCTGGAGTAGTTCTCGAGGGACGTGGCCAGCCCGCCGACCGAGAGCGCGGGCTGGTGCGCAGAGTGCATCACGATCTCGACCTCATCGACGCCGCAATTCCGGTCGGTAATGGCCAGCGATGAGGCTTCCAGCACGGGCGGGATAAAGTTCTCGGTCTGGATGTGCGCTGGAATCGCCGACGACATTGGCACGGGAATGTTAGGGTTGTTCGGGTGCTCCTGCACATTGCGCTCGAAGATCATGGAGCTCGATGTGGAAAGGCCGCGCGACGGAGACTGCGATGGGGCATGTGGGGTGGAGGGGGAGTGCGGGGTTAGGACTGGCGAGCTCGCCGAATGGAGGGAGCGGGTGGGTGTTTTTGGTGGTGGTTGTTGCATATTCAACAAGGCGGATGATGTCGATGGTGGTGATGGCGTGAGCGTTTGTATGCGAGGGGTTGTTGACGCCGATGGTGACGCCGATGGTGACGTGAGAGAAGTATTCATTGGTGGAATGCTGGCCAACTGCGGCAACTGCGGCGCCTTCTCGTCGACTATCTTCGGTGAGCTATCGCGAGGTGGCGATGACGGCGCATCTTGGTCTTTCCTTTTCTTTCCGAGGCCAAAAAACGACCGCTTGCTCTTGCCGGGAGAGACCGGCTCTGGCACTGCTGCATCTGGCGTTCCGCTCATCGGAGTTTCCGTCGCTACTGATGCTGCTGTGGACATCGCTCTCGAAGCTTATTTCCGAGACCTGCAAGTTAAGTGTGGGGGAGATGTAGTCGGGTTCCGGTATGTACGTATTATCGAAGTGCTGGAATGGTCCGTCTGTAGAGCAGGAAGGTGGCGGTCGGGAAAGGGATATATATCTGAGATGATGGGCCTGATTGTCCAAGCCCTCAGACGCTCGCTTAAATCACATGGAATGGCCGATAGCGGGGTTGGAACCGGTGGGGCACGAGCGTAGTTCTCTGGTATGACGACGTTCCGCATATCTGCTGCTTTGGCAAAACTTGGTGTCTTGCGCTCACCAGCTGACATGAACCCCTCAACAATATCGGGCACACGAGATATCCCGGCTGACTACATTGGACACCAGCACGCCGTTTCTGGTACATGCATATCAAAATGGCTTGATGATTTGGCCGGGTGGTCCAGAGGGATGGGAGAAGTCGGCCCTCCGTCCAGGGCCTTTCGGGAACTCCTCTGTTAAACCTAGCTGACTGTCATAAATATCACTCGATGATCTCGCGCGAATCGAATCTCACCGGGGATTCGTGCTTGGTTGGGCTAAGTGACTTTCTAGTGATTAGCCCCTGTCGCTCACCCCATCATTTTACCAGTGATCAGTGGACCACTGATCAGTCCTCAGCATCCAAACACAATGTATCTTACTCATACCGACTGCCACAAATACATGAAACAAAATGTGGTCACTGGTCTGTGAGATGTGGGGAACTCTTGAGGTTCATGCATTTGTCGGGGCTGCATTCTTGTGGTGTTTAACTCTCGAGAGTCGAGAGTTGATAGTGAAGGCTGAAGGCTGAAGCTGCTAAAATAGCGGGGATATCATGTAAGGCTACATCTAGATGGGGTGTTGCGATAGACTTGTATCAACATCCTTCAATTTTGGCGGTAACTGCTTCAGCCAAAGGTGATGTCCCCGCTCCAAGTGCCTCAGTTGTTGGCGTTTCTCTTCCCTTCGGTGCCCCCTTCTCTTTCGGTGTTCCCTTCGCACTGCCCTTCTGTGACCCTTCCCCACTGCCCTTCTCCGTGCTGTTCGTTGATTGCTGCTGTGGCGAAGGGGTGTTGATCTCGAGAGTTACCGGTCCGTCGTTGATCAATGCTACTTGCATCATGGCCCCAAACACACCATCCTGAACCCACTTGATCCCTTCCTCGCTGGGTAGCTGTCTATCCTTGATATACAGCTCCCTTGTCTTCTCCAGCAGCGACGTGTACATATCCTTCGCCATCTGCGACGGACATGCCCCATGGAAGTCTGGCTTGTTACCCTTCTTTGTGTTGGCGAGCAGCGTGAACTGGGGCACAAGGAGAATCTGGTATTTCATGTCGATGACCGAGTTTTTCCACCGGCCGTTGCTACCACCGTCGTTGTCGTCCCATACTTTGAGCTTGAGAATGCGGTTGGCAAGAGTATCGATGTCCTTCAGAGTGTCGTTAGGGGCGACTGTGGCGACGAGGCGTTAGTTCGTGGGATCACGGAGGGTCCAGGCGGGAATACTAGCTAGCTGCAAAAACTAGGATGCCGTTCGAGATGGAGGAGACAACCTGGCCGTCCACCGTCACGGAAGCCGAGATAACACGCTGAATGATTGCTACTCACGTGGTCAGCATGGTAATAAATCACAACAATCTCAAAACAATCAAAACGAGGAATACTCACCTTTCATGTTCGATGATGATAAGAGGGGAGATGGCTACAGTTGAATGGAGCGGGGAAGACTGGGTGATGACAATGGTTATTGTGGGGGGATTGGTATATGGATGAACAGAGTGTACTAGTATCCATGATTACTTAGCGCCGCCGTAGTTTCCATCACGGGGATCACCCAAAACGGTTGAAACGTCCCCAGAACAAACATCGCAGCCTCAACCCCCCAAGCGGTCAAGCGCATCTGACGGTTGACTGACGGACATCAACTCCCTCCCGACCTACTCACCACATACCAATAAGACCCCGAAACAGGTACCGAATCCCACGACCGCTGGTTTGTCGCCCACGCAACCACTTCCTTCCCCTCCCTGCGCACGCGAAACTTTAAGCCGCAACACAGTACACCTTCCTGCCGTCTCCTCCGCCTCCTCGCCACTCCACTTCTCGAGCCTTCCCGGCATTGGCACCAGTACTCATCGCCTGTCACCCTCCACGACATTCAAATATGGCCGCCCGAAAGCTTCAACAAGAGGTCGAGCGGACCTTCAAACGAGTAGCCGAAGGCATCGCACAGTTTGAATCCATCTACGAGAAGCTTCAGCAATGCACAAACTCGTCACAAAAGGAGAAGCTCGAAGACTCGCTCAAACGGGAGATCAAGAAGCTTCAACGACATCGCGATCAGATCAAGACATGGGCCGCCAACTCGGAAATCAAGGACAAGAAGCCATTACTAGATCAGCGGAAGCTGATTGAGACGGTGAGGACTTGTTGCCCTTCTGCTGCTGACGTTTATACTACCCTTTGTATTTGTTCGTGTCCTCCCGCAAGCACTGTTGCTGCACATACCACTTTCTCATCACTCTTTGAGTTGGTCCTGTCATTTCGACACGGCAGACCTGTCGGTGACGTTGCTGCTGCTTACTACCGTTGGGATTGCTGTGGCATCTCGTTTTCGTGGCCACTATCTCCTCATTTGGATTTCCTTGCCGCTTTCATTCCGTTTTCTCTTCGTTGTCGCGTTTGTATTAGCATGCTGATTTTCTTGCCCACCCTTTGGGGGCCTGTGTTATATACAGCAAATGGAGAAATTCAAAGCCGTGGAAAAGGAAATGAAAACGAAAGCGTATTCGAAAGAAGGTCTACTAGCTTCGGCACGGCTCGATCCAAAATCTCAGCAGAAACAAGACATGGTTAATTTTCTGTCCGACTGCACTACTGAGCTGGATCGCCAGATTGAAGCTTGCGAAGCGGAGGCGGAGGGGTTAGCTGTCACGCTGAAGAAGGGGAAGAAGGGGGATTCGTCGAAAGCCGATCGGGTGGCGGAGGTGGAGAGGATCGTCGAACGGCATAAATGGCATCAGGGAAAGCTGGAGCTGATCATGAGACTGCTGGAGAACGGCCAACTGGAAATCGATAACGTGGAACGGATCAAGGAAGACATCAAATGGTATGTCGAGTCGAATCAGGACGTCGATTTCATGGTCGACGAGGACGAGAACATCTACGACGAATTAAATCTTGACGAGGAGATCGCCGAGGACATATTCGGGATGGGTATGGACGCGGACCGGATGTCGAGTCAAGATACAACGAGTCAGCAGGACGACATGTCGGAAAACCAAGCCCCGATCAAAGCGAAAGAAGTTGCGACCGCTCGAAGACCCAGTACACAGATCAAATCGCCCATGCCTATACCACTGACCATGCACACACCCAGTCCGGCGCCTTCATTCGGCGTGAGTCCGAGCAACGGTTCCGTGAAGCCGGCACCATTATCCACGAGACCTGGAGAGCTGAAGTACGCATCTGTTGCGACGGCGGCTGCAGCTGCGGAGAGAAACGTTGGGATTGCGCCGTTACCGCCTCCACCAGGTCAGGCACCCGTTCAGGCCGCTTTTCCGCCGCCAGCAAACCCACCGAAGCAGTCCACACCGATCATTCAGCACGCACAGCTCGCACAACGCCAAAACAACGTGCCTAGTACACCTAGTCATGTGCCAGAAAAGAATTCACCGCCAGTGTCCGAACAGTCGACATCACCCAAACCCAACGTGCGCCTACCTTCGCCTGGTGCGCCGCCAGTTGGACCTTTGCCGGAAATTCCCAACGAACCATCCAACTCGGATGCTGCCCCCTCCCCGGGCCCCTCAGAAACACAAGTCAACGGCACGAATGGTACCAATGGCACTTATGAGTCTACGGAACCATCAGTCGAGCAAGCCCAGGACGATTGCGTATTCCATCTGCCACCAGGCCTACAGGATCTCATGGAGTCGTTCGAAGCGACCAAGAAGAGACTCCTACCAAATCCGCCAGGGCTAACCCGGTCCTTGGAGTTGTCGTACGTGAATGCACCCGATTCCATCGACGCGGAGAAGCCGAAGCACTACAAGCCCACACAGAAGTACAATACTCCCAACCACTATCCCCAGGAGCCGTTGCCGATATTCGACGATCCCGCTCTCTACCGGCGAGTGGATACTGATACGCTCTTCTACGTGTTCTACTACCGACAAGGCACCTATCAGCAGTACTTGGCAGCTAAGGAACTGAAGCGCCAGAGCTGGCGGTTTCACAAGCAGTACCAGACTTGGTTCCAGAGGCACGAGGAGCCCAAAACGATCACCGAGGAGTATGAGCAAGGAACATACCGGTTCTTTGACTACGAGAGTACATGGTTAGTATCTTGGTTAAGCAAACGTGTTGTGTTGGTGACTAACGGTAGCTTATGTAGGATGAACCGGAGAAAGTCCGACTTCAAGTTCGTGTACAAATACCTTGAGGATGACTTGTAGGCTGTCACAGTCATCCCTGATGGTATTTGGCTTAATTGTCTCCGTCATCACTTTGTTCTCCTTCCGTTCTTGGTAGGCGCCGTGCTCAATGGTTGGCATGACCGTGACCCGATCAAACCCACTCATCATCTACTCTTTTACCTCTAGTTTGTCCCTCTGAACCAGGAACTATTGGTGTGTTTGTTGTGCTTTTGTGTATTTCTTTTCCATGGTGTTTGATTGCGTGATTTTTCTGTATCCGCAAATTCCGGTGCAGGTTGGTCGGTGGCTATGCCTTCATCATGTAAGGTGCTTTACCGCGTCTTGTTTGCTTTTTTTCTTTTTTTCTGCTATGTTTTACCAAATGGGTCGCGTGCGGGGCATACTGGTGATCGGTGGTGTTGTGGATAGCTACTACATACGGGAGCTCCTACTTATTGAATGGAAGCAGCTTACAATCTCGGGACATGCAGGTGTCAATTGCATCTCAGCATTTCGCGACCCTCCAAGCACCACCATCTGCGAACCTTTTGTTGATCGCAGCAATTCGGATTCAGGCCATAATCACTCACTCACTCACTCACTCACCCACTCGCGGTCAGCCACGCTTGCTAGTCTGTCCCGTTGTTGCTTTGCCTGTAACTATGGGCAACCTACCTATGCGGATGTTGGTGTACGGAGCAAAGGGAGCCGTGCAAAGTTGGAGTCGCCCACCGATCTAGATGTTGAGCAGCCTTGCGCTTACATACTCGTTGAACTCCACCCACCCGCCAGTATGGATTTAGCTTGGCCTACTACCTACTATGGTAGGCATAAGTGACTGTACTATATCTCCAGATGCTGCCTGGTAACTAACTTCGGGGCCTGCGTTTTGATTTCAACGCTGCTGTGCTGCGGTGAGGGCTCTGGCGTACCATGGGTTGAGATTTCAACGCCGCTGTGCTGCCGTGAGGGCTCCTGACATGCTACCTATCATGACGTATGGCGATGACCACGAAATCTATATCCCTCGCCAATTCCCACCATATTTGCATATCAAAGCCGGTGAAGTGACCAGTAGTAACTAGCAGTCTGTCATAGTCCCTACCGCCTCGAGATGCTGTCCAGCCCCTGCATCGTCAGCCCCATGATGGCTGCGTAATGCGCGTTCAACGGGCCACCGACTCTGCTGCTTTGAGGCCCAACAGCTTGTATTCTGCCATAAACCTCAGGATTTGACACGGCTACGTACCTAGATCATTCTGCCATCTGCTGCGCCGGAAGTTGTGTTCACGCAGGCGCCACCCTACATATATAGGTACCGCAAACCCCAGCCACACGCGCCCGCGCACTAGATGTGCTCACCGCACGAATGAGTGATCAATAGTTACTTACGCATAGATAAAAGACTTAGATTGGACTCTCGCCTCTCGCAGGAATAAGGTGTATATACACAGCAGTTCCCGTTCCCCGATCAATATCCATCTCACCGGTCAGTCAGCCTGAGTCTGACATCCGAGAGACACACAGCACCACCAACCAGAGAGCTCGACATAGGCATGGCGTATTGTACAGCCCCGACAAACGGCTGGACGAAAAGAAGTTGACCATAGATAGAGAGCTAGAAGGCGCTGCTCGCGCTGCTCATCACCCTAGTCATTCACCCTAGGTATTCACCATCCTCATCGAGCGTATTCGGCGCGTGCGCCAGCGAGACGGTGCAGTAAAACACACCATGAGCTAGGTACTTCTACGTCACGCCGGCCTCGTACTTCGCCGCGCTGTTCGGGCGGGAAACGGCGGTGCCACGGCTGCCGACTATCACGGAGGCTGATCGAGGCTGGCGATGCGGGTTGTGGACTTCCGCCGCCGCCCTCGATCAGCTGGACTGGACTCGTTCCATGGTGCGGTGTGCTGGGTTGCCCTGTATAGGAATGTCTTCGGGCAGGTGGCGGACGAGGTGCCGCTGGAGGATTATGCGAGGTTTCAGAAGGTGCGGATGTATGACCAGAGCGAGAGAGTGCGTACTCACGGAGTGGGAAGAGAATGAGGTGGGGCTGGAGGCGGAGAAGAAGCTGGCAAGGGACAGACGCCATCTGGATTACCAGCAGTTGTGGGCAATAAAGCACCGCCTAGAGGTGGATAAGGGCATGCGCTCGATGCTGTATCGGTCCAGCAGTAAGGCTCCTTCTCGGAGGGAGCAGTGGTGGCATTTTTCTGGTATCTCCTCGCTAGGTATTCGGTGGTGGCAAACCGCAGGAGTCCAAGAGAACGGTCCAGAAATAATTGGGACTGAGATGGTAGGTCGGCCTACTTGTACTGTACCGCACCTGATAGACTTTGTGAGGCCCCTCGACCCGACGACTACGGCCGGTAACGAAAAACAACGGCTTGGAATCGATCGACTGGCAAAAAGCCCCACAGGCCTCCACCTTCGATGACCACAGTTCATCCAACAGCAGAAACAAGAGGTTCAGAATGGCCGTGCTGGGACTATCCCGGGAGGGCGAATCTTCGAGCACCCTCTCGACATGAAACCACCAGAGCGACGACGAAGACGACCCCCTCGGAAGGGCCGACGTCGGCCTCAACCAGGTACGTACCGCGCGGACACTGGATCGAAAGCCGTGCACCGAGACCTCGCGCGAGGATCTAGCAGCACTCGCGCTTGTTCCAGGAATGCAGTTGAAAGTGAATGTATTCTCGAGCACCATCAGCGGAATCGGTGCATTCGGAACCTCCTCCTAGATACGCAGCGCAGTCGGGCGGGTACTGGAAGCTCCACCTGATCCACGGCATCCGGATTCTATTCCGAAGCACCCCAAGAGCCAGGGGAGCGGGTACACCGTACACGACGCTGATGGCGAACCATTTCGCCTGCGGCGGCAGCATCCCATTCGCGGACGCGCTGCTGTGTGTTGCGTCGTCGGTGTACTGTAGGCACGGCATCGGTCCTTCGCCGCTTCGCGCGATCAAGCTCGGAAAGCACATACAACATGCGCGAGTGTATGGCGGCAGTTCGCTCGAGTATCTCTGCCGCCTTCCTTCCCGCGGCCAAGCAGATCGACGCATTCTACGGGGTGCTAGTTACTAGACGACAGTGATCTCTTCCGTACATACCGGACTTCAAGGATGAGGAGAAGGACCGAAGGACCGAAGGAAGGTGTTCTTTACCGACTTGGTCAACTTCCCCTTGATCTGCACGCCGGTCTGCTCACCGGAAGATGGCTCCAAGGGAGGGAGGGATGAGAAGCTAAGACCTGGAGCTTCGCTCGACAGAGACGGTAGAAGCAGAGAGATAGCCTGCCGGATATCAGAAGCAAGGAGGAACTTAAGTCCTGGGGTGGATCTTGACGGGACCCCGATATGTTGAAAGTGGCCGAGAATGGATAAGTACAACCATAGGTTCGAAGTATAATCGGCACGGAGAGGGGGTGTATTACCCAGGGTTGACAATGCGAAGGAAGCACGAATAAAGCTGAGATGCAATGCAAATACCTGTGTCCAATAGTGAGGGAAAGATACGGTCAATCAACGGGCCGGCAAGTCGGTGAGCAGTGAGGAAGCCGCTGCCTCCACGCCGCGACATGCGCGCCGATTCCCGTGCATCACCACCGGTGCATCGCGCGCTTACATAATCAGGCGCCTTGGCAACACCGTCCACCCGGTATAACCCCGTGAGATTCATGGTTGGGATGGCTAAATTCCAGAACTCGATCCTCACCATGACGGCTGGCTACCCCGATCCCATGCAAGCGGATTCCCACCAATTAGGGCAATACATCTCCCACAAAACATGGAACTGCATGACGGCGGTCGTCGCGGGTTCGGTCTTGTCCCCCAAGCGAACACATCCGAAAATCCCTCTGCATCATCCCGCATCGCCCTAGATAGGGACGAGGAGAAGCGGGTTTGTGGTAGTATCATGTGTAGAGGATGTAGCAAGTGCGCCGGTGGTTGGCTGCAGCGTGGGCGGACGACGACGATGAGAGCGATGTTGGTCAGGGTCTGTCCGCTCGCCGCTCGCCACCCAAAACGGCGGTGTTTAAATAAAACTCTGTTAAGTCCGCGTCGTCTACATATTCGGGCTCCACACTCGCTAGGTACCTCGAGGAAGTAGACGCAACCCCACCACGCACATTTCAAAGTACCCGCGCCGACCACCGCTTTCTAAGACCAATTACCCCCACCAAGACACCCCCCCAGCTTCAAACACAAAACACCCCAATCCCTTCCCTCCTCGTGCCGAAGAGTCACCGCACATCAGCCTCCACGAAACCCCCCCGCTTCTGACTCCTGCACATCCGGCTACAACAACCCCAGCCATCAAATACCGTATTCAACTTGACTCCGACAATCCATCGCAGACAAATACCTCCACCTCCACCTCTATCTCTAGTTACCTCTAGTCACCTCTACCTCTTCAGAGCTCGGCCTATTGACCACACCATCGCGGACTCCTCCTCCTCCCCGAAAAGAAGCAGAAGTCAAGAAGAACCTTAAAATGACCTTCGCAACGAGCCCTTCCACCCCCTCCGCGAGCACAATGGACGAATACGCCTTCCCTTCGCACCGATTGTCGCGCGCCCTGACCGATCCCTCCAAGACACCTCTGGTGCTCGTCGCCTGTGGTTCCTTCTCGCCTATTACCCACATGCACTTGCGCATGTTCGAAATGGCGGTCGACCATGTTAGGCAGAACATGAGTGACGAATATGAGGTTGTTGCGGGCTACATGTCGCCCGTGTCGGACCGCTACAATAAGGCCGGTTTGGCTTCTGCTACGCACCGGTAGATAGCCCCCCCCCCATTCCTTCTTTCCTCTTCATTCCTTACCTTACCTCCTATACCCCTCCTTCCCTCACTTTCTCTCTCAGACACCTCGGCAATGCAACCTTGCTGCATCACTTTGCCGTACTCCAATGCAATCAATGCTGACACGATGAGAAACTAGACTCCGCATGTGTGAGCTCGCCTGCGACCAGACGTCCGACTGGATCATGGTAGACCCATGGGAGGCCATCCAGCCCGAATACCAGCCTACAGCTCTGGTCCTAGACCACGTCGCCCACGAGGTCAACGACGTGATCGGTGGAATTGCGCCCTATGAGGGTGCTCCTCGCAGCGAGTACCGACGCGCACACGTCAGCCTCCTCTCCGGCAGCGACCTACTCCAGACGATGTCTGTAAGTTCATACTATCCCCCGCTACTCCCACACCTTCAGATACTAACAACAATCTTAGCAACCTGGCGTCTGGAGCATCCCCGATCTGGACCACATTCTCAGCGGCTATGGAATCTTTGTCGTCGAACGATCCGGCTCAGCCGTTCACGACGCCCTGGCCCCACTAAAGGAGTGGAGCAACGACCTCGGCAAAGACTGGCTAGAGAACATCCACGTAATCCGGCAGCTGATCGCCAATGACATCTCCAGCACCGGAATTCGGCAGTTTCTCCGGCAGGGAATGAGCGTACACTATCTCCTCCCTGCCTGCGTCATAGAGTATATCCGCGAGCACGGACTCTACCGCGAGGTCGAGGAGGGGAAGGAGAAGCGCAGCAGCAGCATGCCTCCGCTCAGCAGGAAGGGCAAGGAGAAGGAGCGACAGAAGGCGGTGAAGGAGATGGTTGCCGCTGCGGGGGCGAGTCGGAAGGAGTAATCAATCAATCTTCTTCTTTGGGCGCCCCCACGCGGGGAATGAACTGCAACGAATCAAACTCGAAAATGAATGACTTCTTCTTCTCCTTATATTTTATCTTATGTACTTCCCGATTTCCCCCTTTGCTTCTGTACCTATTACTGTTCTGTTCTGTTCGGGTTCCTTTTCTTTTCTATTCTTTTCTTGCTTGTATAACTTTCCTACGTGCTTGCTTGCTCATTCATGTCCGTGTTCTTATATCATTTGGGGGGTTGGTCGGTCGGGCTGGGTGGGGGATGGGTTGAAGTCTAGGTGTTTTGCTTTTCTTTGCTTTTCTTTGCTTTGCTTTTTTTCTCTTTGGTTAGATTTTCGTTTTTTTCCTATTGTTTGCTTGCTTGCTTCCGCGAGATGGTCTGGTCTGGTCTGTAAGGATAGGATAGAGGGAGTGTGTGGATAGACCGTGAAGGGTGTGTGCGGGATTGAAATGAAGTGAAAGTTGAAAGCATTGCTGGTTACATATCATATGTACCTAGATGTATTGATATCATATTGCGTGCGCCGGGCATACGGGATCGATATTAGAGTGCATATCATATGCAAGAAGTACATAACTCCATATCCTACATATCAGCTATGTAGATTGCCTGCCTGCCTGTCCGCCTGTCCTCCCGCCATGGGCGGAGCCAACCATGGGCGATGTGTGTGTGTGTGTGTGTGTGTGTATGTGTCGCTGTCTTCATCCCGAACCCCCCTTCGGCGCGATCCTCCGCAGCGATGGCCAGCCCGTCAGCGAGAAATCTACCTGGTGCCGAGCCGTCGTCGGCGGGCTCGTCCCGCAGGCGGCCCCCGAGGTCGCGGAAGCCGCACGTGCGCTTCACCGTCGCCGCCGGCCGGAAGACGCAAGCCCGATGAGCCCGGCAGCGCCGTGATCACCGCTGTCGAAGACTCCAAGAGCTGGTCGATAAGCTGCACGGGATGGCGCGGGATGGATGCCAACACGATATGTATGCAGCTCTTCGGTCCATACTCTAAATACGTTGCCATACGTTGCCATACGTTGCCATACGTTGCCATACGTTGCCATACGTTGCCATACGTTGCCATACGTTGCCATACGTTGCCATACGTTGCCATACGTTGCTATGCGTTGCCGTGCGAGTAAATACACATATAAGTAAGTATCAATAACATCAACTACACCACGCCCAGGGACTCTGCCACGAAGTTTGCCCGCTATAGTAGTACATGAACCTCCTGGAATGAGTCGTTGCTAGAGCGGATGTCCTGTCCCCAGCGAGGAGATGCGGGTGGCGAGGGTTTGTGAGGCGGCTGGTAAACTGGTAAACTGGTATCGACGAATCACCTATCGGGATGCCCTGGCGAGTGAGAAAACGATGCTGCGAGGAAGTGGCGGCGGGAATGGTAGTGACGATGGCATGGCTCTTTTGGCTGGCACTTCAAGCCGAAGCACGACAAGCGGAAGCACCCCAACCCCCACCTCCCAACCAGATCCGCACCAAAGCTCCTCCTCCATTACCCATCGCCTCGGGGTTGTACTCCACCGCCTCGCCGCGACCGCGCCGCGACCAAGCCGATCCCACTCGCCGACTGCGCAGTAGTCGTGCGCTGCATTCTAGCGGTGTGGGTGGACCAAGTCCCAGCTAACTGTAGAGCTCTAAGAGTTTCGACGGGATGAGGACGGGCCTCGTCCCGGTACCTTAGGTACCATGCGGCCGCCGGAAGTTGGAACCGCAGTCACCGAAGTCGCCGACTAGTCCTGCGTTCGAACAATTGCAAAGGCCGGCGCTTGAATTGAATCCGCACCGCGGCGAGAGGGCAGCTGCGCTGGAGGATTTGCTGGCGGTTTGTGCGCCGGGATAGGTACCAGGAAGGAAAGGTCGAGTGAGATGGCATGCGGGATGTGCATGCGGAATGGTTCGGTAGAACGGCTTTTCGATTGCGATGGGAATATCGAAAAGAATCAACGGGGCGCCATAATTGGCGGTAATACAAGCTCTCGGTCCGATGCTTAGCACACACACGCACGCAATTAGCACCGGGGGTTGGGTACCTGAGGAGTCGTTGCGTTCTTCAAGATCATGTAGATATTTCTTGCTTAGATTGTACATATGGTGGGGAAGGCGTTATGCTTAATGGCAGGTTTTTGACTGGGACGATGTTTTTGCTACATACATATTTCTTTTCTTCAGTAGATAGTGTAGAGTAGCATAACTAGAATGTATAGAGTAGTTAGAGTAGGATGATGAACTGGGAAACAAGAAATGGTGAGCGAGCGACGGACTTTTGTTGGAAGGACCCGTGGAGGTGATTTACTGGAACGATAGAGATGAAGAGAAGTGAAGTGGTATGTTCGATTTTAGGAGCTACAGGTACAAGAAAGAGAGAGAGAGAGAGAGAGAGAGAGAGAGAGAACCAAACTTGGACCCGCTAATACCGCACAGAATATTCCAAGCACCCACCACCGGTCCTCCGAACGGCTAGTGGACTACTCATAGGAACACACTCGTTCCCACAGCTTTGAGCCACCCAAAAGAAACCTCCCCTTGCCTCCGCCTCCACCTCCCTACATATCCGTCCCGCAACCTCACCTCGAAAGTCGGAAGATTACCTAGAAGTGAACTTCAGGGCTCTGAGAATGAGGAATGGCAAGCCCCCAGTGCCCACGGCCTACGGGAGCCATGGAAAGCAAGTAATTTCCAATTGTGCAAAGAGGGAGGCCCCAGGCCTATGATTGCGAATTTCCTCCATTCTCGTCCCGCATAGATCCGGGAGAAGGTCCACACCGAAATGAACCATTGTAACCATCACCATCACCATTGATAATCAAAAGCGGCCAGCCCCCCTCAATGACATGGACATCGACAAATCAATCAATCAACCCACGATTCAAGCCACGTGCTTTGTCTCACACCAGCCGCAACGGGCCGGCTGCCCCTATTGCCCACCTATTTTTGGCAGCAACATATTCCACCACAACGGTACAACCTGTATCGTTAATCCCAGGCGAAAGAGTACTAAATTCTAATCATGCAACGTGACCGCGGCTGTGGATGGAGTGGAAGATCTGGATTGCCGAGTTCTCGAAGCGAGCTGCGAGCGGGATTGACCCGTAACTCGTTGAGGCGGCCTGGCGGCACGAGACGGATGCAGCATGATCGTGCTCGTACATTCTGGTGTAAATATAGCCCATCTCAGCTGGATAGGCTCGTATCCATCGTGGAATCGTAACTTGCAAGTATGTAGGTGTAACACTGAACAGGGCCTGCATAGGCCGTTAGATTTTCGATACGAGGGGGGATGGGGGACGCATGCGGGGATAAACGAGTGGAAATTGACGATTCGAGGTGTGTATAAAAATCCCGGGAGGCCCCAGTGCCCCTGTCCCTCCCGCACATCGACGACCAACAGTGAAAATCAGTGAAAATGATCTTCCCGCAGCTCCTCACGCTCCTGCTCCTGGCCGTAACTGTGGCGGCCCGATGCACCATCCGGGAAGACACCGACTTCACTTTGACGACGTTCAACGCCACGTCCCCCAGTCTCAACAACACCTTGCTCACCGTGTCCACTCGCACCGTGGGCCCAGTGGGAATCCACCTTCCCTCACCGCTGCTCGCGCACTTCCACGCCGGCGGGCTCTACCGCCGCGTCGTCGACCAGAAGAAGGTGTTCATGTACCAAGGCTACCTGACCCCGGCAGGCGGCCTCGAGTTTGCGGCGCACCCCCCGGCGAACGCAGTCACGGGCCCGTTCGAGATCGGGTGCGATTACTATGGAAGACACTTTTTGAGTGTCAAGGGAAAGGATGATTGGTCCGCTTGTAGGCTGTCGGGCTCCCCTGGAAGGTGGAAGGTATGATATTCTGCGGACTTAGCATACAACTAGCATGGCAGAGTATGGTGCTGATGTTCATGTGGGGGGCAGATCGTGAGCGGTGCAAAGAAGGACAAGGCCTGCAGTGTCCGGATCAGGTGGCTGTGGGTGGACTACGTTCAGTAGTGAAGAAGGAAGGAAAGGGCCACGCGAGGAAAGGTGGATATGGATCGCGGGGTCCGGAGGCCAGTAGGCACTTACATACGTTACCGGGGGGTTGGGTTGGGTGCTTTACCTAGGGCAGCGAGCATGTCGGCTATGCTGCAAGTTAAGAATGATACATCACTTTCGCGGGCTGGGAACCTTAACGAACGTGACTTGAGCAAGGGTTGCGTGTCGGGGCGGGTCTGGGGGGGGGATGCGCTTTGGCTGAATCGAGTCTTGGTATCCAGCTGTGCGAGCCAGCTCAGATCTCAGCACAGCCGTGACTCGTGGCATGATCGGATGATTCGGATCGCTGGGCGTTCGTGGCACGATCGGACCTCTGGATGGACGGCCGTGGAACGACCCGGATAGGCCCGGAGACGGTGGGTGATCCTCGGGGAGATCGATCGGTCCTACGCCGTCGGCGCTGGGCGGCAGCGGCAATCTCTAGAGTACAGCCTGGCCTAAACGCTAACCGCCAACTGTTGTCCTCCGCCTTTGCCTGCGTACTTGGAGGTATGTACGCACGTACATACCATACCATGCCGTAGTACCGTATCGTGCCGTGCAATCGAACCTCGTCCCACCACCATTGCACTCGCACATGGCCTGGATGCGAGCTCAATGGCCAGAGTGGAAATGCCATGCACGTAGTTGAGCCGGTCTTCGGCATGTGGCACGGAACTCTATCGTGGCCCGACTTCGGCTCACGGCACTCCCGTCTATGCGTGAGCTGAGGTCGCCGTCTTCAAGGTAAGCGCTGCGAGTGATCGTTCGTGAGCACGTCAGGTCATATGTGGCTGGTTATACCACTAAAACCAATTGGCCAACCAGCAGTCAGGACAGAGAAGTCCTTCCGAGGAATTATGATGCCACACCACAGGATTGCAATCCAGCCTGCTTCTGTGGTATCGAAGCGGGTCTCGCGTAGCTCCGACGGCGTTTTCCGCGAGAACTCCAGGTCCTTCATGTACCCTAGAGTATGTAGAGTGGGTGCATACTATAGATATTAAATTCCATAGTAGTCTACTCCATATACAAGTCATGGACTCAAGGACTCAAAGGCCCGTTGGTACATAACTCTGTATGTGTGTACAAAGCCATTGGACTCGGCCACAGCTGACCTGACGACGAGGCTTGGACTCTTAGACTCTTGGAGTCCTCCTTCATCCAGCTGACAGGTGGGCTGACTACGGTGGTTAGTTATCCGTAGTTACATACATAAACATGTAGTCGTACGTACGGTGGGTATCATATGTATCTGCGGATATCGATCCGGGTCCATCCAACTCAACTCGTTGAGGTGAAAAACTCATCACCTAAGACCTTGCCCGGCCGCGCACTGGATACATCATACTGGATGCATAACCAATCTATCGTGACAACATCAAAAGTAAACCCTCCCTCGCCATCATCCGCCCCCATCATCCCCCCTCCCCCGTCCCTCGTACACCCAACCTCCCCCAACTCCATCCAGCCAGGTATGTGTGTGTGTTCCACCTAGGTTTCTTTTTCATCGATTCGATTCGATTCGATTGCCCACTGCGATGGGGTCGGGGTCCGGGGATTGGGGGATGGGATTGTGGGAGGGGGGTGGATGGGAGGGAGGGGGGGTTGAGGTTCCAGTGGTAACTAACTGCTAACTACGCTTATCGATATCGATATCGAAGTTCGGAGACTCGGACACTTTTTCAGTGCCGTGGAAGCGAGCCGCTGCGCAGTGAGGAGACTGCTGGGTGCAGGTGTGGTGCACTGGGCTAAGCTGTGGTGGTGGCTCTTGCTGGATGTCGGGATTCGGGGATTCCCCTAGCTGCGGGTGAAAAAGCAAAGCATATGGGGATTGGGGATTGGAAGGTGAGGACGGGTCGGGTCTGTGCGACGCCCACCAAGGCGGGCAACAGGATCTAACTATTTGCCCTTGGACGATGGATGTTGGATGCTGGATGAAACTCCGACTCGGAGGCAGAGATAGAAGGGCACCGTACTTGGGTACTCCATGGCGCCACTATCACCAACACCAACATTAACTCCGCCAGAAGAAGGGAGAGAATTCGGGAATGTTGCGATCACGACCGCAGCCCCCACACCCCGACAGCTTCTTCACAATTTTTTCCTCTGTGTGGGGCGGCTGGATTGGGGGGATATGAAACTGGTCGATCATAGTTACCACGGTGAGGTGTCGCAGCAGTGAGTGAGACATTGATTCAATATGTCGTGTTCTTATGGGTGAGTGAATCACGGGATTCGGCATCCCTCAGTGGTGGCTTGCATAAAACCACCACCAACTCTGACGGATAACTATCCCCTACATGTCCGGGGCGGGAGTATACCTGTTACCGCGGATGTTTGAAGTACCGTGGGTCAGAGGTGGCGATGGCGACTGTCATAGTAGCAACCGGGACTGCTACCAGCACAGCTGCAGCCAAACTAATCGAGACAGTGAGCCGTGTGGTTGTGTAGACGCACTGCCACCTCCTAAACGGGCCTAGTCGGGCATACTTTGCATTGTTTCAATACCAGAGAAATGAGCAACAGCGCTGATACAGAGGTTATTGGGCCGGGAAGCTCGAGTCACAAACAGGCAGTCAGGTTGCAGACAGGCCGCTGGCGAATACTACTACACCGAGGGCGGCGGCGGACTCTACCAGGTACTAGGTACACTGTCAAATGTTTAGAAAAGCTTCAGGAGAAGGGGAGTGGAAATATACGCTGCTAGATTCATAATGTTGGAGAGCCTGTTTGTACTAATTTACACATGTTGCTTTGCGGAAGAGCCCACTCGCGGAATGCTTTTGATATCACTCGTTGTCGCCTTTCTGCGCCAGTCCACATTAGGCCACGCTAGGGAGTTGTAACAGGTATACTCCTGCCCCGGACATGTAGGGGATAGCATGTGGGTACTAACCACTTTACATGCTGTCAATGCTGTCAACTTCACAGCGCCACCATTTTTCTCCACAGACCACTCAATGATGCATCGTGCTATCACGGACGGAGACTCCTCCTTGCAGCATGCCAGCCACTAGTTCTAAGTTAACCACCCACCCATATACCCACCAGGCACCTACCTACCCACCAGCCACCTAACCTATCTAACCCGCCTAACCTACACACCTAACCTACTCCATACCTCCCCAGCGAAAGTCTTCGCGGTGACGATCGACGACACCCGCGGCGGCCACGGGGTACTATAAAGTAATACCAGCAGACGTTTCAGTCCAGCACTGCATCCACGGAACCAGATCGAGGAATACTATCCTCCTCCCGAAAGACTGGACCAGTGGTTGGGAGACAAGTGACACTGCGTCTCAGCTTGCAGCGATTGGGAGAACCCGCCCGATCTCGAGTTCCCAGATTACGCGGACTCGCAATCCCACCCACACACACACCGCACTCCCAGACACCACACACCACACACACATACACCCATACACCACACACGCGCACACATGGGACGAACGAGGGCGGATGGGAGCTGTTGCATGTTGACCATCGTTGAGATGGACTCAAACTGACCAGCGGTTGAAGGTCTTAAGTGAGTGAATTGTCTCGTCCCATCAAGAAGCCTGCCCCCCCCCCCCCCCCGGGTCTCGGTCACAACGGAAGCTAATAGGTTGAGTCCAGTCACGGCTGCAGGGTCACAGATTCACAGTGCTGGGCGTGCATACTTTGTACAACTCCCACCCCCCCATCGTGGCATCGTCACTCTCACCATCGATGAATAGCAGTTAGAGTATACATATGGATTCGGCAAGCCGAGATGAGACGGTTGCATTCGCCCTCCCTCGCATGCGCTATCGTGAATTGAACATCGCATCCATCGCATCCGCAAGCAATCGGATGTCTGGATGGTTGCTCATCTACCTACCTACCTGTCTGGAGCGCCACCACCACCACCGTGAGGCGAACAGACGGACGGACGGACGAGGGAGAAGGGCGGCCGGCCTCAAGGGGAGCGGACACCTGGTGTGATAACACTCCTTCCTGGAAGCACAGCCAACTACCGGCGCGGGCGTGTCGATAGTGGTTATGCAGCTCCGATCATGCGCTCCGATCCCCTCGAGATACATATGTACAATACATAGTCAGTATTCGGCCACGCCCACGTCCCACTTCCCCTCCCCACCCACGACCTGCATTAGGGGTGCCCGTCTTTCATCACGATGTCTGTACAAGAGGGGTGTGACAGACACATGCACCGCCAGCGTATGTGCGTCTGCGGGCCGCACCACACGCCGGGCGCTACGGGAGCGGCAGAGGCCAATGGGGGCAGCCGCCGCACGCCGGTGTTGACTATCTGCCGGCTGCAGAACAGCGCATACAGCCCCAGCCGATTCCGTCGCCGGTCTTCCGTATTCACTACTACTGCATCGACCCCCCGGGTGCGTGCCACCGCTTCGCTCCACAAGGTACCGGTATCTTACCTCGATCCATTTGGCATGGTTGGTACTGATGCTCGTCTGTACCGGTATGTATGTATGTGGGGAGGTAGGTAGGTACCGGCGTGTCCTCCGGCCAGCCAGGCTGCGTGCGTGCATCGTGAGCCGGGAATTCTCCATAAACCCCTTCCCTTCCCTCCCCCCACGGAGTGACGGCGCATGTCGACTTGCCGGCATTTACATTCACTCATTGTTTCTCATCAATCCTCGCATGCAAGCCATCTGATCTGTTGCTAACTTGCTACAGTCACGACACGTACATATGTACTTATTTATGTATGTACTCCATACATACATACCTCCTGAGACCCGACTTCACCCCACATACCGACCTGTGTATGTGCAAAGTTCAAACAATTATGCACTTCCCGCCGTCTCCCGCCGTCTCCAGCGCGAACAAAAAACGGAAATGGATGGCCAGTACTCAGTACTCAGTGCTGCCAGTGAAAGTCCTTGTCCTCGTACCCGTACCCGTACTCCACGCTGCGTAACTGCGTAAAAGTGCAGACTCCAGATAATGTGTGATGGTCTATGTATGTACTCCGGGACGCAGCCTCGTTCCGGTCCCAGCAGCCCTTGCTGGGGTATAACTCTGGGGTGTAACTACCAAGTAACTACGGTCCAGAACCAGAACCAGAACCAGAACTAGAACTAGACATCACGAAGTACGAAGCCACACAAAATTAGAACAGCATGCCACACTCGACTCATGGGCCATAGACCAACACGGAGTACTCTACCAAGGCGGAGTACTTACCTACCTAGCATAGGCTTTTCTGAACGTACCAACCCGTGCGTGCGTGCGGAAAGGAAACCAAAACCAGGGCGGTCGCGGAGCACACACAGTTGGTTGGTTGGTTGGTTGGTCCGTCCGGGATGGGCAGCATTGTCCGAGCCATGTTGTAGTTAGAGCATGCCGTTTTCATCACCGTTTTCATCACTTCAAAGTTCAAAGTTCTCACAAAAAAACTTTAAATAAAAGAAAAAGAAAAAGGAAAGAAAGAAAAGAAAGAAAGCACAAATTCAAAGAGAAAGAAAGCAAAAATTCAAAGAGAAAGAAAAAAAAAACTCAGTTCAATCAATCTATCTCTTTTGCGTCAACAGAAACTTCAAAATCAACAGAGAGTAGACTCTGCAAGCAGCACAGCACCGAAGCAGAAAATAAGGGTGAGAACGGACGGAAGCAGAAGCGGAAAAATAAAAGCAAAGAAATAACTAGGACGAATTTCCACCTTCCCATAAACTACGAATTAACCCCAACCCCGGCTTTTACTTCCATGTAGAGCACTCCTCCCACTCCACAGCACATGCACATACTCCCCCATCTCCGAATCCCAAACATCTCTTTCGCTGGAAAAGACTGCTGGAATTATCTTCGACGAGAAAACATTTGTTGCTCATTTGAAAAAAACTATGTAACGAAGAGGGCATGCACTAGCGGAGAAGGAAGACAAAAAGAAAAGAAAAGAGGAACCGGAACAATGAGTGTACGAGAAGAAAAATGAAGAGGTCGGTGGTGGCGGATCGGATTCGTTAACATGACGGCAATTCTCGGGCATAAGCACACTCGTAAAGCATTTTCCCGCATGCCCCATTAAGCCGCACCACGCTTCCTCAAGTTCTCGCTGAGCCAGTTGAGACCCTCGTAGAGACCGTCACCAGAGGTAGCGCAAGTCGATTGGATGTACTATAAACGGATAATCGTCAGTGCACTTGCTCGGCTATACAAACATGGATGAACGTTGTTGGACATACCCAGGCCCGCTGTCTCAAGCTGTGCAGTCCAAGCTTATCTGTGATCTCGGCCGCGTTCATGGCGTTCTGTCACGGGATAACGTTAGCACCGAATGGAGAGCGCTTCCCCTCGGATGGCGGATACTCACGGGCAAATCCTGCTTGTTTGCGAACACCAAAAGAAGCGCATCCCTCAGCTCGTCCTCGTTCAACATCCTCTGAAGCTCCTCCCGAGCCTCGCTGACACGCTCCCTGTCGTTGGAGTCCACGACGAAGATAACACCCTGGGTGTTCTGGAAGTAATGGCGCCAGAGGGGGCGGATCTTGTCCTGACCACCGACATCCCACACGGTGAAGGAGATGTTCTTGTACTCGACCGTCTCGACGTTGAATCCTGGAGAAAAAGTTCGGGGTCAATCCCTGCCAAGAAAATTACGGACGCCAAGGATTGGAGATAACGTTCATCCAACCCTCAACACAAAAAGATATCGGAACTTACCAATGGTCGGGATGGTGGTGACGATCTCACCCAACTTCAACTTGTACAGAATGGTGGTCTTTCCAGCGGCGTCCTGTAGATCGAGAAGCACATGTCAGCTCCGACTTCGTTTTAGTGTCATCTTCCGTGGCCTCATTTCTTATCTCTCCATCACACCGGCGCCGGCAGCATGTCGTTCACGAGCTGCAGCAAGCGGTAACGACGCAAACATATGGTGATAGGATAAGAAACGAGGCACCGCCCCCCCGAGCAAGGATGGAATTGAAGACGCACCAAGCCAACCATCAAGATTCGCATCTCCCGCTTGCCGAAGAGGCCAGCAAAGACCTTCGATATATTGATACCCATGATGAAGGATTACTCGGTAGGCGTGTAGTTGGGAAGTGTGCTATAGATCGAGAAGGTTGGGTTAGCAACATGTTGAGTCGATGATAGTAGAGTCGTGAGACGACAGACGGTCGGCTATCGCACGTGGCGGAACCGGTGGCCAATGGAAATCAAGCAGATGCAAGGCAACGGGGGGAAGAAAACTTGCGACGGGAAGGATGGGGGGATAGAGGAAGACCACGATCACGTGTTGTCGGCAGCGGGTTCGTTAAGCTCCTCTCGTGATCGCACCCAAAAGGGGGAGAGGGGGACGACAAGGTAAAGGGTGCGACCCTGAAGCGGGGGGTGTAGAAGGGGATCGAGGACAAGAAAGTGCAACAGTACAAATGAGGGGTATCCGAAGGACTCGAGAAGGAAGAACTCACGTTGTGAAGATGCGCTGGGGGAAGGGCGGTTGTCGGTGGGTTGGGTAGTTTGGTGTGGTGGAGGTGGAGGAAGCGGGTGAGAAGTTTGGGTGTGTGTGGATTGAAGCTGGCGATGGGGTGATGGATGGAGGAGGGTAGGAGGCTCAGAGCTTGGCTGGCTGGTTGGCTTGGGGGGTAGAGGCGATGTGGCAGAAAAAGGACAGCTCACTACCGCGACTGAAGCAGTGGGGCTTTGTTTTTGCTGACTCACGTGGACTGGCGCTAGTCCAAATCAGTAAAGCTTAGCCGCAACAGGACTCGAAGTGGGATGCTTGTTGTTATTGGCCAGAAGGAGGCATTTTACGTACATTGCAGGAGCTTGATCGGGGAGTAATTGATGATGATTGCGACGACAATTGCGATGACGATGGGTGGAAGTCAAGTGACGGCGAGGTCTCGAGTAGGTAGCAGATGAAGCGCGTGGGTTGGAGCAAAGTGTCTTGCTCGCAACTCGCTGCTCTTATGCAGTTTCAGCTGAAAAGGACACTTCATTCGCTGTGCTGCCAGAAAAGGTCCTTGACTCATGCCATCATCAAACCGGTGCCAAGACATACCTCCTCGCTCCGCCCAAAGCCACTTCTGTCCTCTCCCCACTCCACACAACCAATAACTCTTCAGACCCCAGCCGACAACCGCGTTCACCACCAAACAAATCCTAAACAAGCTCAGCAATGACTCCTCTCGTAACATGACGACGATCCCGGACCACAATGACTACCTACCAATCTAGCTGGTTCGTTCGTCAACATGCCATTCGTCTCCTCCTCCATCATGCGCCCACGCTCGCTCAGCCCAAGCCACCACAACCCTACCCAGCAGTAACTATCGACACGTTTAACCCACCACAGTCGGTCAATCTTCTCTCCTGACGCCAGATCAACATCTTCGATCATCGAGCCGGCAACTAGACACATATCACCCGACTATGTCTCCATGGTCCCCACCGATGGCGATATGACCCGGGTCTCGCTTCTTGTTGCAGGAAGCGAACGAAGCTCAACAGTCGCAGCCGGTCGTGTCCCTAGGTACTCTAACCATCTTATTGCACTGGCATCCGGCGTGTTTCCTCCACTCTCGAGGCATGCATCATGCCAACAGCAGACCCGTCGTCATGGATATCGGTTTTCCTCGCGAGCCGTTCAAACCTTCTGCTGCCGATCGATATTCCCGTGCTGCGTAAATGTATGGACAGCACTCCCACTCGCGGAAACTTTAATGGCGCCGCATACCATCCATACCATCCATTGCAAACCCGACCAAGAAATGCCATATGACCATAACACCGAAACTGCTATTGGAAGGACGATGCAATGCCATCTCCAACACAAGCTCAATCAGAGCTCTTCTCATCCCCCCCCAGAGTTAAGACGTAGGAATACATGCGAAAATCCCCCCTCCACCCTCCATCCCCCCCGTACCGTCCGCATCCGCGTCCGTCCCCGGACCGATAAACGTCCGGTTAGTATTAGATTGGCGACAGTTGAGACATCGATCCGGTGATGTCTTTCTCCGTGCTGATGTGCTGTCCATCCGACCTCGCCAGCCCAATCACCACCTAACCGGAATCCGCCGTGGCCTCCGTTCCTTCCAGCGGCAACGATGAAAGCTCACGGACGGGAAGTCCAGTGCGGGGACGGGATGCACACACCTACCACATACCTACACACAGACACCCAACGCTAATCCAACCGCAATTCCCTCCACTCTATACACGTGTACGACGGGCCATGCGATAGTGATAACGGCTATCGTCAACTTTTGCTCTAGAGCTGACACCAGCTTTCTTCTCCACTCACTCTATTTCTGGCGACCGTTGAGCTGTTTATTTGCTTTCTCTCTTTCTGCCTCCGGCTCGGGGAAAACTTATCTGAGTGCTTTTCTTTGCTTTTTCGTTTCCTTTCCTGCAGGGTGTGACATCCATATATCCATACATCCATGAGTACGTCCATCCATACATACAGCCATACATACAACTGTTGAACCACCATCAAATCATTGATCAATCCCGTGAGCGAGAGGTATGTAACTACAGGGAGGAAAGGAATGAAACCCACCCACCGCTAAAGTAGATACCTACATACTGTATTCCTCATTTTAATCCTCCCCGGTCGTTGGTCGGATTCCAAACCCCCCCCCCCCCCCCCCCCCCAAATCCCCGGGCTTTTTGTTTCTGTTTCTGTTTGATCACCTTGGTCCTTGATTCTTGGTCCTTGGACACCTTGGTAGATCGTGGCTGTTTATGAGATTGCCTCTTCCACGCTCCACACTGTTTTGTCTGGTCTTGTCTTGTCTGGTCTGTACCCGCTGGTGCCTGGTGCCCGGCCCGGTGTGTTGTGCACTGTGTTGTGTGCACTATGCTCCCTCGCTGCCCTTGTTACCCTCCCCATAACCCAACCCACCCCAACACAAAACAGCTCCCTACCCCCGGGGGCTCTCTGGCTTGTGATTCGCGACCGGATCCGACTGGCGAGTGATAGCTTGTGATACTGCCGATAGGGCTTCCTATTGGCTACAGCTAGCTCGCTGGTTCTGGTGAAGGTCCGTCAGGGTGCTGTGCAGGGCTGGAATTGTTGGGGCAGCTGTATTGGAACCTGAAGAGGCGAAGGCGATCGTGATGTGATGCGATTTGGATGTGGCTGTCGATTGAGGCCCGGGGGAGGGGAGGGTACATGTAGAGTACGTAGAGTAGAGTACGTACCGTATTGACGTCGTGATGATCGATGGATGATCTAGCCATATACCTGCCTGGCAGCCAGCTCTACCTTGGTTTTTGGTTCTTCCCATCCTCCGCCTCCTTCGCCGCAGTGTGCTATCAAGCTGTGGCCTGTGGGAAGCGAATCCTCCGACTCTCCGAGACGTGGCCAATGCCTACAACTCAACCCCACGGTCGATGAATCCTGATAAAAGATTCGGGGAAGAGAGAGAGATAGAGCAAAGCAAAGCAAGGCAAGGCACCAGTCAGTCAGTCAGTCGGACATCACTTCCCACATACGCACACGAGTAGTTTCAACTTTCAACTTTCAACTTCCGAGGACCATCTCCGTAGGATTATGCCAATTGACAAAACAACTTTTTTGTTTGCAAAAAAAAAAACCAGATGTAGTCAACGGACAAACTCCCCTCAAAAATCTCCCCCGCAAAAGACCTCCCCGCAAAAAAAAGCCTCCCCCGCAAAAAAGCCCTCCCCCCCAAAAACCTCCGCTCATCCATCCATCCACCCAGCTGCTGCGGCAGCCCTCCGTGCCTGTTCGCCCCCGGTTTAAGGGAAATCAAAGAGAAACAAATAAATAGAACTTGAAGTAGAATAAACGCCGTTTGCACCGTCCACCCACCATCATGTCAATCCCAAAGTCCCGAAGCCCAAATCCCCTGAAGCCCCCAAAGCCGAAAGCCCAAATCCTAGCCCATCCCATGCCGTTGCCCCCCCCCCCCCCCCCCCCCCCCCCCCCCCCGGTAAATTTCAAGCAACCCGGGTTGGGCTTGATGCAAGTAAGTAAGTGAGTAGGTGGGTGGGCAGAGATGCCAAAAAAACAGAAGAACGAAAAAAAAGACCCGCCCAGGAAAAGAGGAAAAGAGAAAATCAAAATCAAAAAAGAAGGAAAAAAAAAGAGATATGATACGGATCTAACGTCCTACCCCTGGCTGTGATGTGATAACCGTCGTTCGGAGACAACATGTAGGTGGCACATATGTATCCCTAGGAGGCGACAGCGCCGCACCGGTGGTCCATGCAATTCTTATCCAGCGCGGGTAGTTGGGCCGTGACGACAGGCGACATATCTCTCGACTCCTCCAGTGGGTTTGGGACGAATTTCTCGCCGCTGATCCAGCCGACGCCGGCCTTGATAATCTCCATCACCACCTCCACTTCCTCTTTGGACCGCGGGGCGTAGACCATGACGAAACCCTGAGGCACGAATCGACTGCACCAGCCTCCTTTGGCGAGGGGATGACGTTCTGGAGGAGAAGAAAAAGAGATCAGCATTCGGATTCTAGCCCCCATGGGCATATACAGGTATATGGGTTTGATATGTATGTATATGAAACCTATATAAAATATATGCGAGATACCATGGATGTGATGGTTGAACTTACCGCCCCAACCTGCTTCTATCACAATCTTGATATCCTCCGGGTGAAGGGTCATGTGCATGCTACCATCACTTGGATGGGCATGGCAGACCTCGCCGTTGCCCTCGGGGTTGGCCTTCTTGTTGGAGAAGAGACCGGGACAATGCTTCTCGAAAGCGCTGGTTGCGATGCGGAACTTTGACGGATAGTCCTTTGCGAGTTTCATGATGGAGGCCGAGAGGTCGTTGAACACCTCGGGGGACGGCCACTGGTTCGTTTGACGGTGCGGAGCGATCCCGGCGACGTCGGGCCGCGCGGACCGCCGCACAGGGATGCTGCCGGGACGCAGGAACCCCGTGTTCTGCAGCTCCTCCGGGATCGGCGCGGGGCAGCGCGGGTGTCGCAGTGCAAATAGCCGCAGAAAGGTGATCTTCATGTAACCAGTAAAGGTCGACGGCGTGCCTCCAGGGCCCAGCGATAGGAAGCCGGAGTAGTCCTTATACGTGACGTATGCTGCAAGCATGGCCAGTATGAGGAGTCCCGGTGCTGTAGGCGAGGACGAGTACGAGGGCGCAGGAGGCGCGGTGAAGTTTGATCCGTGCAGGTAATCCATTGCGAGGGAAACCGGTATGCTGGGTGGGGGCAGGCTTGACTGCCAAATATGGAATTGACTGATTTCCAAAATACGTGCGGAAAAAGGGAAGCAACAGAAGAGAACAACAGAAGTCTGACGGTGGAGAATGTGTGGCTTGTGTAGATGATGAGGAGAAGTAAGAGGTCAAGAGGAGGAGGTTAAGAGGATTGCGGGATTGCAGGATGGATTTATCGATACTATGTTGGGCACTTCTAAGGGAATGGAATGGTCTGGGAGAAGGCTCAAGGTGGAAGGCTCAATTGAATGAGGCGGTGAATGGTGGAGATATAGAATAGAACAGCGGGGAGGTGGCGACTTCCGGCGGCCTTTATAGCTGTTGTGGGATTCGAAAGGTGGTCGTGGATATGTTGTGGATCCTTTTTTTTCCCTTTCAATCAGGTCCATTGCACCGATCAATCACCAGGGCAGGGGACGAACAGATGCAGCCTCAAGCGCGCAGGAAGGACCCGGCACAGTGCAGGAGTGGTGGACAAGGTGGGGAGTAAGTCAGTAAGAAGGTATGGCATTCCCAGCGTGACAAGGAAGTGAAGAAGTGCTCGAGCATGTTGATGGAATTCGTCAGGCCGGACCAGCTGCAGAGGACAGCAAGAGACGAACTGCGCATGGCCCTGCTGATCACCGGGGCGGTCGAGCGAAGGCCAGTGGGCCGCTGTATTCAGATGTATTCTAGGTGAACGGCATCAGCTAGGTAAGGAAGAAAGTGAGTAAGTAAGTGAGTTAGGTACATACTCCACTTGGCAGCCTACTGCCTACTGCTCTGGCTGTGACCCGGCGGCCGGACAGCCGTTTCGGTGGGCAGCCACACCGTCAGCTGGTGCCCTGGGTACTGTGATAGTTAGACCTTGCGGATGCTGCGAGGGTGTCTGTGGGGGGGGGGGGGGGGGTGGTGGAGATGACAATGACAACTCAGTCGGTCGTCTCTGGGCGGGTACCGGCCTGGGATGGAAAGCACGCCGGTCACGGGTTGGAGGTGATTGACGAAGCATGGCCGTTGGCGGGGGTGGAGGGTGGGGATGGGGGCCTGGGGGGGAGGGAAGGGGGGGGGGGGGTCACTGTGATCTGCCATCAATCCGCTGGCGCATTGGGACCTAGGCTGCGAGTAGGCTCCCATACAGTGGGTTCCGCAGTGGGACAAGTGAAGAAACGTTGGGCCGAGCCCGATGAAGCAAAGTCCGTCCGGTCCACAGGCTGCAGTGGACGAATGTGGAAGGGAAGGCGTTGAATGCCGGCTGCTCGGTAGCGAAGGCCAGCCAAGTAGAGGAGGACATTTGAGATGGGTGGCAGGGGCCGAGCCGGCACGGGTTTTGGCCAGCAGTGCGAAGAAACGTTACGCTGGATAGGTAGAGCACTCTATCTCAGATCGCACGAGACCAGATCCCTTCCCTTCGTCCACCCTGGTCAGTGCTTAGCGAACAAGGAGGTCAGTGCTTAGCCGCCACCTCAGCGGCGGCCACCCCATCTTTGCGCCGCGTCCTGTGGTAGCCAGACACGCTGGGGCAGTGGGGACGAGGACGCTAGCTGCCTGTTCGCGCTCCGGGCGGGGGAGGTTGCGGCGGGCACGCAGATGGCTTGATGTATGTATCCATCAGCATTTGCAACCAGAATACCGTACCGCAGCTGCAGCACGCGGAGCAGAAGGGCAGCAGGAGTGCTGTACCCGTACTATACACGGCACTGGGCTGGCTGGGCTGGGCTGGGCTGGCTGGGCTGACTGGGGCCAGTGCACTTGCCCCGGACTGCGTCGCCCTGGCCAGCTGGGTCTCCGGCAACAACAACAAGGCCCCGCACGGCCTGCTGCTTAATGTTCCGGCAACCGCCAAGACGCCAGTAAACCGTTTTGGACATCTATGCGTGTGATATCTGGGGGTGGCTTCTTTTGTTTTTGGTGTTTGGCAGGGTACGGCAACGGCCAGAAAGCAGCCGTGGCACTGGAAGGGATGCCCTCAAGGATCCGGCCGCTGTGATGCCACCCCCCACACCCGCTCACGACTCACATGCGCTACTCATCCCCGGAACTGCCATCCCTACCCCCCATACCCTCTCAAAAGAGCTAGCCAAGTCGTGGTGCTTGCGGCCCTCACAGCCCTCAGCTGGATGGATACTTGATACCGACTCTCTCCAGTAATGGCAAGTGTCGTGCATTCTTCTGCCCATGGCTACTGCCCCCCTCCTTCTCCACAGACATACATACAACTCTGCACCTATCCGTACGCCGGACATTCCTCCGCCGTCCGTCGTTTTCTGCACGATAGTCAGTCTCGGAGATTGCTTGATGGTGCAGCTCTTCGGTCGTGCATCAAAGGTCGCCGCTTGATCGCTTGATACTTCGCCGTTCACGGTTGACATGGAACTTACATCACGGCGACATCACCACGACATCACGGCCCGCCGTGTGCCTCGTTGGCTTCACTCACGCTCGCCAATGCAGGTGCTGCTCTATGCCGCCGACGCATGCACCGCAGTCCAATTCCCCTGATACGAGAAAGATAAATAAAAACCGCAACAGGAAATCCACGGACCACTCTGCTCTCCCCTTACGAGCTGCTTGTTCCCGCTTCGCTTCCACCTCGTTCGGTGGGCAAGTGGTTACCGTCCCTGGAATGGACCGGATTTCCATCTCAGTACAACGTCTCCCCACCCAAGGATCTGGCGGTTGCATCTATCCGACGGCGGATATGTCCACAGCCGCCAGATCTGTATTTTTTATTGCATACTTTGTACTCTACATACCGGTATAGGTCCTGCCTCATTTTGGACCGGACAATCATCCGCGGAACCTACATACTACATACACGGCTACCCACAAGATCACTACTACTACTCGGATGCTTCGCCTCGAGGTTGGTTTACTCCTTGCTCCGCCGTGCGTGTAAATACCGCGGGTCGACTGATATCGGGCTGCCAGTTGCCGCATCATCGATCGATCCCACATGCCACTATCCAGCTCTTTCAAATTGATCCTGACGCTGTCGATATCCCTCCCGCCGCCTTCTAGGAAGTCTGTATTTCAAGTTTCGACACTGCAGCTACCTAGTCGACATTGATATATCGCGAATCTAGAGTATCTAAACTTTCGCTGATCCCTATCTGGTACCACTCGGAGGTAGCATCAGGCAATGCCGAGCTCTAGACATCGTTCGTTAGGCCACCTCCTTGATGGTGATCTTCTTCGACACCCTCAAGGAACTGGCCCTGTGACTGTTCTCTCCTTTGGGGTCTCGTGTTGGTGGTGGTGGTGGCCGCTCTGTGTTTCCGAGCCAGCAAATCATCGTACGTATCCCCCCGGCAGCATCGCGTCTGAATCATCCAGTCTGAACTGTCCAAACTCGGAGCTAGCTACTTGACCACACGGGTTGCGGGAACACCATGTACGGGGATATCCGCCTAGCAGGATCTGTAGGGGAAGAACTAAAAATCCTGGGATCGTTGGACGACCGGCCGTCGTTCTCCCGAGCCTCGGTGCCCTGTTGAGCGGTTTTCTTGACACGATTCTTGCTGCCCTCATCGGTAGGGAATGGCGATTGGCTACCTTGAGCCCCACCGTCTACGGGCTCCGCTTCATGTGTTTTTCCTTCGGAATCGCTCGCGAGAGAATGATAGGATCTGAAGAGATGCACAGTATCATGAGTACGCGCATGCACGCTCGTGCAGACCGAGCAGAGCATGAGCGCTGAGTACTTCCAATCGCTGCATGTGACATTAAATGGTAGTTAGGTGTTTGTTATCACGGACTAACCACTCCACCTGCCCACTGATCCGCCAACCAAAAACGAAACCATCTATATCTGCAGCGCACATGAGATGCGAAAACCAGGAATTCCAGGCAACAGCAAATAAAAAATACACGGGGGATCGCATGGGGTCAGTGCTCTGAATTCTAGGATGCCTATCAGAAACTAATGTGAGACGTCCAATAGAACCAAAGTCCTAGCGAGCCCCATCCCCCCCACAGTGCAGATATCACACGCCAAGTGCTAATGAGCATACAGCTTCAGTGGGGGGGGGGGGACTGGGAGGCAGCCGTCGGATTGATCGACCGTCAGCACAAACTAATGCAGTCTCGTCAAGTATCGTCCTCTCCAGTTGTGCTTTCAGCCCTCAGCTCCCTTAAAGCTACAGTGGTGCTCGAGTGGTACTGTTCGCGTGCCTACCCTGTGTGTACACCAGACACCAAACACCAGACACCAGGCCATCTTGGGATGGCTGTGATCGTTCCATCTTCAATCACTCTCACCAGTTCCCCTTACACCCATGGTCCCGCCTTGTACCCACGCGATAACTTGAGACGGGGATAACTATCAGCCGGGACCTAGGTATGCAAATACCTATGCAAACCTGGTTCAGCGACCGTGCTCAGATGCTTAGGCACCACATCCGACCAATTGTACTAATGCGGAACGGCCCGTCGTGTCGGTATCAACCACGATAAGCGTTATCGGATGGCCGCGGTTCCGCTTTTCTCAGCAACGGTCATAGGAAATCACGAGCATGGAGAGATACCTTTGAAGGATAGTTTATCCCAATTACCCGCATCTGTCGATTTTGAAGCACAATGGTATGTTTCTGGCGCCGGTTCCATATGCGTGGAACGCGCAGCAAGAACATCAACCCCCCAGTTACCTGGTTATGCGGTGATGGTGACCCCCGCGTGGGGAAAACCGTTTTGCGTCAACTCTAGAACAGTTCCGATCCATCCCCAACGATCACCACTACCCGCACCCCACTTCCAGGAGCGGATTCGGGGGCGTTTGATGCTTGGTATTTCAAAGGAGTGAGAAATCCGAGACCTAGACCATAAGGAGGAGGTTAAATGTATGCGTTATATTAATGCAAGCATGAGCAGAGCTGGTTTCTGATTGTGTAAGGCCCCATACCTAGAGGAGGACTCATCTGTGTGTGCCAATTTCTTTCTAACCGGCGAAAGCCTGGTCAGACAGCGCTATGTTTCTGCGGTTCTG